TTAGGGCAAAAACCTCCGTACATCTAGTATTTAGTTAGGGCAAAAACCTCCGTATAAAAAACCTCCGTACATCTAGAGTAAGTAACATGGGAGTCAAGAGATGGTTTCAGATGGGGAGGTGGAGGAGGGGGGGAGTTGGTTCCTGTATTAGAGATGTTAATAAACGGTTGCAGAGGGGGAGTTGGTGGATTTGTGGTACTCGTAGGGTTGTTGATAAACAGAGGAGTAGAGATAGACGGAGGAATCAGTTGAGAGTGAGTTACTTGGGGTGGTTCCTGAGCATTGACGGAAGAAGAGGTTTGGTCGGGGACCTTTGACTGTTGAGGAACTTGACTAGTGCTATGGGCCTCTTTCTTGATGGTCTTAGCATCATTCTGGGCTCGGGAATCAGCTTCGATCCTAAGAGTAGCGGCAAAACTTTCGTGTAAGCTGTTCATAGCATTCATTTGTTTCTCTTGGAGGTGAAGTGCTTCTTTAAGGGTTTTAGCGTCATTGTCCAGATCAGCGGCTATGTCTTCACGAATTCTTTCAAGAGCTGCCTTGGTTATGCTATTTGCTTCTTTGTTGTTTAGTTTAAAGTTCTCCATGATCGTCTTGGTCATTTGATTTCCAAAGTCCTTGGTGTATTCCATAATCTCATCTTTAATTTGTGATTCTCTAGCGGCTGCATGATTTTTGAATTCTAGCCATTTAGCTTCGGCTCGTGGTGTGTTAGAATTGGCTGCTTCCTTCGCTTCTCTAATGACCAGGAGTTGAAGGTCGGCATAGTTAGCACGGAGGCTTTGGTATTGGGCACTGTGAGATCGGATAGCCTCTTTTAAATCGTTCATTTTTTGGTTGTGGACTAACAATGCACTGTGCTTTTCTGAGATAGCGTCTTTGATGGTTTGATAACGACCATCAGTAATATCTCTAACGGATCGAGCTATAGCGTCAGCATCTGGGTGATCGCTGATATTTGTCTTGATAGACTGGAGATCCTGTTTAAGCAACGTCATTTGATCGTCATAATTGATTTGAGCGGCTTCCAACTTACGTTTAACTTCGTGTCCTAATGTGTGAATGTCCGTAATTTTTTCTTTTGAGTCGGGAAGGAGAGCAGTATTTTTAGCTACTTTATTGATGGTGTCGATAATCTTAGAGATTGTCTGCTTTTGTTGGATTAGCTCGTCCTGTTTTCTTGCCATCTCTTGGTGATGTTGTTTGATCATGTCTTGACTCCTGTTGTCACGGATTAATAATTCGTTGGTAAGGCCTTGGGTGTTTGAGGTGACGGTATCCGCAACTTTGTTAAACAGCTCTCCTAAGTTCAGACAGTACTGGGTCAATTGTTTAATTGCATTACCGATGGCTGGTTGTGATGGGTCAATGGGATTTGGGTCATTGGGATTGAGTTGTCCACCGAGAGATTCCAAAGTTTGTTGAATATTATCTATAGTCGGCTTGAGTCCGACGAGGTCGTTAAAATGTTGACGGGGAATGATCACTTCAGCGGATTGCTGAGGTTGAAAGGCGTCGGGCCATTGATTGGTAAGAGGGGTCGGTGGATTAGCTCGGTTGATCAAGTGAACCATAGACTGGGATGGGGAATCGGCAGAAACATCCTCAATACGGTTGGCCATGGGAACGTCCATTGTGTTGAGAGGATACCGGATTACCGGCTGGTTGGGGATAAAGAGCCACTTACCTTCTTCTGGATTTGGCGGAGGCAGCATGATGTTGGTGTTGTTGGGAATATTGCAAAATCTGTGTCTGATAATGAGAAAATGTATAGTATGTATGTGGTTGAGAAAAAAAAAATATTTATTTTTTTTTTTTTTTTTTATATGGTTGCAAAAATTAAATTATTATGATTATTAGTATAATATGATATTTTTTTTTTTTTTTTTTGTTTTTGCTTATATGATTCGTCGTCTAGTTCGTTGTACGGTGTTAGCAGACTAGCAACGACTTGAAATAACAATGAGATGACAAGGACACTGGGTTGTGTATTGTCTTCTGAGAGGAATGTTGAATTTTGCTAAAGAAACAGGGGTTTCTTGATATTCTTTTGGAAAATTTTTTTTTTTTTTTTTTGTTTGGGGACTTTTGTTTTAATGAGTTTTAGTGGATTTAGTTTAACTATCTTTTGGTATTAATCTTCGATCGATAACTTATCCTAAAATTATCACTTGTAGTTTAATAACTAGGCAATAACCTTGAATAAAATATATATTTTATTATTGGTAAGTACGCGTAGAATATATTTGTTAGTGAGAAGCCAGTTTCCTTTGACTTTAATACTCAGTGACAGTTTCCTATTTGTCAAGTATGCGATTTCACTAATTACTTTATAGTTTTGAATAATTAACAATATTCAATATATAGTAAAGATAAAAGATTATATTAAAGATAAGTTAGTTAGTTAAGTGTAGAAGAGAAGTGAATGAAAACAAGTAATATTTATCTACACTGTTTGGGACTGCAACTACTAAGTTGTAGTTCGCGTGCGCTAACCATAAATACAAAAGTGCGACTTATTGAAGTCTTTAGTCGTGCCATGCACATATTTAGTAGACAAAAACCTCCGTACATCTGGTATACTTATATACTAATATACAAATTTAAAATTGATCTTCTTATTAGTTTCATCGGTAGTAGTATGTAAGTAGCTTTCCTGCTCTTCAAATGTCAATGCATTCCATCTTTTTTTATTTGACTTATTTCTCCAAATATAATAAAACCTTGCAAAAATGATCACAGCCAAAGATCCGAAAGCTATACCGATCAAGTCAACATTCCCACGTTTATATAACGGCTTATCATCGTCTCTATAGATATTAGAACCGATTATCAGCGCCGACTGTGCAAACATATTAACAACTGCTGAAGAAACAGCTCTATTACGCACAGAGTTACTGTTACTAGAGCTCCAGGTTATTGAAAGTGGTCCATCAGTTGGAGCTCCTAGCAAAATAAGTAATAAAGCGTAAGTTCCCCAAATATCAATTTGAGCTTTTGACCAAAATCGTAATACTATCAAACAAATCACAGTCCAAATCGGAATTATTGAGAGAGCTAATGTACGATCATTTATTCTCTCTGAAAACCAACCAATAGCCATCATGGTTATAATAGAAAGAACATTTTGGGGAATAGTCAACAAATTCGTTACAATTGGAGAGAACCCCAAGTGTCTTAAAGTCAAAGTCAAGTAAGTTGACACTGGAGAACTGGAAAGATCAGTTAAAAGCCTTACTAGATAAATTGGAACCAAGTCATAATCAAAAATAGCTTTTACCAACTCCTTTAAACTTACTGGCTGTCTATTATTCATGTCACCTTTATTCGGATCATCTCTTAACACTTTATTAACTAAAATTTTTTCTTGACGTTCAGTATACCAACCATTCTTTCTATACCATTTTTTAGTTTCAACAGCTGAAGCTGGCATCATGAAGTAGGAAGCAATACCGATGACTAAAGTTATCGCACCTTCGATTAAAAACATGAACCTCCAACCTTGGGGGACTGAGTCAGTTTTTATTAAAAGTAGAGCAGATCCTAATAAAGCAGCAATAACTGTTGTTGAAGAGTTTGAAATATAAAATAAAGAGACTCTCCATGGCATTTCTGCTCCGGTATAAAAATAAGACATGAACAACATCATGTCACAAATGAATCCACCTTCAAAGGTACCTATTAAAGCTCTCGTGACTAAAAACCCAGTTTTTGATTTAATCCAAAACTGGGTTAGTGAAACAATAGACCAAATACATATCTGAGTAGGAATCCAGATATCAGCACCTAATTTTTTTGAGATTAATTGAGATGGTAATTCAGCAGATAGAAAACAGAGCAAGTTAATTGTATTACCCAAATTATAATCGTTGGTAGTTAAATTCAATTCTTGTAACATGTCGTCTGAGACTGCCTGTCTGATATTAAACCTGTCCAAGTTCAAACCAGTGAACATGATGAAAGCCCAAAATGTAACTCTCCAATCATTTATCCTTAAAATTTCCTTTTCTTCTTTCAAAGTCCAAGTTAAGTCGGCGTCAAAATGATGACGGCATTCATAATTTGATCTTTCATACAAATTTCTGTAATAGTCGCAGACCGCTTTATCCTGGAAAACATTTTCTTTAGAAGAAAGTGATTCAACTTCGACTTCTTCATTCAAGACGTTGACGCTAACAACTTTTTCCTTTTGTTTCTCCAGCCAGTTATCACTCATATTCATTTATTTGATATTTTTTTCTACAAACAGGGCCACTTCATAGCAAATAACCCGAATATAAATGTTCAAATAGAGTTAGGTAAGAATTACTACAAAAGTCTTCAAATCAAGAAGAGCCATAACACTTCTATTCGATTATAATAAAAGATAAGGCTTTTGCAGCCACATTTGTGTGAGACATGTTTTTATGATTTCCTGTTTTTCCTCTTGTGAATATGAATTATCTTCAACAGGTGTTGTGGGTGTCCGCCAAAGACGGAAAATTGATTACATTTTGCGGCTCTTTTTTAACGAATTTAAATTTCAAATTTCGCAATCGTTTCAAATCCCTTGAAAGATGTTGCGAAATTATCCTAAGTATGGGGCCTGGATTCCACGGTGCATTCTGAATATTCTCAATTACATGGTCTAAGGAGACCGCACTAACCAGCTAAATCTGATCAAGATAAATGAGCTAACTGTATTTTCACCCGTAATTCTTTTGTCAGTTGGAAGATTTGGGTTTAAACAGTTTCAACTAATGTGCAAGAAAAGTATGTGTAATATTTAAGAGTCGTTCAAGCTGTAAATATGTATTGATAAATATTTAAGAGGGCTTGATTAGATAAGAATAGCTTAGAGAAAATAGGAGAAAATGATTAACATTTTCAATAGAGATTCATCTCTATATATGTTAATCATTTAGTTAGAAGAAATATAGGAAAGATTCATAGTTAAAGAGTAATATAGTTACAGCTGTGGGAACAAGTACATTTGTAACATCCAAAAGTAGAGATAAAAGGGAGATTCTGAAACATACAAGTTTAGTTTACGAAACCTGTAAGAACAGATCCCCGGGACTGTTACAGGGGTTTAGGAATATCTTTATTACAAAACTTGACAAAAATAACAAACATATGAAATAGAATATAAAACTAAACATTAGGATATACAACCAAATACGAGAGAATGATAGGACGAAAAAGTTAAATATAATCTACTTTCGATTGTTATTCTGAATTATTTTTCTCCATTCTTCGTCCGGCACTTCCATTTCCTCATAAGTCTTGCTGAGATACTTGGAAATTTCTCTCAAATTGTCCATCACAGCTTCCTTATCAAATTTGTGGTTAACTCTACGAGTTTTTATGGTGCTGTTTAGATGATCCAATCTTTTCTTGATAATTTCACTCCTGTAGTCAACCCATTCAGCATAATAATCAGAGTACCTAGAACTCCAATTAATCTCTGGCTTAACAGTCTTCAAGATAGCAGTTTCTACTGTTAATGGGTTTTTAGGTCTATACGAAGTAATCATGGTCATTCTCTCGCTTGAACCTAAAGGTTTAGGTGCAATATGTTCAATAAACCTACCTTGTAAAATACAGGCATTACCACGAGAGGGACCCGGAACTGGTATAACTTCTTCAGTGGTTTCACCTTCTCTTAACCCTTTTCTTAAACAAGTTTCACCACCAATCATATTAGTTGTATCTGATAGCATAAGAACACAGACAAGTGGCTGTGAGTCATAATGCCAACCAACAACAGCCGGAATATCTTCACCATTACTTACACCACTCAAAGATTGTTCCCTAGCGAATCTGATTCTTTCTTCTGCAGCCTGTTCTTCGCTTTTCATTGAAAGATTCACAATTGCAATCTCATAATCATAAATTATTTCTAATTCAACTCCTGCCATTTTATTAATCAAATCTATGGTCAAAGGATGGTTCCAAGCACTATGAATAAAGGGACAATTTATAGTATCCATATCCTTAACGTACCCTCTTAAATTGGCATCCAATCCACTTGTTGAGTTATATGAGTATCTTGTATATTTCAAGAAGATATCTCGATTCAAAAATTCTTGCCTCATTAATGAAATAGCTTCATTAGTGAAAAGAGGGAAAGGATCTGTTACACCAAGATCAGTAATTTGGTCAGGGTCAGATCTTCTCAACTCTTCCATAGATATCTTTCTAGTAGAATGGAATTTCTCCTTGTCTTTTCCATCAGTATTTCAAATGCTTATAAGGATCGAATTTAGCTTCCACGGTTTTGACTCCACTTTTTTCAATAAGCTTGTCATATATGGACTTTAAATTGGAGTCATAAACGGATTCTGGAATAACTTTATCAATACGATTATCTTGAATACTTCTTAATAGATCTGGAGTAGCCATTACTTATTAATTACTATTTTGTCGTTGTTTGTTACTATACATGCCTTAGAATGTCTTTACTATTTATATTACTTCTACTCTTATCTTAAGGGTCACCATCCCTTAATAAAAAGACAATAGGTTCCAAACAAGAAAGAGAACATTTAGCGATTGACTTCCTTATTGCGCTTAGTTGCCAATTTCCTGTTTAGAAAAGCACAATTCCTTATCTGATAATTGTCAAAAATGAAAATATGATTATCGAGCTTATCAATTCCGATATCTAAACTCAAAGAGCCTACTTAAAGCTTTGTAAACAAAGTATAAACTAGCGACAAGTAATAAGGCTCTATTGATTAATGTAATATATAACGCTTTTTTGCCGATATTTGGGAGAACTAATCAAGTAAAGGCATCATTTCCAGCTTCAAAATGATCTGAATCACCAAAACAGCATGATTAGGGTCTGAAATAATTCGCAATTTTGTATATATGGTTAACTAAGTAGCTGCAACCATGTAAAGTCACTTCCACATAGAACTATCTAATAAACTAACTATTCATCTTTTAATATCTTTTCTTTGGTATATATTTGAATATTGTTCAAAATTAATGTGGAGTAATCAATACGAAATTGGTATTAAGGATCAAGTCATAGGTTCTATCATGAATCTACGCGTACTTACCGATACTAAGCAGCACCTCCCACTGCTGGACATAGTATGTTATAAATCATAAATGTAGTAATGTAACGAATTATACAGTGACTTGTAACACGATTTAATCTACATGGGTTTTAGTTATCGCGTAGAAATGTTACCCTTTAGGAGAATAAATAACCTCGATATACCTTGTTCTTGGGATCTTGGAAAGTAACAAAGGGCTTGTCAATACAATGGTTATCAGTAAACTAATTAGTACACAAGATCCACTTACCATAAATGATATTATTCCATCGATAGCTCTTTAACTTACGAAGAGTGAGATACTTCCCGACTATTCAACATATATGTTCGATACGAGAACGAGACTCTACTACACACTTTCACTTTCAGTACAGACATAGAGGCTATATCAAGCTTCTATTAGGGAATAGAGGTTTCAGAGCTATCTTCATTTCAGAGCACGGCCACTTCTACTGAAACAACATCCTATTAAAGGTTGTTCTTTCGAAAAGAGATTTCAGGTCTTTCTGTGGTATTAAGTTACACTATTTGCAGCCAAAATGACCACATGCAAGTCTTATAGAGATGTTATTTGGTAAAATAAATGGAAGCCATAAACAAAGTTTCCCAATATTTTTTACCTTTAATACCTTTTGGATATAAATTAAACCTTCTCTCACTTATCAAATTTGATATAAAAACTTATTTAAAAAATTTATGAATACAGACTTACAAAGATGACTTATTTTATTTGCAGCACACACACAATCTACTTACTCAAACTATCTTTCGTTTCTCTGGTCAGTCTATTCATGCTCTGTTTCTCTATCCATCTCCCAAAATACTATTCTTTCGCTACGCTGTACATTTTTTTTTCTTTTTTGACAATCTACTAACTCCTATTTTCATGTACCCTTTGATCCCAAGTCTTTTACTTGATTTCAAAATTCCCTGCCATGTCAATAATATCTTTATCTACAGTTTTGTATTTTTCTATTTTTTGCATTTCTCACCTGATAGTTACAATCAATTTTACATAATTTTGCACCCAAATCTCAATCAATTCGCGAAATGTTGTTTCTTACACTTTCTAATGTATCAAGCTTCATCACCTATGTAATCTCTACAGGTTTTATCTCTATTACAATTGCAATTAGAATTGTATTTTCTTGATCTTATATGAACCTTTCATATATTCCGCGAAGTCCCAAATGCCTACTAATAAATATTTACGCTCGATCTTCATTACAATATTACGACACTGCTGCTTTTCATATTAATCATGTTCTCATGTTGCCAAATACTATGGAAATTGGATTCTTTTTGTACATCTTTGGAATGAGCTGAGATCAAGAAGCTCGCATCTACGACAATTAACATTTTGACCGCTGAAACATACGTTTTCTTCATGAAACAGTCGAAAAACGATGAATCAAAGTTCATCATGAGATATATGTCCCAAGGTCCCGCTATCGCAATAGCCTTTAGGGCAACCAATTCTTTGCACAGCCTTTTCCGCTCCAGCTTCAGTATTGTATGACTCCTTACGAACAATCCTAATACATAGATTCCACTCCTCCAGATTCAGGAATCCAACTGCCCACAGGTCCCTATCCGGATGGCTATCCAAAGCAGTATCTGCCCAACGAAAGGCTTTTTCCAAATTTGATTTACAAGCTTTAGTATTAAATCCATTTCCTTTCGTAGCACAATTTTCTACAAAAGCTAATCCCACGGCAGAGTCCCATTTCTCACCTATGGGCAATACCTCAGAATAGCCAAAAGATTCAAATCCATCTTTGTCTCCGTTTAGCAACTCACTTAAATGTGTCTCCGTAACCGCAAAAATGCTCCCCAGAGCTGTATCTGTGATCGCTTCTAATCCCTTCTTGATACCGTATTTAATAGCCATCCTAATATTTTTTCCTTTATGCTTTTCATCACGCTGCAAATTGTGCCAGTCACTCCAAGCACTCGGGTTTCTCGCTTTAATGTCGGGGGGTACGTGGTTAGTTTGTTCAGCATCATCTAAAGCATTCTTCATTTGTAAAGTAGAAACATAGCGTACGTCATTATTTGAAAACTTAGCTTTGTGTGCATTGTCAATCAATTCCTGTATTAGATCGTTGATTTCGGATTGTGGAGTATCTGAAATGTCAACCCCTAGCTCGTAGATGAACCCGTCGTCATCATAGTGTTTCCCGTATATAACTTCATTTAAACTCGAGTCATTGGACGATGATGCTTTGCTATTAGCACCTGATACAGTACCACCTATAAGATACAATATACCAGCATTGGCTGTTTCCCAGAGGAAACTGAATATGACTGTGTAGCAAATAATGGGGTACATGTATTTTGAATTTATTCAAGGAGAAATGTTATCCACTTTTGGTGTAGTTTCTCTTCTCATTAAAAAGTCAAAGGAGATTGATGGCCATTTTATATACTTCGTTTCCTCCCACGGTCATGTTTTCATTCAAGTCTAGGTTATTAGTGAATTATGAAAGTTTGTGAGGATTCCGAGACGAAACACCTTTCACTCAAAGTTTACAAGTGACTTAATGTATTTCTATTGACATGGATGTATATAGGTTAATGGTTATTCACTTGAATAGCCGAAAAGCAAAATAAATATAAATTTCTGCATTGAAAGAATCCTGTTTGAATGCTAAAATAGAATGCCTGCAGTGTCTTTAATAGTTACTTACAAAATAAGTGCAAGCAATTTGTGCTTTCGATTATTTTCAAGATTTCTTAAGTATTAGTTAAAACCAGCTGTAGATATTGCAATGATATTATATTTTCTTTTTTAAGACATTTGTAACTCGTTTTCTATGAATCCCATTGAACGAATTAAACCTACTCAAAGGCATTTCAACAGGAAATTTAATACAGCAGTGTATAATTGATTGGCTTCATAGAAATAAATTTTGCAGCTCATTTTCACATTATTTCGCATTATCGCGAAATAATAAATGATTGAAAAAGCATTTTGAGATCTAATAAAAACCTCAATTGACTAGCTTCAGGGCTTAGTTTTGAGCTTTTAAGGTTAGAACAAATTGGATACAAAGCCTTCACTGGCTAGTTACACTGACTACACGTTTTAATCAAAGTACAGTTTTTTTGTTAAAAAAAGACAATAGTGATATTAGAACCTTAACACTAAATAAAGAGGCCATACATCGCTAATAAATGTAGAAGCATAATCAAACTTCTTGTTGATTAGACATAACTAAGTAAATATCTGTAGAGCCATCACAGTCGACCCCGGTGACTAAAGAATACTTGTTTTCACCACTTGGGCAAGCTTTCCATTCACTCTTGCCTTGATAAAGTAATATATCATTGGCATAAGAGAAGTCTTCGGTTGGACTTTGAGTACCACTTACGCTTCCAACTTCACCAGTGTCGGAGTTAACATAAACACCAGTTCCATCTTGATCTTCTAAAGCAGAATCTTTAAAAGTTAAAGACAAGTCAACACCTTCGTCACCACCAACCGAGAAAACAAAAAGATGGGAATCTACTTTCTTAATAGCAACACCATCTAAAGTAGTATCTGGGGCATAAACCGTAGCGTCGAATTTAAGGTCAGCAACAGCAGCAGCAACAAAAGTTAAGATAGATAAAGTAGAGAATTTCATTTCTTGGATTTAATAGTTTTATTGATTGATTATAACAGTAAAACCTTTTTCATTTCGAGCAATCGGGTACTCTTATATATTCCAGAATTATCATTGAACAATTACAATTTAAGTTAAGTTGAAACGTGGATACTGGTTTGAAAATGGTTTCCTATAATACTTTGGAATAAAAATAGAATTTAAGTTCTTGAATAAAGATTCAACTCTAAGAATCAAAGGACTAGATGAAAATGTACGGCTTCAATCTGTAACTCTTGGCCAAATGACATGGAGTTTTTTCAACCATACAGTTATATTTTAACCAATAGAAATGAAAGGTCTCTCCACAATTTAAAAATAAAGCCACTAAGCAGTCTGTATAGAAAAAGATTAAGGGACCTACATTTAAATCGAAGGTTCCAAATTTAAAAAGGGCAAACCTTAAATTTGGGCTTAATTTCGCATTTTTTTGTTTATTTGTTTAAAAAATACGTCAAATTCTATAAATAAAACCAAAGCTAGTTTTCGTCATTATAGATATAAAAGGTTTTATATAAAGGTTCACCATGAAATTATCTTAGATTTTGAGGAGTAGTATGTTAATTATAGACTAATGGTCATGAACATGAATCAATGTAACTCAAGTACAGTGAAAGGTCCATTAAAGAAACTTTAGATGTAGCTCACATACAATCGCCATAGATGAAATTTATCTCCTCCTTATGATGAATTTAGTTTCAGTTCCTATGTGCATTGATTGAATATGAGTTCCATAACATCCCTTGCAATCCTAATAAAACATATAAGATTTTTAGAAATGTTACATAGATATATTAATAGGTTTTATTAAATAGAAACTAGTCTTACGTTATTAAAATGTTGCAGCAATTTTGAAGATCTGATTATTTTGAGCAACTTTTTGCAATATAAAGTTTGGAATTATAATTCGATGTGGATTATCTTTTTCATTGCATGTCCATGCCATTGGTTTCATCATATTTAATTGATACAGAACGTCAATTTCCACGCCATCAATGGTACATGGATAGCTCATTCTATAGCTCAGTCCATTTTTCCAAACGTTTAATTTGACATCGAATATGTGGTACATATTTGGGATACTTGCAATAGTAATTGAGAAGTTTGGCTAAATGCACAGAAAGTTTCTTTAATGATAGCACCACCCTGTACGATAAACAGTGAACCAGTTGCCTTATATGCGCTTGTAGATAGTAAGAAAAAATTCACTTAAATCAAAGGATCAACTTACTGAGTCCAAGTAATAATTGAATATCGCTGAAGTATACAATGAATTTACTTTTCTAGACTTTTCAGCTAATTATAACGGATAATATAGATCATTTCTACAACTTTTTGAGCTATCGGAGTATATGGCCTTGAAGGGGTTTTGGGATTCAATTGTCTTGAACTATTGTATAGGTCTTATTTTGGGATGGATGGATCATAAAATCGCTTAACCCGCTTATGGTACGAGTGAAATTGTTGATACGAGCACTATTTCGGATCTTGACACTCTGATTTTGCAACAAACGAGTCAGCGATGGAAAAAGTCAGACAAGTCGTCAGCCATATTAGTAGTGGTACAAGAATCTAATTCTATACTACTTTTTCATTCTACAAAGTTTAACAGTTTTATGAATCATGCTTGATTTAAATCATCTAATGAAATATCATCGCAAGAAAAGCAAAGAAATAAGTTTATCGTCTAGATAACCGTTCCCTATTGCTAAACCAATGTGATTGGAGGAAAGATTTTGGTGATAAATGCTCTGTTTAGCAGCCTTCATCTGTGGCTCCCAAAAGTTCCGTGCACCCAAGGTTTGCTAAGTGCGAAAACATCTCATTCGGTGGTTCATATATCCGACGACCTTTACAGCAATGAGAAGAACTAAAACACATCCCTTGAAGTTACACTTTTTCCCCTTCTATATATTTGAAAATGTCATTCGAAACTGATACTTTGACTTATAAAGCCGTTACTTACTTTGATGGTTCCGACCCATTAACTCTCACTGATAAAACCATCAAGTTGGAAAAAAAACCTAATGGTAAATATGGTATTAATTCCAAAAAAATTTTAGTTAAAGTCAATTATGCTGCTTTGAATCCTGTTGACCTTGTCATCTATCGTTCTTCTCCTAAATTATTATCAAGGTTCATTGGCGAACAAGGTATTGGAAGAGACTATTCTGGAACAATTGTTGATATTGGAGATGAAGCCGCTGAGAAAACATCTTTCAAAATCAATGATCAAATTAGTGGGATGTATCCAAGATTTTTCGGTCCGGGTACCGTTGCTGAGTATGTTATACTTGACCCATTTGACGAAAAAGATGTTGAAAGTGCGTTAATTCCGAAGAATTTAAGTCTTTCAGAAGCATCAGCTTTTCCATTAGTCTTGGGAACTGCTCTTGATGTTTTTGACAAGGCTTCCGAACTCAATTCAAATTCAAAAGTTCTAATTATTGGGGCTGGTACTTCAGTTGGAAGATATTTAGTCCAATTGGCTAAAAATTATTATAATGTCAAAGAAATTGTAACCACCAATTCCCCTAAATCTGACGATGATATAAAAAGTTTTGGAGCTGATAAAATCATTGATTACACTAAACATAAATCAATTTTGAATCCAGTATTGGAATCGGTTAAAGAAACTGGTAAATTTGATGCCATTCTTGATTCTGCTGGGTCTTCTGATTTATTCCCACAAATAAATGAAATTCTTAAACATAAAAATGAAGGAGGTTCATATGTAACTGTTGTTGGTGATAAGAAGTATGAATATACAACTGCTACTATATTCGGTTTGTTTCTTCCAAACATCAAGGCCATCTACCGTACTTTTGCCGAGTTATTTGGTTTGACTACTTATAGTTACAAATTTTCTTTTGTTTCACCCGGTACAAAATGGATTGATCATGCTAAAGATTTGATTGAAAAGGAAACTTTGAAAGTCAACGTGGATAGTATTCATAAATTATCCAATTTCCAAGATGCTTTTGAAAGATTAAGCACTAATAAAGCTCAAGGGAAAGTTTTAATTGAGCTTTCGGAATAGAGCTTTTATGTATAAGTTTTGTATCTTTAATATTTGTTTGTAATCTAAATGTATTCAATTATTATTTTAATGAAAATTGTAATCAACAAAAACTTCAGATGCAGGTTGATTGTTTAAATAACTCATGTTGAAGCTGTTATAAATCAAAACCTTTATATATTAACCGTGCAATCCTTATCTCAAGGTTGAAAAAACGACTTAGAGTGCGGAAGCTCGTATCTCTAAATGTCGGCATGTATGCTTAAACAATTATATGTACATAAACTTTACTTCAGGGGGTGATGGAATCAGCAAAGGCCTCACCTCCCAAATTAAAGGACATGGAAACGATTGTTGCAACCAAAGAAGCAAAATAGCACAAAAACAAAATGATTGCAAATTTAATATTGCACAAACATACTGTTGAATGTTGGTATTTCGACAATTGTTTGTCCGTTATCAACAGTCGTTTTCAATAAAATCATTGTTTGTATAACTGAAGGGAGGTCAACTAATTGAAATTTTCAGAAATACAGCAAAAATGCCGAAAATGTCATAGATACATTACTACAAGAAAAATTAACCAATGTATATGTATATTAAAATCTATATTAAATAAAGTTCAAGAATCTGCGTCAGTTGAGCTTGAAGAATTAAATTCGTGTTCACCATCGTCCATTGTAAGAACTTTACGATCTGCAGCCAAAGTTTGGGCAAATTTACTTCTTTGTCTAATAACTGGACCTTTCCAATAGAAAATGTAAATTGGAATAGCCACAATTATAGCCAAACATCCAAGAAGAGTACTAGCCCATTGTAAATGTAATTTTCCACCAATGTTAGTATACATTGGACCGGCATACATAGCAGAGATACCAGCCAAGAAATCACGAGCAAAACCGTTACCACCAGTAGCAGAAGCAGAATAAGGACCATAAGCTGCAATCATATAATCAATGGTAGACATGTAAATACTAAAATTAGCAATTGCAATTAAACAACTAAAAATCATTGGAGCAATCCAAGGATTATGAGAAGGACCCATTGAAGTCCAAGCAAAACCAAATAAACCAATAGCTTCTAAAGGAGCCAAAAATAAAAGAAGTAAAAGACGACGTTCAGCCAACCTAGCTTCTTCACCGTGTTGGGTGAAAATTTGACGTTGACGATAACAGTCCGGTAAATGAATACCATAAGCGATGAAGTATCCAATAATGACCGGAAGAAAAGCAAGACCACAAGCGGTGGCGGAAAACCCCCATTGTTCATAAACCAAAGTGAAAGATTCCATACAAACGAAAATCAAAGCATCGGAAAACCCAGAAAGAAGAGAAAGACACAAGACAATTGGTTCACGTAAAAACATTTCGAAAGGACGAATCCAAATTTTCATAACATGAGAAAAAGTTAAAGGATCGGCCACTTCACCAGGACCATAAATTTCTGGATCTTCACCAGTTTTTCTTCTACGTTTAGCTTCACGATCTATTAAAACCGTTGATCTAGTTTCTGAAACCAAAAAGAAATGGGCAATCTGTACCACTCCACCAAAAATCAATTGAATCCAGAAATTCCATCTCCAGGATAAATGATCTTGCATTAAACCACCAAACACCGGACCAATACTTGACCCACCCACCGAGGACAAAACGATATAACAAACGGCGAAATTTTGGGTGTTTGCATCGTATAAATCAGCAGTCATCCCCAAAGTGACCGAACCACCAGCTGAAGATAAACCACCAAGGAAACGAGCAACCATGATTGAACCAAAGTTAGTAGCGGTCCCACCGACAATCTGCCAAATATTAACGAAAAACAATGAAGCTTGCATAATCCAGAAACGACCCCATTCTTCGGACCAAGGAGCCCATAATTCACAACCAAAAGCATAAGCAACCAAAAAAATCATTTGGGAACAACGAGCAGCTTGTTCACTAATGCCAAAATGTTCAGAAATTGGGACAATTGCATTTGGATAAACCGAGGTATTAAAGTTCATCGAAACTTGAACTGCAAAAATAACGGATAAAATAGTCCATTTTCTTCTTGTGGAAAAAGAATAACCTAATTTATCAAAACAGTCTCGTTCAGTCAAGACTCTTCTACCATCGGTATGAATTTTACCGGGGAGTTTTGAAGTACGACGTAATAATTCCTGTTGTTCTTTATTAATTTGACCACCATCACCAACATCTTCAATATGCTCATCCATACGCTTAGGCTTATCAGCGATAGGATTATGTGGTCTGGCCACTGGTTTTTCATCCTTTTTCTTTGAAAAAAACCCCATTCTTGTTGCAAAAGAAAATTAAAGAATCAAAAGAAAAGTAATGAAAAAAAGAATTAGAGTGAAAAAGAATAAGACAAGAACTACAAAACTACATCAACAGCAAACATATATATATATAAGAATATTTAAAAATCCATCAACATGCCAAAAAAGAAAATTAAAACGAGTCAAAAGAAATGTCCAGCAGATAACCCAAACCATAGTCAATTCCGGTTTACTACGCAGAACGGGAAGCAACCAAACTGCATCTAAGCAGGTTCCCCGAGGGGCGGGACCTTTCAGTTTGTGGTGGTGAGACACTCTTGGGTTTAGTATGGGAAAGCCCCACCCCCGGAACACCCTCGCCGTCACGTGCACGGCTTTTTTTTCCTTTAGGCAGCAATTTAACTGAAATCTCTTCACCTCTGCGTGAATCGTTATTTAAATCGAGATGGGTTCTCTAGTTTCCAGGTTTCCCTTGGTGGTTTTACCTGGCGGTTTTACGATGGTTTTATGACGGTTTTACCAGATGGTTTGACCGGGTGGGTTGAGGTGGTAGGTAATGGCAAGCTCGTAACTCTCCACGAATCTGGATCAGTTTCATATATTAGAGCTAAGCGTTAACGAATGGCTTGCCCCCGGAAGTGGTCGCAGAGGGTTCACTTTCGCCAAAAATACGTCACTGTGCGTGGGCGACATTCACCGAATACAGTAAGGTATCCTGCGACACGGCGCGACATTTTGTCTACTTAAGGTTGCTGGTATGACCACTGGGACGGATAAATTCGATTACAGCATGATGTTAGGACTAGGTTTCGAATGCAACGCCTAATTTCGATGATAATAAGATCGGCTGGTTGAATGTGGAGACCTCCAAGACTTGCAACGTCATTGCTTGTGTCAAGCCTTCCGGCTGCACAGGATGAAGCACAATACAAGGGCAGGAACTTTCGGATTAAATGGCGGAGGATTCAAGAATTTTTCTTGTTGATTTGAAGTCACTACTCGATGAGCTAATTATTGTTTCTTGTTTGAAGATTGTGTTTGTAGATTGTGTTTGTAGATTGTGTTTGTAGCTTGTGTTTCGATCGCGAGTGGGTACGGGTTTGAAGTCTTACTTTTTTTACTTTTTCTTTATGAGTTTGGATGGTTCCTTCCAACTCATCGCTAATCATGCCATCTCCAGAAGATTGGATCAAGTACTACGAGTTGGAAAGCCACCCAGAGGGGGGTTACTTCAAACAGACCGGAGCATCCTCTCAATTGGTGACTTCTGCCACCGGACTACAAGTTCCCCTCTATACCAACATTCTTTTTCTAATTAAAGAAAATAATTTTTCTAATTTTCATCAGCTTAAATCAAATGAAGTCTGGTATTATCATGCCGGTAATCCTTTAACCGTTCATTGTATTGATCCGGAGTCGGGCCATTATTATACTGTTAAATTGGGGGATGACATTTCTAAAGGTCAGCTTCTTCAGTATGAGGTTCCGGCCGGAATCATCTTTGGTTCTTCGGTTGATACCGACTACTCTTTGGTTAGTGCCATGGTAAGCCCCGGCTTTGACTTTAGAGAATTCGCTCTTTTCAAAAAAGACGAGTTGATTGAGAAGTTTCCTCAGCATGAACAAATTATTGAAAAACTTACCGCAAATTAAGATATGTATTTACAATGTGTAGTCAATGTATGTTTTACAGTGTGTAGTCAACGTATGTTTTACAATGTAGTCAATGTATGTTTTACAATGTAGTCAACGTATGTTTTACAATGTATTCAATGTATGTTTTACAATGTAGTGGTCAGTGTATACTTTTACAGTGTTTTCATCATAAACTTTGCCCTCAATCGAGTTTACACTCGAAGAAAACCGTGGTGGACAATACTTCAATACTAACCAACAGTAAAAACACACAAAAATCAAAAATGCTGCAGGCAAATAACCATGGTTAAACTTGAAATATCGACATCTTCGCAAGTCTTTTCTTCCATTCTGCTTCATTCTTTTTTCTGTAGAGAAATTCACTTCCCTCATATTTTTTTTGCAACCAAACAGAAGGGTATTCCTTGATACACATCCGTCACAGTTTGAGCGTGCGTACGTTTTCGTGATTACTTCGTTTGGAATGCCTTACTTGCATTGGATCGCTCGGTGATGCTCTTTCTGTTTGGTTGTTTCCTGAGCATAATTGTAAGTTCTGCTTTCATTCCATTGTTTTGAATCATCCAACATGTCTCTCAAGAAAACCATTTAATTGTTGTTTTCTACGTAGAGAGGTCTAGAAAGGTACTAACGTCATTACTTCTATACCAATTGCGTTAACTGAGTTTGCTTTCAATGATTGGCATATTATACAATGTAGTTAGATTTTTCAATTCAATTCCACCTTGGAGATGTTTCAATGCCATCATGCAATTTCCCTTTAACCTACATCTATACGCTTTTATGCATTACTCCCTATTTTACACAGTGAATGATAGTTCGAAATACGCTTCTTCGCATTCCTCCCTATGTTACAGTGAATGATAGTTGGTAAACGACATTTATATTCCGGTCAAGTTTGGGAATAAAAAAGTCGTCCTTTTTAAGATTTGCTCGGAAGTTGGAACTGTAAAAAACATAACCGCGACCACAATAAACACAACTCTATCAGCTAAATACATCAGTCTGACTAAGTATGGACAACAGAAATGAATCTCTCAGAAGAAATAGATCATCCTCAAATATAGCAGATACCTCATCGCAACTGCAACATGAATTACAAATTCAAGAAACAATCCCCGCCGACGAAATTATTGATTCGTTAGCTAGTAATGATACAAATCAAGCTAATTATAATATTGATGATGATATAGATCAAGATAATGATCAAATAGAAGAAATGGGGATGTCCTCGGATCATCAACCAAGTCTTGAGCAAATTCAAAGAGTTTATTATACTAGAGGTTTAGAAGAATTAGAAAGTTTACAATTATTAGACTTATCTCCTTTAGCAAATTGGAAATTATCATCTTTTAAGCAAGGTTGTGGGTTGACTCAATTAAGAGATGATTCTCCTGATACTTTGTGGCAGTCTGATGGTAGTAACGGTAATCAAAACTCTTCAAATAATGGATTAAATAATAATCAGTTAAGTAATCCTCATTCAGTAACAATTCAATTTTCTAAAAAAGTTTCTTTAGAAAGAATATCAATTTTCACTAATTTTTCTCTCGATGAATCTTATACTCCTTCTAAAATAAAAATAATGGCTGGTAGTTCAGGTTGGGATTTAACTGAAGTTTGTACTGTAAATTTTAATAAGCCTATTGGTTGGTCTCATATTATTTTTAATGGTATACGATCAGATGGAGTTTTAAAATGTTTTATAGTCAAGCTAATAATCTTGGCTAATCATCAAGATGGTAAAGATTCTCATATAAGAGCAATAAGGTGTTTTGGTAAAAAATCTTTGAAACAACCTAATATTACTAATTCAAATTCAATTTTACCAAATAATACTACTGAAATTGATGCAAGTATGTTAAGTGGGTTAACCAACCAATCAGGAATTCTGTTGAATCATCGTAATAAGGTCTCTGAATTAGATGATGATTCAAACAAAATCTTGGGTAATGTCGATGATATTATTGGGTTTAATTCTGGATTTCAAAGTATTGAATTGAAAAGTGTTTCATCTATTCGTTAACTATAAAATCTATATAATTAAGCATTGATCTTTAATGAAAAATCAATAATATTACATCCTTGGTGAATTGATGATGTTGAGTAAATGTCAATATCATTACATAAATAACTTCCCAAATTTTGTAATGTAAGACCTCCGGAACATTCTAATAAAAATGATTTGTTTTGTCCTTGATAATACTTCTTTAAACTCTGAGCTACTTTTTGTAATTCATCTCCTTTAAAGTTATCTAACATAATAACATCAGCACCGGCATCAATTGCTTCTCTTGCGTCTTCTTCAGTACTAACTTCAACTTCTACTTTAACTGCAAATCCGCATACTGATCTAGCACTTTTAACTGCTGAGGTTATACTACCAGTGGATGCAATATGATTATCCTTCAACATCACCATTGAGCTCAAATCATATCTATGGGGATCAACTCCACCAACTAACATTGAATATTTTTCAATTTGTCTTAAACCAGGGGTGGTTTTTCTAGTACCGGCAATAAGTCCATTATACCCATTTTCATCGGCCAATTTCTTGGTTATATATGATTGAGTTGCAATACCTGATGATCTTGATAACAAGTTTAACGCAGTTCTTTCTGCTAAAAGAATTTTATTAGCAGTACCTTTGACTGTAGCAACTACTAACTTCCCTCCGTTCTTACTTAATTCTTCAGTTCCAATATAGTCTCCTTCTTTGAAGTGCCATTCAACAGCCAATTCACACTGCTGGAAAACTTCAGCTGCAAAGGGAACCCCACAAATTAATCCACTTTGTTTCATATAAAGTGAAGCAGTTTCTTCTTTGTCTCCAACAACAAAAGCTCCATAATCAAAAGATGGAACATCTTCGCTGAGAAAATCAGTGATTTGCTGCTTCCATCTACCGTTGACTGGAAGTAAGTGCACGTATCTTGAGGCCATTTTTAGTTTCGATTACTAGTTTAATTTGTAGTAATTGAGTTGTAGTTGGAAAACTTTCAGTCAACGAGGAAAAAAAAAAAAACTGGGGTGATCTCATTGAATGAAAAAAGATACATCGGTGGAATGGAGCATCAACGCGTCCTTCCATTCAAAATACCAGCATTTTGTTACGTTTATAGTTGGGAAATCAGATGAAAAGGTCCCTGAGACAGCTAATATCACCTCTACTGTCGCAAACTGACGTGGAATCCCCTTCCAAAGATGGGAATCGTGAGCTTAAGAGACCTAAGAAAGTCCAATCCCATTTATCAATTCCTTCAAAATCGAAATCAATAACATGTAAAGTCTGTGGAATGTGCTACTATGACTATTTCGAGAAGGATAAAAGCATGCACGAAAAGTACCATTCGAGTTTTATCAACGGGTTGACTTGGAACTTATCTGACGAACGTTGCATAACTACTTTTAACATTGACTCATCCAAGGGTAGACCAAAATCATTGAAAACTTTAACTGAAGTAAGGATATCAATGATTGATAAGAAGTCATCCAGACAAATATCAAAAGTAGATGAACTTTTAAAAATGGTGAACCAGGAATTGAATGCCCTGCCTGCTGCAGAATGGTGGAAAATGGATCATAAAGATGTCGACATTCAAGGTAAAGCATTTGTTATGATCATAGAAAATAAAGCAATTGGGTTATGTATCATTGATCCGATTCAAGATCTGGAAAAGCAGTGTCGATGGATGCTCTATAAGACTCAAAAGATAATACCTCAGCCAACAAATAAACTGATCAAGGTTGGTATTTCAAGAATATGGGTATGCCATAATTGGAGGCGCCACGGATTAGCTTTGAAATTACTTGAAACTGTCCTTTCCAATATGGTTTACGGAATTACTCTTAATAAAAACAACCTTGGTTTTAGTCAACCAAGTTTTGCGGGTGGATTATTGGCTAAAAGTTTCAACGGAGTAGTACATAAGAGTGGTGAAACTTTAATACCCGTTTACTTAGAAGAATGATGATATAAATGTAAAAAAAAAAAAACAAAGAAATAAATAATCTTATATTTACAATGATTTATTCGCCAAATACTTGTTGGTCACTTGCAACGTTAACCAAATCCTCAACCTTACCATAAACAGCAGCAGTTAACCCACCATTAATCAAAATTTTGAGACCTCTAGGAATTGCCCCTTTGAACATGGCAGTAGGGCCTTGCGATAAGAATAATTTAAAAGCTGTACTCAATGAATCTCTATAAACAAGTTTCCCGTTTTTCAGCTGTAAATGGGTCTTAATAACATCCAAAGGTTGAGTGGCTAAAACAACAGCTGTTGATGAAAGAACATGTAATCCCACCAGCTGTATTGCAGTGTGTTTATGGCCGAACCAACTTTGTTCATTACTGGTGTTATGAGGATCTATCAATTGTCTAGTGGCATTATATGTTGATAACCAGACTCCAGAAAGGGCTATCTGTCTAATAAATGTAATACAGGTACCTGAAGTAAATGCAGACATTCCTTTTAATTGATACATTTCTTTAATGGTGTGTAGAAATGTTGATGATGGTGATTTATTATATTTCATCTTCAAGCTATCAAGTTTTGTAGTATTATGATAATTTGGATGTATCTTATTTGAACCTTGATTGAATTTAGATGTAGGTCTTGCTCCTTTCAATTGGGCGTAGAGTTCAGAAGTTAAATATGCATGGGGCGAAACATATTGCTTGGAGAAGATATTTTGAATAGGTTTATGATGTTTGTTGCTAACATAATGTCCGGTAACATCAAAACGATCAGAGTATTTAATAATTTCATTATGTAATAACATATTTTGAACCATGGTTATCTTTATATTTTCAAATGGAATAATCCAAAGAGTTTCAATAAACCCACTCATTGCCCCAGCTATCACCATTCTTGGAGCACTTGTTTTTTGTCTATGTTCTCCATTTGCATCATGGGTATCAATAGACATAAATTTCGACAGCCAGTTATACAGGATTATTCGGGCACTATTCTTAAACAAGCTTCCAATTACTAGAGCACTACCACCCTTGAAAAACTGTCCAATTGTTTTAGAATATGCAACTTCAAGATTATGCTTTTTCAAAAGGGCATTATTGGTAAGTTGCTGTTGGGTTTTCATTGAGTCTAGAGGGTAAGTAAACGTGGCAGAAACGGCCGAAGCGAAAAACCCTGAAACCAACGCCGTTAGTAAGCTATCACCATTATTCAAGTTATCTTGTGAAGGTACTGACATCTTTGGTAGTTTATAGCTATTCTTCAATAAAGAGAACTAAAAAAAAAAAAAATTAAAGAATGAAAAATCTAATGCGTGAGAAAGGAAAAATAGAATAAAGTAGTAGAAATCAAAAACATAAACAAACTTGATCTTATCGTTTTTACTTTTATCTTGCAACTACCCTTCCACCCAGATGATCCTACCATGGATCTGACCAACCTTGTGCATCAGAAGCTGCTTTCTCCTACCAGGAGTAGGACTGAACCGTCGACCCCTCTGCGAAAAGTTATAAGGACCGATGAGACTCTAATAAATATTCCCATGTCTGATTCAAGACTACGAGGCAGGACCCGGACTAGTGATATTCATCTTCCTCCTCAAGAGCTTCCAGATATAATAGCTGCCTTGAATCGCTCCGGCAGGTCCCAGTCTCGTCTGCGATTGCGTCCTAGATCTCGTTCAAGACCTCGTACTCCTGAAGCTGAAACACCTATCCGTCGAAGTCATCGAAGGTCCAGTGACCATTATGTTTCAAGATCAATTCGAAGAAGAAGATCATCAACTGGAATGCTCCAAGAGCAGCAGCCATCGTATGACCCTAACTATGGAGGGTCAATTACCATTGGGTACTTACGAGCTTTATGTAAAGTTCTGATCGAGGAACAAAATAGACAAGCTAAAGAGAAGCAACCATCACCCCCGGATAACTCGAAAGAATATAAAGAGAAGAGACACTTGTATCCCAACATACCGTCGCAGAATAATGATCGATTCCACAGTGACAATATACCTCAGGAATTCGATCATTCGCTTCCATTACCCTCAGATGAAGTACTTGGATCACCTATTAATCATCATCGTATAGTTGACGATCTTAATGGGAATACCGATGGAGCTGTTACAAATAAGAAATTAGAGGACCCCTTACTGCTGGGCATCATGACTCCAAGGGAAAGTGGGTTCTTAGAAGATCAGGAGTACCCCCGCCAACGGCCTGGATTCAAATCGTATCTCGAACGGATTATAGAAAGCCAAAGGAAAAGAAAAAATAGGAAAACCACCCTGACAATCAATTTCACTGTCGACAAATCACCTGAAAGTATAGGCAGAAGTGAAATTCAAACCAAAGGTGCTACAGATCGTGAAAATGAAGATTCCACAGGGTTTATTATAAAAGATTTAACAGAGTTGGAAGAATCAGAAAAAACGAGAAGAAACTCTTCTACTGTAAACCTGGGAGTCGTTACGCCACCAGATGCCTCAAAAGAAATATCGAACTTCACCCACGAAACACCGGAACAGAATACCCTGGGCTATTTACAAGAACCTAAGTCAGCGGAGGTTGAGTCTGAACTTAATGATGTTCACGAATCACAAGGAAAGGAAGTGATAGCTTCTGAACCAGACCAATTCAATATCGAACAACCCCAACTTGAGAATGACGAACATTACCAAGATGATATGAATAATATAAATAACGTAGAAATGATGAGTCCTGAAAGCCCAAACACAAACTTGAGTCTGAAACAATCTCTGGCAGAAGATAGAGAATCAGTCCAAATGACTCCTCAATTCCATCAATCCTTCGAGCAGATTGACATAGGCGACTTACAATATAATGACTATTCGAATTCACAATACTCCCCAAGCAAGATTGTTACACCATCAAACGCTGGCACCGACTATCCCAATCAAGATGACCATGCTATCCAAACAGACTCACCTGAAGGAATGATTCGTGAGCAATACATGCTAGGCAGTGATGATTTGGAAGAAACACAGAGAGACTTCCTTGAAGAACATGAAAGCCGTGTCAAAGAAGCTAAAGGAGATGTATTTACATCGACAAACAAGAAAACTCCTACTTCAGCCAAGGAAGGCTCTAAGAAAATTACTGTTCAAAAAGTTCCCCTGGCAACGGCCAGCCATATCCCTATCCGAATGGTGAAAGATTTGGTCAAGACAATCAGCACTACGTCTTTTAGCCAAAATCCAGGGCCACCTAGGAAAAAGAAGAAGTTGGAGCAAATTCCAACCACGACACAACAAACCCTTAAAGAGTTGTCCGAAGATTTTCTACAAAATATAGTTTCAGATTTGGAAGCATTTGCGGTCCATAGAAAATCTAAACGTATTGGACTTAAGGACGTTCTATTATTTTTGAATAGGGTAAAAGATTCTGAAGAGGATAACTGCAGTGAAGTGGAGAATATTTCCAAGTTGGCTCAAAGGTTTTTACCCTTGGAGTCATTAATCTTGCTCGACAACAGCTTGGCTGACAGTATGGAGCCTAAGAATCATTCCTCGGGTAGGAAGAAAGATTCTGAAAAGTCAGAAGTGAAAGGTGAAAAATCCTCGGAGGAAAGCATACGAACTGAAACAAGACACTTGGGTGGATTCAGTGATTCTGAGGAAAATTAGAATTATCAATAGATCGAGGTCTGTATTATAACTTATGTACATTAAATATAAATAGAATATCTACAGGATGTTTACAATTTGAAAATCAACTTAAGCTGCCAGCCTTTGGGCAGCTAGTTCGTTCTGCTTACCTTTGACCAACTTGTAAAGCTCGAAAATAGCAGCAGGGGTGATACCTTGAACCCTTCTGGCTTGACCAATTGTCTCCGGTTGAACGGTGTTAAGTAAAGTGCAGACTTCATGAGAAATTTTTAAGTTTCCTTCATTACTATATTTGAAATTCAAAGGTAAAAGGAGATTTTCATCTGCTTCATATGCCTTGACGTGAGTAGCTTCCTTCTTAGTCCACAATTCATATAAACTTTCGACTTCAAGTCTTGATATTAATCTCTTGTTAAGTTTATTGTAAACAGAAGGAAGTTCGCCAATTTTATTCAAATGGGGAAGAAGGCCTGCCATATTGATATCAACATATGACAAAAGCTTGAAAGCGTCGACCGGAGTGTTCTTTTTAAAATCGCGATTAACACCTTCTAACAAATTTCCCCATTTATGACCACTCATAGAAATAGACTTCAAATGATCTCTCACGAGCTGGAAAATTTCTAATTCATTTTTAAAATGATTGTATCTCTCTGAACCAACAGCACCTGCTGTGAACCCCTTTTCAGTTAGTCTGTAATCAGCATTATCAGATCTTATTGAAACTCTGAATTCAGAACGTGAACTGAACATTCTATAAGGTTCTTCCACACCCTTCGTGATAAGATCATCTATCAAAACACCTGTAAAACCATCAGAACGACGGAGAACCAAAGGCAGTTTATTTTCTGCCGCTAACCCTGCATTTATACCCGCTATACAACCTTGTGAAGCAGCTTCTTCATAGCCAGTGGTACCATTAATCTGACCAGCTAAGTATAGACCGTTGACTAACTTAGTTTCGAGAGTGTTTTTCAATTCCCTAGGGTCTAAGTAATCATATTCCACACCATAACCCGGTTGAGTCATAGTAACATTTTCACAACCCGGCAACATTCTAACCATCTTTTCTTGGATATCCTCTGGCATGGTACAGGAAATACCATTTGGATACACAATGTCAGTATCCAAACCTTCAGGTTCAAGCCAAACCATGTGTGATGATTTTTGTGGAAACTTGATTATTTTTGATTCAATTGAAGGGCAGTAACGAGGTCCCTTGACTGTTTCTCTTATATGTATTGATTTATCAAGATTATCTGCAATCAAGTCATGGAAATCGGGATTAGTGTAGGTTATATAGCATTTCATTAGTTTATCTTCGAGAGAAACCTTATCATTCATGTAAGACATTGGTTGCGGAGGGAAATCAGAACTTTCTGATTTCAAATTGGAATAATCGATAGTTTTAGAAGATAATCGAGGTGGGGTACCAGTTTTGAGTCTACCGACACGGAACCCTGCTTCCCTGAATGTTTTTGATAAGCCAAAAGTGGCGTCTTCACCCATACGCCCAGAAGGATATGCTGTTAACCCTATATGTATTTCACCTCCCAAGAAAGTACCAGTAGTTACAACCACTTTAGAACATCTTAAAACACGACCATCAGACAAAATAACACCTTTCACTTGACCATAGTTTCTTCCAGAAAAATCAACATCGCTATGAGAGGGATCTATGATGATATCTTCAACTTGTGCTTCCAAAACAGATAAATTTGGGTAGTTAAGGATTACTTTTTGCATCTCTTCCAAGTAAATTTTACGGTCTATCTGAGCACGGGGTCCATGTACCGCCGGTCCCCTGGAAGCATTCAAAACTTTGAAGTGAATGCCAGCCTTATCGGTGACCTTAGATGAAACCCCATCCAATGCATCAACTTCACGAAGAAGAGTACCTTTCCCCACACCCCCCATCGATGGGTTACAAGAGGCTGTACCTATCTTGTTTATGAAAGGAGTTACCAAGGTAGTTTTAGAGCCTGTACGAGCTGACCCTGTAGCTGCTTCACATCCAGCATGGCCACCTCCAATAACGATAACGGGATGTTCATTTGCATCATCGAGAAGCCTTTGCAAGTCCGAATTGATGATGATCGATCTGCTTGGATAGACTCGACGCACAGCAGAGAACCGTGTTCGCCTCACTAAAGAGCCGTTAATCCTGAACATTATACTCAGATCTGTAGTTATCAGTTGAAGAAGTACTTGATTTTTCAAATATGATAATTACAAATGAATAAAGTCTGTATGCAGTTTTTTTTTTTTTTTCTTTTGGGTTTGATTTCGAGAAAAATGAAAAGCTTTAAGCTCATCTCATCAAGAAAACATTATTTGCAATCATTTAGTTTTGAATCGACGATCACAAATTATGAGTAAAACGGATGCCAAACCTGTGTCTGCTGGAGCAGATGATCTAGATGATGGTCTTGATTATGAGGTTGACCTTTCAGCTTCCGACAGCGAAGATGTCCATCTGATTCAAGATGAGGAGGAAACTAAATCAAAAGATGAACCTAAGCACCAAACCGAAAATAACGAGGGAGGAAAGAAGAGAAAGGCAAAGTCTTCTAAATTACAGGAGAAGAAAAGAATAAAAATGGAAATTGATATGTCCCAGAAGAAAAATTTGTCCACAGAAACAGCACCTGAAGTTATTGCCGATTACATTAATAACAAGATACGCCAAAAGAACTCCGAATTGTCAGCTTTAGAATTATCCGAGCTTTACTTGAATAAGTCCGACTTTAGATCAACTTCAGAAATTAATGATAAGCCTAGGAACTTGGACAATTTATCAGCATTTATCGATTCTAAATTCAAAAACATGTTACCTAATACGTCAAAGAAAAATAAGAAAGCATCGAAGAATAAAAAACAAAAGGATGATGAATCTGAATCTAAAGATGAACGTAAATTTATTTCCATTCTTTCCATGTCTGCTATTCGTGCCTGTGATATTCATCGTGCCCTTCGTGATATACCAGGAGCATCTTTGAAATTAATCAATAAAAACAAATTGCATGTTGATCTTAATTTAGTTAAAAGTACCAGATCAAGAGTTCTTTGCTGTACACCAGGAAGATTACTCAAGGTTTTGGATAGCGAAGAACTGCAACTTAAAGGTGAAGAAATAAAGATTGTGATACTTGACAATTCATATTTGGATCAAAAACAACAAAACGTAATGGATATCAAAGAGACCTTTGAATGCTTAAAGGCTTTGGCGGATAAAGGATCTAAAATTTATTTATATTAAGCTTATTTCAATTCTTTAAAAGCCAATGTACATTAAAAATTATTTACAAATATATACTTAGCAAACCAGAAAAGGCAAGTAAAGACCTTTGTTAGACTTGTAGAACTCTTTAATACCTTTTAAGATGGCTTTAGAATCATTCTCACTTATGATTTTATGCGAACTATTAATCTCCTTCAAAATTTCTAGACCCGATTCGTTTGATTCATCAATTGGTTCTGCATTTGCAAAACTTAATATGTACATAAGATTAGCATAAACAGCATCTGAGTTTATACTTGAACTTTGAACAGACTCTCCCAGCATTGATTCTTGTTCAGTTTCAGACACATTTGTACTTTCAGTCTCCGTATTTTGGTCTGCTTTGGCCTTTGAGTTTTCATTTGAGACTGGTTTCATTGCGTTAATGGGAATATGTTCACGAGACGGAAGTATGAGCTCTTCATATATCCATTTTGATTTCAACTCGATAAACGTCTTTTTCACGTGTTTGTTGGTAAAAATCCTGCTATGTGAGTAGCCAAGAGAGTGGTTTTGACCATCGAGAGATAATATATTAGCAGAAAATTGGTATAATATAGATGAAAGTCTTAGAGATGGTCGGAAAGTTGAAGATTCTGGGCTAGCAGGAGTAATGATGGCATCTCGTAAACTCTCGACATATGTCAGATTCTTTAATTTTAGATTCAGGATTGCAGAAAAGAATTTAGTATAAACATCTCTAACCAATGAATCTATTGATTGCAATATTTCACTTTCAATATCATCAAACAAAAGGACTTTCTCCTTCATTGTAACGAGTATATGTAATAAAGAGTAAAGATTTTTCAAATCTTGATCAGCACTGATGTTATCTATGATATTGGAGAGGAAATCAAGAAAAGCAATAATATTGTCCCAGAATTGTTTTGATAGTTGGGTCTTTAATGAAGTGAATTTTTCTTCAACAACGGCATAAGAGAAACTGCCCCATTTCAAAGTTCCTTGACTTAATTCATCAAAGTCCTTCCGGAGGAATTTAATTAAATAGGCTAATGCAGCAGTAAAATCTTGTCTATTCAAAGACGTTGGTTTTTGAGTTTCGAGAGAACGCCTCAAAGAAACAAAAATTCCAAACCAATCATCAATCTTGTTACAAGATTCTTGTATAGGTAATATATCAGAAATCAGAAAAGACGAAGAAAAGGATGAGTCGCGAATGCCGTCAATATAAAGGTTTAGATTGGTATCTATAAGGTCTACCATGTCACTTGAAAATAAACCTGAATCTTTGCCTTTTTTATCGGCTGCCAAATGAGACTCTATGAGGGAAGCAATATTTCCTGAGAATGATTTGTCTGATAAGCTCTTGAAATGGGAATCAAAGATACATTCTGTATTGGATAGAATTTTATTCAAAATTGATTGGGCAAGGCCAGAGTCTGTCACAAGTCTCAGAAGATTGTGAGATTTGCCATTTGATGCACTCGAGACAACGACTTTACCCAAATTCACAATAAAATTATGGAAAATGACAAACTGATGGGATAATTTAAGTAATGGATCATAAGATGCTCCAACTAATGAGAATATTTTCTCTATATTTTGCAGTATCATAGAAGGGAATTTTCTTAATAATTCATTAGTAGCTTTGATTGAAGAGTCAGGTAAACTAATTAAATAAATGTCCCGGTTAAATCCAACTTCCTCTATGTCAAACCAGTCATGGAAGCCCAATAAATCAGAAATTTTCCATGAAGCAGTGACTTGTTTCAATGATTTTGCAAAATCATTAGTTGTCAGTCCACCGAGGAACTTTGCAATATAATCACAGGTATTTTCAATAAAAGTCAAGACTTTAAAGAAGCTGATGTGAACTGTTTTCAAACCCGATGAAAGCACATTTTCCAATAAAGATTCTAGGTAAGATAAACGTAAATTGATTAATTTTTCAGCGACTTTGGAAAGAGAATTGAGGTTTGAATTATTGTGGTTTACAATGACGTATGCAACCAAATAATTAAGAAATTGAGGAGAATTCTTATTAATACAATCGGAGGCATTAGGAAGATCTAAATCTTGAAGATCATCATAATCGTCTTCATTAAATTCATGATCATCGCCTAAAAACTCCAAATCATCGTTTTCAATAAAGATATTTTGATGGGTTTCTGATAATATATCACTAGCGGATAATCTGTGGGACGGGGAATACAAATTATAGTCACTTGAAATATAGTCTTCTACTGGGGCATTATATTGAGACAACTCTTTCTCTAAATAAGAAACGAATTTATTTTTCAATTTTGAAAATCGATTTGACAAATGAGCATCAGTTGATAACTTATCCTGAAACAAAAATTCTATAGCATGGTACAATTTTGCATAATGAATCAACCAAAAGGCATTTTTCAAATGATCAGATGTGGATAATTTCAAATCCAATGCAACCAATTTCTTATTAATCAAGTAATTCAAGATGGTTTTCTTGGAATTTGTTCTAGCAAATTCAATTTGTCTAGATCTTAAATTTGAATTGAATTTTGAATACGGATTTGAATTGTTAAAATTGACAAATTTTCCCGGCTTATAAGAAAGATCAGCAAGTCTTGAGTCTACTTCTCTGGTAAATCCATGCATTACGTCAATATCTTCCGAGATTCTAATCAAATCCCTGTACTTGCTTCCCACCAAAGAGTGAAGATCAGATTTAGCCTTGTTGACATGGTCTTTATATTCATTATTCAATTTACGAATTTGGGGAATGGAAAGATGAATAAAGATGTCGTTTGCAGAGGCAAACTGGCGGTCTCCCACACTGGCAATTGAGGCCGTATCCGAGTACCTTCTATCTGTTGACATTAGCTATATTGATCAAAGGTATAGCTTATAACTGGCCTGTTGTTCGAAAAAAAAGTTATGTGAAAAATCAAGTAACCTGCAAAACCAGACTTTTGCAGGTTGACGCTACCAGGATATTTTGCATCCATAAAATGTTTACAGAAGCCAATCAAGTCTGACTCGACAGAGTAGCAATATAGAAGAATTGGTAACACATGTACATGAGGTATTAGTATAGCACAAGTATCTGTAAAGGCGAGGTATAAGGGGGAAGAATTTGGATGTATATAATACTAGTTCGTAAGTAGTTGATTACGTGGAATGACCTGGTTCTAAGGTTTCTATCGCTTTCTCCCTGGTCTCAGAGATTGGACCTAGTCCTCTTACTCATTAACATATTCATATATCAATACATCAAGATATATAACGTTTAAGTCGAAGAAGATATGACTGCGTCCTGCACATTTGCAGGAGAAAATTTTTAGCGCGGTTAGGAATATTACTCGATTAGTCGAGTCTTTAAATCCTAGAAATGAAGATAAACTACAATTAATCCATTAGGATATAGTCATTACATAGAAACCCGTGTGAACCAGTATAGGGAGATATAGATGTCGGTCACGGAGAGCCAACAAAAGTCAGCGCCGGATGGTGACTCTGATTATGGGACTAGTGCTGCGAATCGCAGGATTGACCGGGATGTCAATGACGTGATAAGCATATCCAGAAGTAAAAGAGAGGCTGTGGGAAATGACGAGGGGGCGGCCAAGGGGGTCAGTAAGGAAGAATCAAAGACAGATAAGAGTTTTAATCTTTATCAATTTTACAGCCAGAGTCAGGGTCTCGATATTGAACTACCACCAATTCATACCGCTTCTGGGATTCGAAGGAACTCGAGGGATAAGATCAGGCAGACCGAAGGCAGTAAGCCTCGCAAAGTCACCGAGTCCAAAGTGGCCAAGATCAAACCTAGTGCCCCGATCAGCTCGAAAAAACGCTATATTCTTGAAAGAATTGCAATGCAACAGGACTGTGTTGACGAAAAAGAGGATCAAATCGAAGAAGGTCAACAGAAGGCTTATGACGGCTTGACCACGCAATCTCCTCTTCCTTCATCGCATGATGAGCTTCCTCCAAAATTCAGTGATTCAATAATTGCCAATGATTTCCTAGTACCTGGAGTACCCTTGCAAGAAGAGTACGATATTACTCTTCCGGAATTGAGCAGCAATCAGGAAGACTCTTCTTCTTCACTTCACCATGCCTTGAATTGAAAGCTTTTAATATCAATTCTAATTGCATTTAAAGTATTTAATTTTGCTTTCACTCTTTCAGTGTTTTCTCTTTTTTCCATTTTTCCCCATTCTTCTTCCCTCATACTCTTTCATACTCTTTCATACGCTATCATACTCCTTCAATTCTATAAATATATTCGAATCATTCTAGCTGTTGCAATTGCAATTATCCGAAATTCGGATAGTCTGCAAAACTGAGACATAATTAAAGGCTAAAATACATACTTCCGGAATCGGAGCGACTTTCCTCACTAAAAAACAAAAAAAAAATTTTTTTAATAGATGATTATATAATCCCTTCCTTATGTCTCTAAAAAAATTTTTTTTTTTTTGTTTTTAAGGTCTTTTGTTTTCAACTTTTCAACTTTTTATCTCGAAAATCTATATCGAATTAGAAAGCAGTATTGAAATACTACTTTAGCTTCAACTTCATTAAATTGTTGGTCTATTGCTTGCCCAAAAGGTTGAACAAGAATGACTTCTCTACATAATCAGGTTGCTGACCCCACGACATATTATCAGGATCAGTTTTATAATCCTCATATGTCTAACCAACCTCAACAAATGATTCCTGCAAATTCGGGTTCACCAATATCAGAAGCGGCAGGGACTCCATTTTATCAAAGTGATCCTCATTCTTCGGTTAGTACTGGGAACTATGAAGCCAGTGCTTCGCCAAATGATGATCAATTCTTTGAAGAACATCAACAACCGCAACAACAATCGGTTCAAGAGGATGCCCCAGTGGAACAACCATTTTATGTGAATGCCAAACAATACCATAGAATCTTGAAAAGACGTATAGCCCGGGCTAAATTGGAGGAAAATTTGAAAATTGCTAGAACTAGAAAACCGTATCTTCACGAATCCAGACATAAACATGCCATGAGAAGACCAAGAGGTCAAGGAGGCCGTTTCTTAACTGCAGCTGAGATTGCCGAAAAGGAAAGATTGGAAAAAATGAAAGAATTGGAAGATAAACAGAAGGAAGGTGGTTCGAAAGAATCGAATGCCTCTCAAAATCCGCCAGTCAATAAACCTAATGATGCTAATCCAGTTCAAATTGGTAGTAATAATGAAACTGACTCTATATTTGAAAATTTGATCAATGAAAATGGAGCCACAGCTTGATTTTTTGTCGAAACTTTTTCTTGCTTATGTCTAACGTCTTGAATGTTCTATTCACTTTTATTTGTTATTTGGTTTTGGGTTTAAACTTTTTTTTTGCTTCCATTCCTTTTCTTCTGTTTCTTTTTGTTAATATCATTCTTGTTTCTCTTTTTTCAATTCTTATGGTGTTCTACCAAACGCTTGACTTTACTAAAGTTCCTTTTTGTTGATTTTATTAACGTTATTAAAAAAAAACTTATTAAAAAAAATGACGAGAACATTGTACTATACTATTATTTCTTCTTTTTATTTTATTTCATTAATAAAAAAGTTTATTACATATAATACTAACTATTTTTGTGTATTCATTAATTTTACATACTATTTAAGACTGATTTGGCTTCATCTGATACTTGATTTAATACCCCTGTATCACCCAATTTCTTGATGTTTGAAATGGCACCAAATCTAATAGATTGTTGATCGTTACTTTTCACACTAGGTAATGGATCGAATGGTTTCTTTTGGATTGAAACAATCTTGGAAAACTGAGACCCAAATGAAAAACTTTCTAAATCTAATTCATTTATAGCTATACTTGCAGTCTCACTACTTAAAGTATTACCAAGAACTGCATTATTAGTTGATTTTTGAATACCACTCAAAGAATTTAAATTTTTACATAAAGCTTCAATAGTAGGAATAACCAAACTTGTATAGTTTTCTTTTAATGATTTTGAATTTATTAACTCGGACAAGCCAAGAGTTGCAACTTTTTTATCTTGTGAGTTAACTAAGGTTCCTGCAGTTGGTAAAATGAAATTATTATATATCAGTTGGAAAACTCCTGGTTGAACAGAATCAATAAATTGAACGATGAAATCAGCATTAATCGATTTACCGATTTCTTGGTAGACTGGGTTTAATGGAATACAACACAAGGAAGTTAAAAATACCACAAACTTTTTGATGAATTTATCGGTTCTTGAATTTTTAAGACGAGTTAATAATAAAATACCAATTTGATTTAAATAATTGCTTAAAATATTAAGAGGAATTTTAAGTAATATGACTTGTAATAAATCAAAACCATATTGATCATTAGCTTTTGATGCAATCAATTTTTGGAAAACACCTAATAATGGAGTTAAATCAGCTTCGCTACTAGCGAAAACTTGTGGTTCTTGTTCCAAGATTGCAATCAATAATCTAAAAATACCAGGGATATTACCACGGAATTCCCAAACAATTGGTGACAATAATGGCTTGATTAAATTTTTATAATCATCAGGTAATGGACTTGATGATGGTAATAATTCTAATAAAAATGCTAAAATTTGGAAAACATAAGGAACAAATTCTTGAACATCATCACCTAAAATACTTAAAAGGGAAGGTAAGATGAGTTGGATATATTGAGGAATTCTTTGATCATCAGAAATATTAGAAGAATCAGAAAATTTAATTAATAAACCTAAAGATTCAAAAATATAATGAGTGAATTTAGGATTGGAAGGATTTTTAGAAATGAGTTGTAAAATTTGTAACATTTGATTGATGATGGTAATTTTAAACTGAGGATCAATGATATTTTCTGCAGTATTGAGAACTCTCATTATACTTTTAATTAAAAATTCGTTTTCAGCTAATTTTTCTGGAGAAGAATTGTTTGATAAAACTAATCTAAACAAGTTAGTTAATAAATCATTGACGAAAGGTTGAATATCAGATTTAGTGAAAACTGGAGAGTGATCAGTGAAATTGGTCATTGATAATAATTTTTCGATAGTAATTGCTGAATAAGTATAAACCACAGGATTAGGATTATTTAAGTGATTGATAAGTAAAGGAATAGTGGTAAGTAATTGGTCTTTAGTTAATTGATTTCTGAAAGTGAAAATATATTTAATAGCATCAGTTTTCAAATTTAAATGAGCTTGATCACTAACTAAATCATTAGCAATATTATTACTAAAGAATTCAACCACATCAATTAAAACATTAGTTGAGGTTACTCCTATATTAGTTACTGAACCTTTAGCAGCTAATGAGCTGAAAAGATAAATTGCCACATCTTTATTTTTCCAATCATCACCTAAATTTAAAAATTGATTAACATAAGTCATTACGGTACTAGTTAATAATTCAGTATTAACTTCTTTTAATTCACGCAAGAAATCAGTGGCTGATTTTCTTCTAGTATCAAAGTCAGAACCTTCTAAATCAGATCTAACATAATTAATTGGTTCATCTTCGAATAATTCTTCATCAACTTCACGGAAATAAATATTTGGTAAAATGATTTTTTCAATAATTTCTTTTAAGGAACTTTCATTATTGAAATAATATTGATATTTATTAATTTTAGAAATTGAAGTTAAAAATGTAAGGGATTTAACTACTAATAAATCATATTTTTGTTGTTTTGTAACGTATTGGTTAATTAAATTCCAAACTGTTGTAATGAATTGTTCAATTAAAGGATCAAATTCTTCAGCATAACGACTAATATATAATAAGATCAATTCAACAATTGAAGTTTTAACTTTAATTGCAATGTCAATATTTTCATCATCATCAGGGTCGGTTAATAAAGGAGTTGATAATTGTAAATATTTATGCATTATATTCATACCAATCGATAAATTATCTTCAAAAAATTCTGGGATATCTTGACAATTTAAATCGTAATAAATTTGAGTTAATAATAATAAATTTTCAAAATAAATTTCTAAAGAAGCTTTATCATTTGATAAGCTTTGTTGAATCAATTCATCAACTTTAATTAAAAGAGATAAGAAAGGTTGAGCAAATTTATCTAAAACCATTTTAATTTCCAAGAATAATTCATCTGATCTGAATAAAGGTCTCCATTTTTTAAAAATTGAATGAGCCACTAATAAAATACCTTTATTTAAAACGAAATCAGTGGTTGATAATTTTGAAACCAATTCATCGATTAAATTTTGCCAATTATGAGGGAAATCTGATTCAGCAATGATTGAAATTGATTCCCCAATTTGAATTTGTAAATTATTTGGTAAATTTATCATGACATCTAAAATTTGAGTTTTAATTTGATTAATATCATCTAAAGGTAATAAGTATTCACCATCTTCATTAATCCATTTACGTTTTATTAAATTTTTGAAAAAAAGAGCACCAGCTAATCTAGTTTGAATTGATAAATTAGTCAGGGCGACAATATGAAGTAAATTTACTGAAAAACCTTGATTTGATTCAAGAGATTTCAATTGAGCCTCGGCCTGTTTGGCAAACTGAGGATGAATTGATTGATCCAAGATGGTAGGAATTGATTCCAAAGTATTTTGGGCCATGATCAATCTATTTCAATGTAAGTATTGATGAAAAGATAACTAGTTAGTTGTACGCTTTTTTGTTAAGATGGAGGTTTGTTCGATGATTTTCTTTTCACTTCGATGCGATGGACCCGTACATCAAAAAAATTGGCTCACTCACCACCCGTGCACCAGAACTTCTCCCATGCAGCCGTTATCGAGAATGAGCGGCTAAACAGATAACTGATGAATCGGAGTAGATGAAGCAAGAAGCGATGATCTGATTCAATAGGATGATAAAGCAAGAGATTGATCAAGGAATGATTAGACAAGAAGTCAATTAGACCAGGAAGGGCAAGTAAGAGTAGAAGCCAGTAGCGGCACTAACCAGGTAAATAGGACTAAACAGGTGACCGGACTAAACGCGGGAGCAGACCAAACAGGTGGGTAGAACTAACAGTAGACATGTGGGTATTGACAACTATACAATGGTGGATACTTTTGTTTATCGACTGATACCATCATCTGATCTATAATCTTATCTGATCTGTAATCTTTATTCTAGTACTTGTTGATTAGATAGATGAGAATAGATGATAGAGCACGATCGAGTCGGTGATAGAGTAGACGATAGAGTAGATGGTAAATGATAAAAGATGATAAATGATGGATGATTGATGAAAGATGATAAATGATGAAAGAATAAAATGGTTGTTAAATTTACGCGCCGGGTCTTGCATACAAAAACAACAACAGGCTAAAAAAAGACACGAACTACAAATAATTGTTTACAAAGAAACGTCTACCAATCAATTTTTCAGAATCTTCTATTAAATCTTGAAAGTATAATATATCATACGAGATGATATGAATGAAATATGATAACAAATAAAGTAGGAATCAAAATAATAAGAATAAAAATGTAGCACTTTTAAAACAAACTATTTTGAGCTAGAAGGTAATTGTTGAGCGTTTTCTTTAGCTTGTTTTTGTTTAGAAACGGTATAAACCAAACCAGCAACAAAACCGACAAAGATAGAGGAACAAGACCAGAAGTTGACTGCACTATCAAAGAAAACCAAACCAGATAAAGCAATTGGTAATTTATTTAAAGCACCAACCATAGAATAAGTAGTAGAGGAAGTAACTCTAACACACCAAGCACTACAATAAGAAATACCAACAGAAGAAGCACCGGAGAAGATCATAGCAACAATGGTGGCAGTTCTATTATCAGGAGGGAAGTTAAGAGCAACATTAGCAGAAGACCAATCTTCAAAAATAAAAGAAGAAATCAATAAAATTGGAATAGATAATAAGTTATTATAGTACATGGTATCAAAATCTTTAAAGTTGGTCAACTTTATTCTTTTTCTCATGATTAAAACAAATGCAGCGGAAGCAAGACAATTGGTAAACATCCAGAAATAACCCAAGTATAAAGAAAAAGTATCATCAGGAGATTTGGCGGCACTTTGATCACCATAACAAGCCAAAATAGAAGAAAAAACCATTAAAAGGAAAGAACCTAAAGCCATGGTAGTAACTTTACCACCAAACCATAGAACTTCACCATAAGCAATTAAAATAATGGTCAAATTCTTGAAAATAGTATAAACTGGAATTGACAAGTATTGTAAAGCTTTGGAAGAAGTATAAATCATGGCAACTAATAAGAAAGCAATTGGAGACCATTTTTTAGCTTCATCTTTATTAAATTGTCTATAAGTAATAACCCCAAAAGTTTTCAAAGTACCAATGGTAACAATACAAACAATTGATTGAACTGCTAAAAGGAAACAATTCAAATTAAAATTATAACCAGATAACACATATTTATTAGTAACCGTCATCAAAATTGATGAAGCACAGTAAGAAAAAATTGAAATTGGTGCTGAATTAGCAATAGAGCTGGTAGCTCCTCCAGTGAAAGATTTCTCCATCTTGTTGTTAGTGTACTGTTGATACTTGGATCGTGCTATATAAACTAAATGGCCCAATAAGTAGAACAGAAGTATACCCATTCAAAGGAAGAAGAAAAGTAGAAAAAAAAATTTCAGGAGAGGAAAACAGTTAAGTAAATACCAAAGGGAAAAAGAGACAAAAAAAAACAGAGGAAAAAAACTCACAAAATGAGAAAATTCAACAAAAACGAACGAAAAGGAACAGAAAATTGCACCAAAAAAGAAAAATTAGCGGAAACACCCAAACAACACGTAGTTGATAACCAGATGTAATACAAAAATACATAGCAAGCCTTACCAGATTGACAGGTTTACTGGTATCCAGGTACCCCGTTTGTATCCAGTGGATATTGTTTGCGGATATTGTTGTAGATAATCCTTGTACCTTAGTAGCTCATCGCCTGGAAGATTTCATTTCAACAATAAATTTTACAATATATCCGGTTAACGTCAACCGAATTTCTTTCTTTTTCAGTGGCAGTGAAATTCTATCGGGGCATCTGTTTGTAACATCTATTAACATCTTTACAATTAACCTATGTAAAACGAAAAAAAAAAAAAAAAACCAAAAAAAAAAAAAAAAAAAAAAAAAAAAAAAAAAAAAAAAAAAAAAAAAAAAAAAAAAAAAATAATAATAATAATAAAAGGTGGCTATTAAATTTATTCATAATCACCTCGATTATATATACTTATATCTACTTCTGCTTTAACATCCACCATATCACTAGCATCAATACATGCATCAACACTCAATCCTTGTAATTGACTTTGTTGTTTCAATCTTTGATTTTGAGCTCTAATTTTTTCTAATTCTTCCAAGTAGTCATCTTCAACACCAGTAATGTATTTACCGGTGAAAACACCAACTTCGAAATTTTCAATTTTATCTTCAGATTTTTGACAACATTCGATCAAGTCTTGTAAATCTTGGTAAATAACTTGATCGGCACCAATCACTTGACTGATTTCCTCTTCATTTCTATTAAATCCAACTAAGGCTTTTGTATCTGCTAAATCAATACCATAAATATGATTAAATCTAATTGGTGGTGCACAAGATGCGAAAAATACTTTACGAGCACCGGCTTCTCGAGCCATTGCAACAATTTCTTTTGATGTTGTTCCTCTAACAATCGAGTCATCAACTAATAATACATTTCGATCTTTGAATTCACTTTCCATGGCGTTTAATTTTCTTCTAACTGAACTAACTCTTTCCTTTTGATTTGGCATTATAAAGGTTCTTCCAATGTATCTATTTTTAACAAATCCTTCTCTAAATGGTATATTTAATGATACCGCACATTGTAATGCTGAGGTACGTGATGTATCGGGGACTGGAATAACAACGTCAATTTTTTCTCCTTGTAAAGTTTCTTCAATTTTTTTAGCTAATTTATTACCCATTTCAATTCTCGAATGATAAACACTAACTCCATCCATAACAGAATCCGGTCTTGCAAAATAAACGTATTCAAAAATATCGGGGGCAAATATTTTACTTTCAATAACTTGTTTAAATTCAACGTATCCATCTTTTCTAATTATAACTGCTTCTCCAGGTTTAACATCTCTAAATTTATTATATCCTTGTGCTTTTAATACAACACTTTCTGATGCTAACATATAATCTTTCCCCTTTTCAGTTTCTCGTTCTCCAAACAATAATGGTCTAATCCCATTTGGATCACGAAATCCAATAACCCCATAGCCGGCTAACATTGCAACACAGGCATAAGCTCCTCTAATAATATTCATGGTTCCACTTAATGCCAGAAAAATATCTTGATTATTAACTCTGGATTTATTAAATTTATCTAATTCACTAGCAAAAATATTTATTAATAATTCAGAATCGGAATCAGTATTAATATGACGATGGACTTCTTCATCTAAATAACGACGTAAATAATTAGAATTAACTAAATTCCCATTATGACTTAACGAAATACCAAATGGTGAATTAACATAAAATGGTTGGGCTTCACTTCCTGCACTTGATCCAGCGGTTGGATATCTTAAATGAGTAATACCCATATTACCAATTAAATTATTCATTCTGGATTGAGTGAAAACATCACGGGCCATACCGTTACCTTTACATTGGTAAAAACGTCCTTTATTACCACAGGTAACTATCCCAGCAGCATCTTGTCCTCTATGTTGTAAAAACATGGCCCCTTCAAATAACTCTGGAGCAACATTTGATTGTTGATCCGCTAAAACGGCTCCCAATATACCACACATCTTCTAATGAATATATCTACTTGGAAAAGAAATATATGGATGTCTATAACTTAAATCTATAACTCTAAACTTAAGATGAATAAGATATACTAATTAATTTTTATTAGGAGTCAAGCTTTTTCAGAGTCAAGTTTGGAAATTTCACAATAACGTCTCATCTCGTTTTCCTCTTTTTCCTTTTTGCTCGGGGTAAAATGTCCACACCCGTACAGTCTACAGAAACCCTCCGTACCTCCCTTGTGTTTTGTATACCAGTATATATTAATCATAAATCATATAATATATATTTAATCCCGCCCCATTGGGATTGGCTTGTCCATCGTTGTCGACTTGTCCAGCGCCGATTGTGAAACGACCAACCTCTTTAAAGCCAAAATGCTTATACGTCTCGAAAGCGTGATCGGATATTGCTGCTAAAGATGCTCCAGTACCTTCTTGTCGACATTTTTGTAAGTATGGTTCTAGTAATTTACGAATTGACCCTTTTTTCTTATTGTTAGGATCTCTTCCAATGAAATTTAAATGCCAATCATTTCTATCAATTAAACCATGTTCTTCTTTTAGTGATTTCATCTTAGTTTTAAATTCATTAACAAATTCCTCAACCTCAGGACCAAAATTGGGCGATTCCGTTACCAAACCGGGTCTTATCCAAATTGCAATCAGTCCGTAGTCATCTGCTTCGATTATTTCAGCCCCGGTTCCTTCTAATGCCATCAATCTAACATAGAAATACCCTTCACAACTATCTAATTTTTCCTCGAGCGAAATCCCCCGTAGTTTTTTCATTAATACTTGTTGAAGGGGCACAGCTGCAAATGCTTTATCGAGTACCTCAGCTGCTCGGGTGATATTTCCAACGTGGTTATAAGACATCCTTAATGAAACTACAGAAAAGATTGGATTTACATGAGGCCTCTTAAAGACTTCAATTTCAAAACGACAAAAAAAAAAGACAGGTTTTTGACTGTTATTTATTTTTGCAGTTTTGCAGTTTTCTATTCATATACCATGAAGTATAGACTTAAACCTTCACCATTTGGATTTGGCTTTCCATCAGCACCAATTTGACCTTCACCCATATGAAACTTATCGACAACCCTAAAGCCAAAATGTTCGTAGACTTTCACTGCGTGTTCCGAGATTGCTTCTAACGAAGCACCAACTTTTTCTTCTCTAGCTTTTTCCAAGTATGGTTCAAACAATTTACGTATTGATCCCTTCTTTAGTTGAGTTGGATCTCTTCCAATTAACATTAAATGCCAGTCTTCTCTATTCTCCATTCCGTGTTTTTGCTCTAATGCTGCTAGCTTCTGATTATACTCAGTGAAAAATTTTTGGGATATTCCTCCTAGAGGTGGGTTTAAACCAGGCTTGAACCATGCTGCCACTGCAACGAAGTCATCTGCTTCTACTATATCAGCCCCGACTTTATGGAATGCTTCGATTCTTTCTCCTAAAACATTTTCAAAATCAGTCTCTTGTAGTTTCTCATGCAAAGGAATATTTTTGCAATATTTTACCAAAAAATCCTGAAATTTCGTGGTTGCAAAAGCCTTGTCAATTACTTCTCCTGCTCTTTTGATATCAGACCCTACTACTTTAGAACAACTCATAGCTTCAGTAAACCTTTTATTGGAGGGATAAAAGAAGGAATGTTACTTCACGTTGGCCATCGTGCTACAATTATTGCTCTTAAAATAGAGTATTAGTAACACAAAAATAATTTAGTGATGCTGTTACAGTTCTTAACTCAAGCTAAACCCCATTAAATTAAACTAAGCTAAAGATGGAAGAGTAATCTCGATAAAAAAAAAAGAAAAAGAAAAAAAAAGATGCAAAAAAAAAAGGAAAAATCTTGTTAATATCAAGTAGATACTTCGACCTTATATCCAGAAATTAAAAAAGAAAAGAAAAAAAAAGAAAAGAAAAAAAAAAAAGAATAAAAAAGATCTATATAATTATAAACAGAATCTGTGTAAGGAATAAATGAATAGCAAAATTTTGAAGAAGATCGAAAAGGAAAACATATCAGTTGGATCCTGGTAAAAAAAATCGTAAGTCATTAACATTAGTATACACGTAAGAACAAAAAACACACACAACAAAAGGGTACGAGGACTTTTAGATCTTCATTCTAGAATCAACAGTATTCAAAGAGCTTCAATTACACAACTAAGTTCTATTTTATTGGATTTTTTTTTTTTTTTTTTTTTAATGAATGAAATCGTAACAAGACAATTTGAAAAGTGAATAATTTTTTTTTTTTGGTTTTTTTAAGATTTTTTTTTGAATTTTCAGTACATTTTTTTGGAAACTTGATTAGGATGGTTTATTTTTAAATGAAGTATGGAACATCCTGTGATGAATTTAGTGATATAATAACCCTGTATGTAATAATAAATATGAAAGAAAAAGACAAGGAGAACAAGGTAAAAAATAATTATTCAAATTATAATGGTAATAGTAAAAAAAATAAGAACAAAAACAATTGATAACAAAATTTGGGGAAACTTAATAAAACAAAACCGAAGAAAAAATGATGAGGAGCTCATCGTATGATACAATAATCTATTGGTAGGATTGAGGTGGTTGTTGAGGATAACCATACTGTGGGGGGTAACCATTGAATTGAGGAGGAGCTTGGTAAGGTGGATAGGCAAATTGTTGAGGAGCCTGAGGAATAGGAGGCTGACCAGGTTGAGGGGCTTGTTGAAATTGAGGAGGTTGTTGAGGTTGTTGAGGTTGAGGGGCGGTAGTTTGTTCTTCTGGTTGGCCTTTATATTCATAGCCACTTCTTTTATGAACGGTTTCGTTACCTTTAGGTAATTGATCAATTTTAAAAGGTTTTGGAACTGTTTCTTCATTTTCATTAACATATAAAGATCTATCAATATTACCAGGGATTGGCTTAATTTCAGTACCTAATTCTTGTTCGATTTTATATAAATTATAACGATCATTCCAACTCATTAAATTAATTGCTAAACCTAAATGACCAAATCTACCAGAACGACCAATTCTATGTAAATAAGTTTCAGCAGTTTTTGGGAAATCAAAATTAATAACAACGTTAACAGCTTGAATATCAATACCTCTAGTTAATAAATCAGAACAAACTAAATTACGAACTTTACCTTGTCTAAATTCATGGAAAACTTTATTTCTAGCTTGTTGAGGCATTTTAGCATGAGAATAATAACAAGAATAACCTAATTCTGTAATTTTTTTAGCTAATAATTCAACTCTATTAGTTGAATTACAAAAAATAATTGATTGATTAATTTGTAATTTACTGAATAAAGTGTTAAGACAATGTAATTTTTGTTTTTCTTCAACAAAAGCATAAAATTGAGAAATACCTCTCAAGGTTAATTCATCCATTAAATTAATTTCATAAGGTTTGGTTAAATGTTGATCCATAAAAGATTTTACTGCTAATGGGAAAGTGGCAGAAAATAATAAAGATTGTCTATTTGGAGGAAAAAAGGCCAAAATTTGTTCAATTATACGTTTAAATTCTCTTGATAACATTTTATCGGCTTCATCCATAACGAATAAAGGACATTCAGAAAAATCAGCAACATTTCTTGAAGCTAAATCTAAAACCCTACCTGGAGTACTAACTAATACATGAATTGGATCATGAAATCTTAAAATATCATCTTTTAATGAAGTACCACCAGTAGTAACCATACAATTGACACCAAGGTGTTTACCCAAGGTTCTAACAACTTGAGAAGTTTGTAAAGCTAATTCTCTTGTTGGGACCAAGATAAGAGCTTGAATTTTATTTAATTTTGGTTTTATTTGTTGTAAACAAGGAATAACAAAAGAAGCAGTCTTCCCGGTACCATTCTTAGCTCTTGCTAATATATCTCTACCAGCAAGTGCCATTGGAATTGATTCTTCTTGAATTGGAGAAGGTTTTTCAAAACCAGCTTCAAAAATCCCCATTAATAATTCTCTTTTCAAATTGAAATCTTCAAAAGTTTTACCTTTTGTATTCAAAACATCATCAGTCTGTGGTCTAGTATCTTTGGCTGGAAGATTCAAAGTCTGTTTCCAATTTTGCTCTGACATTTTTGAGTTCTTCTATATATAGGTAATACAATAAATAATGTGTAGCTTGTTGGCGGCTAAGTGATATTCGGACGAAACAGTCGTGAAAATAGTTCTAATCAATCGATGGACGTAAAGAGTGGGTTGGGATAACACTGGAAAGTAACGAATTACCTAATGATCTGTTGTAATATGTAATTTAATCAAGATTTGATAGAAAGTAAATGGATATAGCGCCGACTCGATTCCCTGCCTTCATTTTTTTTTTTTCCTTTTGTTGGTGTCCCCGGTAAGTACACGCCCTTCTGAAAATTTGGAACAAAAGAAAGGTATTACCCGCATTTACAAGTGTATTAAGTATGTAAAGAAAGTATCAAAAGAATAGAGAAGTATATGGTTTCAGAATAGTACCAGACTAATCGAGATCGTGATCCAGTTTACTGATAAACAGGGCGATTTTTTGATCGACATTGGCTACGTCGATCATTTTGGATTGCATCATGTTCATTATATCGTTGTTATTTATATCGGTAATAAGTAGATTTTGATGTTGTATTTCTTCCATTGATAAGTTGAAGGGGAACACACATTCTGTTGATGGACACGAGATCAACGAGACATTTGGTTGGATAAGATGTTGTTTCAATGGAGTTCCACACAACGGACAGTCCATACTTGAGCAATCAAACGATGATTTGTAAGAAAGACAAGAGTCATTTTCATTTTATGTGCGATCTTACATTTTTTTTTTTCACTTCTTCCTTCACTTCTTCCTTCATCTCTTCTCTCTTTACTACTTATCCAATTGGTAACTAAGATGAGGTTATCACCAGAAACTGTTAACAGGTTGCAGAGCGAAACCTCAAATGTCAGAAACATTTGTATATTGGCTCATGTTGACCATGGGAAAACTTCGTTGAGTGACTCGCTTTTAGCCACCAATGGGATTATATCCCAAAGAATGGCTGGGAAAATTAGATACTTGGATTCTAGAGAAGATGAACAACTACGAGGAATCACTATGGAATCTTCTGCTATATCACTTTATTTCAAAGTGATGAGACGTAAAAACGATTCTGAAGAATCTGAAACAAAGGAACATTTAATTAATTTAATTGATTCTCCAGGGCATATTGATTTTTCTGCAGAGGTTTCTACTGCTTCAAGACTTTGTGACGGTGCTGTGGTGTTGGTTGATGTTGTTGAAGGTGTTTGCTCTCAAACTATCAATGTCTTAAGACAATGTTGGATTGATAAATTAAAACCTTTATTAGTCATTAATAAAATTGATCGTTTGATTACAGAATGGAAATTATCGCCTTTAGAGGCATATCAGCATATTTCAAAAGTTATAGAACAAGTCAATTCGATCATCGGATCATTTTTCGCTGGAGAAAGAATGGAAGATGATATGATTTGGAGAGAAAGTGGAACAACTGAAGAGTTTATTGAAAAATCAGATAAAGATCTTTATTTCACTCCTGAACTGAATAATGTTATTTTTGCTTCTGCTGTGGATGGCTGGGCTTTTTCAATTAATACTTTTGCTAAAATATATCTGGCTAAACTTGGATTCTCTCACGCGGTATTATCAAAGACTTTATGGGGGGATTTTTATTTAGATATGAAGAATAAGAAAATAATTCCTGGTAAAAAACTAAAATCAAATCAAAAATCTTTAAAACCTTTATTCGTTGGTTTGATCTTAGATCAAATTTGGTCCATATATGAAAATTGTATTATAAACAGAGATCAAGAAAAATTAGAAAATATTATTGCAAAATTGGGTGCTAAAGTTGGCCCAAGAGATTTACGTTCTAAAGATTATAAAAGTTGCTTGAATATAATCATGTCTCAATGGATCCCTATAAGTCATGCTCTATTAGGTGCTGTAATTGAATATTTACCAAGTCCCATAGACGCCCAAAAGGAAAGAATTGAGAAAATCTTGAATGAATGTCTTTACAGTGCTGTAAGCGATTCGAAAGATAAAGTCTTGGATTCTGATTTCCATAAATCAATGATCTCTTGTGATAGTGATAAACCAAATCACACAATTGCATACGTATCTAAAATGCTATCAATCCCTCCAGAAGATCTACCTAAAGATATAGAAGGGGCTGCCTTAACTGCTGATGAGCTCCGGGAAAGAAGCCAAAAGGCTAGAGAATTGGCTAAAAAGGCTTCAGAAGCTGCTGCTTCTGCCGCTGAGTCAAAAACCGATGACGATGATTTTGTACTCCCGGAAATTAAAAAAGATCCTTTTGAATGGGAAGTGGATGAAGATGCATTCGAAGAAGATGAAGAGGAAGAGGAAGAAGAAACAACACCCGAAGTGCTCGTGGCTTTCACTCGTATCTATTCGGGATCTTTATCCAAAGGTCAAAAAATAACGGTCGTTGGTCCAAAATATAATCCTTCCAATCCAAATGATGACCCTATTAATGAATCCCAAATAACCAGAGAAGTTGAAATAAGAGATTTATTCTTGATCATGGGTAAAGAATTTGTTAAAGTTGATCGCGTCCCTGCGGGAAATATTGTTGGTGTAGTTGGACTAGATAACGTGGTTTTGAAAAATGCTACACTTATGTCTGAAGTTCCAGAACAGAAGCCTTACATTAATCTTGCATCGACCTCAACATTGATTCATAACAAGCCAATCATGAGAATTGCAGTTGAACCAATGAATCCATTGAAGTTAGGAAAACTTGAAAGAGGTTTGGATTTATTGGCCAAAGCTGATCCAGTATTGGAATGGTATGTAGATGATGATTCCGGTGAGCTTATTATGTGTGTTGCTGGTGAATTACATTTGGAAAGATGTTTAAAGGACTTAGAAACAAGATTTGCCACAGATTGTGAAGTCACTGTCAAGGAACCAGTTATTCCTTTCAGAGAAGGTTTAGCGGGAGCCAATTCAGAAAACAACGCTGCTGTTTTTGATGATGATGATGAACCGGAACTTGAAGGAGTTGATTTAGATATTGAAGTGTTATCGTTACCTGAATCCGTTACTAAACTTTTGGTTAATCTGGAGCAAGAAGTTTCGGAATTAATTAATTTTGGTTTAACAAATTCTAACAAAGATGCAGTTGATCATTCCTCACCTTTTAAAAAGAAATTAATCGAAGCTTTTGAAGGGTTTGACTCAAATTTTGATAGTATTGAACAACTAGTTGAAAGCATTATTTGCTTTGGTCCTAAAAGAATCGGTCCTAATGTTTTCATTGAAGGACCTTCAAATAATGACAAATTCAGACATATTTTTAAAACAAGTGATAAGGATCGATACGAATACGAAACAAACATTTTGAATGGGTTTCAATTGGCTTCTCGTGAGGGACCCTTGACTTCTGAACCATTACAAGGTGTTTTAGTCATAATAAATAAAACCAATATTCTGGATGATGCTGCAGATAACACCTTGAACTTACCAGGTCGTATACTTACCCACACAAGGGACATCATTCATCAACAATTTTTACTTAATGGTCCTCGATTATTTTTGGCAATGTACACCTGTGATATTCAAGCATCTGCTGAAGTATTGGGTAAAGTTTACGCAGTAGTTCAAAGAAGAGGTGGGGACATTATTTCTGAAGAAATGAAAGAAGGAACACCATTTTTCACTATTCAAGCTAGACTCCCAGTTGTTGAAGCTTTTGGTTTCTCTGAAGATATAAGAAAAAAGACTTCAGGAGCTGCCAGTCCCCAATTGGTTTTCGATGGCTTTGATATGCTTGACATCGATCCATTCTGGGTTCCACATACCGAAGAAGACTTAGAAGAATTAGGTGAGTTTGCAGAAAGAGAAAATGTCGCTAGAAGGTATATGAATACTGTCAGAAGACGTAAAGGTCTATTCGTCGACGAAAAAGTTATTAAGAATGCAGAAAAGCAGAGAACCTTGAAGAAGGATTAATCATTACTTTCACACTATATTTATTCTAAATAGCCAAATATTATAGATATATAATTGAGTAAGAAGTAAGTAATTTGTGTAAAACAATGGATAGCTTCTCTATTACCTTTAAAAATGGGGAGTGTCTTGAACAAAATATCAAAATCGAGAAGACTTTTTTTTTGAAAATATTTACTCTAAAAAGCCGGTAATATCTAATAATTATTAAAATTAACAATTCTAAATTGACACAGTTGATGAGTTTTATATAATGCCGGTAACGAAGAACGCTGCAGATGCTGCAGTGAATGTGGAGAGTTCCGAGAAACCATATAGTAATGACGATAGCGTGACGAATGAATCAAGTCACGAAGAAGTTTCCAATAGACCAAGCTATAAAAGTGATCCTCAGAAACTTTTTGAACTTGTTCTGCAAAACTATGATGCGTGGCTGCAAGTTATAAACAAACAGTTTCAGGAGCAATCGAAAGACCAGCAGTACCTGCCATTTCCTAAGAATCAAGATTTTGATCTGAATAAGCAAAAACCAATTTTTAATTATAGTTTACTTGATGCCCTAGAACAAGCATCATCAGACTTTAGTGATAGAATACATAAACTTGAAGAAAGTGAAGGGATACCAGAAATACCGAATTTGCATCAAGATAGTAAAAAGAATCAAGCACAAGGATTACTTAAAGAATCAGAAATTAATTTTTTAAGAAGTCGATTAACCGAGATAGTTATGAAAAGCAGACAAGGGATGCCACCACCCAAGAAAGAAGGGTTTTCATTGTATGACACCCAAGATGAAGAAGGATTACATGAAGGAAACACTGGAGATATATATTTCAATGAAGATGGGAATCAAGATGATTATGATTTAGAGGAAATTGAAAATGAAGATTACCAGTATGATTATTCACCAACCATTGAAGTAGAACTCAACACTGCTCCTGAATGTGAAAAACACGGTCAAGAAATATGTGACTGTCCAATCGACGAACAACGCTCAAGGTTCAATAGTACTAACGATGAGGGACCTTCGTGTGAGTTTACGTTTGAATACGACAGAAACGGAGAGTTAGTTCCAACTTATAGTAACGTTGAAGAAAAACTACGCCTAATGAGTTTGAATTCACGAAGTCTTGGTCAAAGCGGGAACATGAAACTACCTTCAATTAAAGAACTTAATATTCATACAAATACTGAAGAAAACTCATCAAACGAAAAGAAAACTAAAAAGAAAAACAAGAAGAAGAAGAAACAGAAACATTATGAAGCCAATGAATCAGTTATTAAAGAAAAACAACAAAGTGATTGTTGTCTATTTTGTGAATATGAAGCATTATTTGGAACCAAACCAAGACAAATGATAAAATGGTATAACGAGAAAGTAAGAAAAGATGAAGAAAGACGACAAGAGTTTAAAAGAAAATTAGAAAATGCAAAACTGAAGGCTTTGAAAAGACAACGTGAATTAAGACAACGTCAAATGGAAGAAAATGGGTTGGCCCGTACTGATTCTTACGATGAACACTACTATTCCAACGATGAACACTACCACGCTGCCCAAAATGCAAAGCATTCTCCCGATGAGAATACTTACGACGACTACGAAGAGGGTATCAATGAAGACGGAGTTTATTGTCAGCATCACCAACTCTCTCATCCCTGGGAGTACAAGTGTCCCTCCTGCTCAGAACATGGCCATTGCTCCGACATGTGCTCATCCGATCCGGTGCCCCCCGAGTACACTAACGATTAAATAGCATACCAATTGGTAAATAGCATTCTAATACTAACGACCTTTAAAGATCTACCAGAGTAAACCCTGGTGCACGGGTGTTTTCCCCACGTTAAAAGACCATCAGCGGAGACCCGCACACTGCGAAAGGGTTGCGATTTCTTTTTTCTTCCGTCTTTTTTTCTGTTGCTTTTTTTGTTTTTGTTTTTTTCCAGTCGTTCGAAGTTCATGCTTAAGAAAACAAAAAAAAAAGGCAAAAAAAAAAAAAAATTGAATTAAATAATAATGAGTACTAAATCATTCGAAGTACACTCTCCCTGTTCCAAGTTGTGCGGAATAGCTTAAGGTGATGAAGTGACCTTTGGTCATTTCGATCATTTTACTTCTAGTAGAATTGTACTTAGTTCTTTTCATTGTAAATTTACCATACAACAGAGGATTTCCCACCCACTAAACGCAATGAGCACATTTACCAGAAGTGTCACCCCATCTACGCCGGTTGGTCCTGGAAGACCACCTCAAACGCACCATACTGTTCAATCGGTTACTTGGGTTAATGACTGGTATAATCCAACCGAAGATTTTGGGTCGGTGGATTTTGCAAACATTAAATTGAAAGGCTGGTATCGAGACGATCGTATTCCAAAGAAAGATAATAGTTTTAACCCCAATGATGTATTAGATTTGGCTCAATGGAAATATTATAAAGAAGTGCCTTTGGTTGAACATAATATAGTTAAAAACGAGACCCCGGTTGCTGGTGCTTCTTCTCAATTGGGGAAAGGTGTTACTTTTGCTGATGGAACCAATTTCAATGAAAATAACGGAGACACTGCTATAATAGCGGAAAACGCTGGCAGTGAAGAGCCTTCCACTATCCAACCTAATGGGAGTGTTGAGGTTACCAAGGAGCTCGATAGCGAAAAACTATCTAATGCCATTAAAATCAATCCCGATGAGGGGGAGATGGCTTCTTTATCTGAAGCTGGATTAGAACCAGAAAGTCAGGTTAAATGATGACGTTTAAATATTTGTTTTACTATGTAATTGTTACAATATATATATATATATATATATATATCTATGAGTGTATTTGTCTTATTTAATTGATGTCTGGTTGAGGAATCGATTCATTTCTCTTAACGTTAATAAATGTCATGCAAGTTCTAGCGCTTTCAACAGCGTCACCTAATTCACATCTTTTATCAAAAGTCCAATTTTGCTCGGGAGTTAAATTCTCTAAGTTGACTCCTTCTCTTTGTAAGTTTTGAAAATTTCGCCTTATTGATTGTAATTTGAAAACTTCTCTGGGATCACTCATTACAGTATTAATTATGAAGATTGTATTTTCTGGTAATTCCGAATAAAGTTTGTTCAATCTTTCATTTAAATTTCGAATTAGTTTATTTCGCTCTTCACTTTCAAGTACACTGGTAATCTTATCATTAGAGTCATCAATGCCATCTCTTAAATAGCCATCATATGCTTTAGGCACTGGTGACCATCCAGAATTATATTCGAGTTCTCGTAATTTTAATATAGTAAATTGATTCCCATCCTCAATATCCTTTAATGCAAAATCAACCACTTCATCGTCATTTGTTGCTTGATGTTTTATTAAATATGAATTATGCTCCAATAAGGTATTATCCCAATCTCTTAATGGGGTATAATCAATTATTGAAGATTTAAGTGGTTCAAGTGATTTTTCATTAAGATTTTCAAAAAGCAGTGCTTCGCCAACATTTTTCCCAAATAATTTTCCTTCTATTAATTTCATCTTAACTAATCGAAGACATGCTTTTGAATCTTCAACTGATGAATGTCCTTCCCCGTTAGCTTCACCTTGCTGAATCAATTTTCCAAGATGTTTTTCCGAAAGCCATTTTAAAGATGGTTTCATTGGTGGACCTCTTGTATGGTCATAGATGAGTGCAGTATCAATGACTCTAGGATGTTTAATCTTCAAAACATTTAAATCTGATTCTAAGGATTGTCCAATTAAAATATCATTCGAAGAGACTATTGATAAAAATCTTTCTTGAACTTCTTTTAAAGTGGTGGTTACTCCCTCTAGTTTTGCTTCTGTTATTCCTGAATATTTGGTTAAATAATCGGTAATTTCAACATCTGGTTTAACAAAAGTATCAAGTACTATATTTTCATCAAAATCAATAATAGATATTCTAGTTAATACTTTCCCATTAGCCGATTGACAAAATTCACAATCAAGACTAAACGTATGGGATCCTTCATGATCGAAATCTTTGGTTTCAACCCAGTCACTTCCTTCGATACTGACTGGATTATCCAATAACGATGAATGCATTGGGTAATTATGTTGTTGCATTTCTTCTTTACTCATGGTTAAATCTGGTAATATAATCTTATCCTTTTTCAGCAGTTTCATTAATGCATTTTTTTGCCCATCAGTTAAAGGAACATTTATTAAAGCTTGTAATGCCAGGTGTAAACTATCTTTACTTCCAGGACTTGAACTTGGATAAAGATAATCAAAGGTTGTTTTGAAAAATTCAAATTCGTCATTAATATTTAATTCATTAATCGGTATTGGTCCTTTTGTTGATCTACTATCGAAATTAGTTCCAAAATCTTCTTTGGAGATACCAGGAATAAAACAAAACACTATATTATGATTTTTACGATTAATCAATTTGAATGGAATTCGTCTTATATCAGCCTTTTTAATAAATACATCCAATATGAATGATCTAATATGAGCAATTTTAACCATTGGATCAGTATATTTTCCGTCATTGGCTATTATCTCAGCTAGTGCTAATGCTTTTTGTAACTTCTTTTTATGCTTCTTCCGTTTAGACTTGGCTTCATCATTATCTTCATCATTAGAGGCTTCGGTTTTGATTTGCTTGTTTTTTTGGGTAAGCAATGCAATGGAATGGGCAGAGGATCTTCTTCTCTTACTGCTATTGGTTTCGACAGCTGATTCACCATCAGTAGGTTGACTTAAACCCTTTTGGGGGCTAGGAACCCTAAGTTCGTTTGACTTCTCTTCTTCATCATTAAAAGAAGATATTGAAACTGCAGAATCTCTTCTGGCGTATTGTAATTCAGATGTTTTCAAAAATTCCCGAACTTGATTACGTTGATTTTCACCTTCGGCCGTGGAGATAGATAACCTGGCAGTGTTTTTGCTCAATGGATCATCGGTATCAATCAGTCCCATATTATGTTCTATGCTAAGAATTTGTATATATAAATATATATATTTGAAAAAAAGGAAGATCAGTTATTCTCCAGATTCATAAATTTCCAACGATTATTGAATAGTGGAAATAGAATAGCTAATCAAGAAAAGCGAATTATAAGCAAGGCAATGAATAAAAAATATCAAATTATATCAGTATTGATTTCGAAAAAAGCCGATCTGTTGTATGATTCTTTAGAGCATTCGTAACTTGATTTTTAGGCATCTCTCAATATCTGCGTACGTTGGCATCGGTTTTTTTTCTGTGGGTTTCGTCGAAATTTTTTTGTATACAAAAAAAAAAAAAAAAAAAAAGGCAGTGTGTGCAGGTATTGCAAACTTGACGCGTTTAATTAACAAACATCAAATAGGTCAAACTTCAAGGGTAAATAGATGCAAAAGTGAAGAAAGAACTTGATTGATCAAGACATGTAGTATGTCTCAGCAAGTGCTTCTTTCAACAATCCATGGAAGTTGAGTGTCTTGGTAAAGGAGCTTTCTTTTGGCAAGTCACGGTCGGAACCCTGATTCTCTTCTTCCATTGACATATACTGGATTAGCTTCGTTTGAGCTTGTTCATCGATTGGGTCGGCATCGAGGAATTGTTCATAGAGGGTATTGAACTCTTGGATTTCCTCCAAGCTGGAAAGGAGGCGGCTCTTTGAAAGTTGGGGTCCACCATGAGCAGCAGACTTTGCCAATATTTCGATTTTGCTCCAGGAATCCCAACCCAACGGTATCAAGATATTGACAAATAGGTTATCACTTATGAAAACACCGTCTTCGTCGTAGATCGAAATAGGTTCTGGAGGGTGGTTGTATGACTGTGACTCATTTGGTTGACCTTCAACGCTTTGATCTATGAATTTTACTAACGAAAGAATGGAGGCACCGCTGGAAATAAAGGACTGAACTCCAGATACAATTGCAAACGATCCACTATGCTGTAAACTGAGAAATCTCAAAAGCTGTTGAGTTGATACACTGTACGGTAGCAAGTGATCCTGAGAAAACAGATCGGAATCTAGAACAATTATCAAGTCCATATTTAGCGGGCGCTCTGCCTGTCCCGACGAGAGGTTGATGGGTATATCATCTCCATCGTAGTCTTCATCATCGTCTAAACTCGACACTTTCATAAAATACTTCAAATTATCAATGAACTTCAGTTTAGTTTTTCCTGCTGGGGCCCCGCCGATCTTATTAATCATGTATAGCAATGGGTAAAGCTCTTCTATACTACTGAATACTGGGACAAGATGTGTTTCTAATTCATTGGGTTGTAGTAAAGACTCGAGATACTTAGCGTAAACCGAGTAGTTACACATCACATATATTTCATGGTTGCCCTCAGTGTAGTAATTGATGCTCGTACCATTCTTGGTCCCACTGCCTAGGAGCACTATGACCCTTTTTGTAAGTCGTCTTTTGACATCAAAGATATCGTCGGTCATTCTCTAGTGTTAGAGCTGTTATAAGCGATTTTAAGTGTTCAAACCTTTTTTTTGTTTATATTTAGACGCTACTAATTTTTTTTGCTTATATAATGCTTATGTAATTATAAACAAAGTACTTATAGCCAAATGGTAACATTGACGGATTGAAAGACTTATGAATAACAATATGGATGAATCTTTGTATAGGGAAGGATAAGTAGTCTTATATAGAATAAGTGGATAAAAGAATTATCGAGTCAATAAAAGTGATAAAAGTGTAGATAATAATGATAAAAGTGTAGATAATAATGATAAAAGTGTAGATAATGGTGTAGCTAATAGTTTAGATGACGCAGACATTCTCTGGCTTATTTCATTAAGCGATAGAGATTCTTATGATAACATCACAAGACACTAGTGACTCGAAATCAGTATGGCTTCAACTAAGATCAATAGCTCAAGTAGTGTATAAAAGCATTTTGCAACTGTCGCAAAAAAGTCACGATTTTGCAAGCTTGCTTCATAAGACGAAGGCTCAACGAGAATCGATAACTGTCAACTTCTTTTTATTGCTAAAGATGTCGAATTTGACCGAGAAAGACGTTGAGAAGTTTTTTTCACCTCAAAGCTGGCAAGAGACGGCCAGAAAGTTGGGTTACAATGAAGAGGAGGTGAAAATCATTAGTAGATTAGATTCCCAAGTAACCTATCCATATTATATTGAGGGTGGCCCCTTAGATGGTACCAAGAAATATATGGATGGCCCAGCATTCAGAAATATAGGGGATTTGGCTAGGTTTGAATTGGATAGCGTGTTTAGTAAAGATGAAAAGGAAAGACCCATTAAGAAACATTTCAAAGATAAAAAAAACTTGATTGTGGCACCGGAATTTATGGAATCATACTTTGCTCAAACCAAGAATACGAATCCAGATGTTATTCCTGCAATTCCATTGTCGATTGAAGGTCAAGATGAAGAATCTGACGACAAAGTAGTGATTGATTTATTTTTAAGATCATACAATAAAGCAGCCAAAGATGAAACTGAATGAAAAAAAAAAATATGTTCAAAATTAGATATAAAAAGTATTTAACAGAAAAATTTATATAGTTTATAATAAAATGGTTTAGATTGATATTGGAGTCTTTCTTCTGCGAGCTCTTGTTTCAATAATTCAACATCCCAATCCCTTCTACCAGAATCCAAATCAATATCTTTCAAATCAATCAACAATGGGGAGAAGGACTTGTTATAAATGTTGTAGATGAACCACATTACAATCATCAAAGGTAAACTAAGACAATTTTGCCAAAAAGTAGAAACAGACGCACTTTGTCCAATTGGCCAAATGGAAATCCAAATTTCAGCGATGATGATTAAGCCCAAGATAATAACCCCAGTGATTGAGCCCACAAGACCCATTGGGGAAACGAAAATGACTTCATCTAAGCTTCTGCCCTGAATATACAACGCTCTTCTAAATCTAATATGAGTGACACAAATTGCAGCCCAGGTGAAAAAGGAAGATAATGAACAAACTGAGAAAAGCCAAGTGAATACAGTACCTTCATTAGCAGATTCAACTAAGAATCCTAATAAACCAATTAAGCAAGTAAAGATGATTGCAACCAAAGGTCTACCTTTTCTATCAACATAACCAAATATACGAGGTAAGAAACCCTGTTCTTGAACAGCCATGGAGGCCAAAACTCTGGAACAACCATAAACACAAGAATTACCCACTGAAAATGAAGCTGATAAGACAACAGCATTCATTATATGAGGAACAACTTTGATTCCACCATTTGAAACAGCAATCACAAAAGGAGAAGCTGAAACACCAGATCCATTTAGTAATAAATCATCATTTGAAGGAACCAAAAAGCCAATGATTATGGCTGAAACAATATAAAATAAGGTAATTCTCCAGAAAACTTGTTTGGTGGCTTTTGGTAAAGATTTACGAGGATTTTTAGTTTCACTACTTGCAATTGCTACTAATTCAGTACCACCAAAAGTGAAAGCAGCACTTATAAATGACGAACAAACTCCTTTGAACCCGTTGTTAAAAGACCCCGGATTATGCCAATATCTTGCCCCGATATAACCTTGATCACCAACACCACAAATGATGCAAATACCTAATATGATAAAACCAATCACTGCGAGAACTTTGATGATGGATAAGATGAATTCGGTTTCACCCCAAGCTTTAACACCGAATAAATTAATAACGACTATTAAAACATAAAAAATAGCCACCCAAACTGAAGGACTAATTGAATCATTCCAGTACTGAATAGTTAAAGCAATGGCCACAAGTTCTGAAGGTAAAGAGATAAGCCAAGAAAGGGCGTAAACCAAACCAAAAACCCAATTAAAAGCAGGACTTAAAAATCTACCAAATAAAGAAATGAAGGAACCGGCCACTGTAAATTGAGTTGCGATTTCGGCTAATGATAATACAACACAAAGAATGGCATAAGCAACAATCACGTAACCAACCAAAAGTCCACCGGGACCTGCAATTGATAAGTTATAACCACTACTGACAAAGATTCCTGAACCAAGAACCCCACCAATGGCCAACCAAAAAAGATGACGACTTTTAAGAGATTGTTGAAGAGGTTGATGAGAAGCAAAATAATTTGCTTTTTCCAAGTCGGACATTTGTGAAATGTCCAGATCTGGTTTGACAGCTGCCGGTTTGAATGAATTGACCACACGGGAAACAATACTGCTATTATCATGGTCCAAGTCTTCTGAGTATACTTGTTCAGAACTAATTGATTTATCTTTATTGGAATCAGTCATTTTGCAATTACTTTACTTATTATGGATTTTTATGCGAAGGGAGATTTTATATGAAGGATAGTCCGATGGCTTGATGAAAAGATTTCAACGAATGAATGCTATTGACTTTCCTGGGAAAGGATAACGCTGTTATGAGTCGAGTAGTAATCCGTGGGCTCAGAGGAAAAGACAACTTCCGAACTTATCTATGTCAATCTAGCCTATTGAGCTAACGAGATGTACCAGTGATAACTAGAAGATGATGAATTTAAAGAACCCCAGTAGAACCAAGCAATAATGTAAAAACCAAATCGTGATTTAATCAAAACTTGATGTAAACGAAGCCAACGAAGTCAAGGGAAATTACAGGAAAAGAGAGTTAACGAAGTTGACCATTGAATTGAAAAAAAAAAAAAAAAAAAAGTTTTGACAGAAGGGAAAAANAAAAAAAAATAAAAAAAAAAAATTTTTCCTGTTCCCCATTGGGTGAGCCACACTAGCTGATAAAAAGCTAATAAAATATTACTTAGTTTTAACTGAGGAAGAAGCCACCATTGATATGTTGGCTTGTGGGAGAGTGATGGTGAGTGGAATACTTAAATGTAATCTTTCAATTGACAGAGATTGTTTCGCTTAATAACGGTGCGTTAGTGCGCTAAAGAACATTGAAGATCAGTTGATTTGAGAAATTTCTTTCGGTATTTTAAGAGTTGATGAACATCGAATAAACAAGTACGAAATGTTTTTACACAAGAACATAATTGAGGCCAATTTTCGGCTATTCATGGAAGACAGAAAGACCAAGCTTCCTTATGAATCACAAGTAGTGTAGACGAAGAATCAGGTAAGCTGGAGACATGCTCAATACCATACTTGTTAATATATATCGGAAGTGTCGACAGTTTTTCGTGTTTATACTTAATGTAGTACATAAGTGATAGGATACTGATCGGACACTGTAGGATACGATACTTAATGATAGTTACTAATAAGATACGACACTTAATGATAGTATACTGATAGGATACATAAATAGAAGGAGCTGGTGTCATCTCCTCATCAAAGTTCATTAGGCAGATTCTGCAAACAAAGATTTTGCATTGCTGCCCACACGTTCATGCATTGAGCATCAAATGGGAGATGTTACATACCAACTTACAGTGGTGAATTACACTACCAATTCAAATGGCAAGAGAAATACAATGAATATTTATTGAAGATTGAATAAATATCGAATAAATAGGAATGCGATTAGTGATGACCAAATTTACGGTCATAGGCAGGATCAACATTAACAAAGATTCTTCTTAGAGAAGAGTTATCATAATAGTATTTAACCATACAGTAGCTAAACACCCCATAAGCGGTAGCACCAGCGAGAACAACTTGTCTTGGAGTCATTTAATATAATTTAGTGAATATAATTTAGTGAAGATAATTTAGTGAATATAATTTAGTGAAGATAATTTAGTGAATATAATAGGGTTTAGTCGAGAATGAATAAATAATAAATAAAAAATACCTGGTATCAGGTATTTATATCGCTTTGAGGAGAGAGATGAAAGATGGGGAGATTGTTGCAAAATAAGGTGAGGGTGCGAAAGTGGAGTGACTTTTCAATACATTCTTACACCTTCACCAGCCGGTAAAATAGGTAAGAATTGACCCACAATTAGCATTGGTAAATCGAATAGGTCTCTTTTAACGGTCCAAACTGAGCAAAATTCAATAAAGTCATTTAAAATTTTATTATCACTATTATTAAAATTTATTAATTTACAATTTGTTTTGATACTCAGATGTAAGTTCCCCACCGCGACCGATTTAAATAATTTGAAATAGTTAACAATTGATTCATCATCATACATTAATTCCATGATAAAAGTTCTTTTGGAAAGGATGTGACTTAGATTAAAGCCTAATAAATTGATGAGGTCATTTGAAATTGAAACAATTTCTCCAGTTCTTCTCCAAATAATTGTTGGACTGCTATTTAATTTTGATAAATTTTCATAATCAATTAGCGATCTTTGAAAAGACATTTCCAAAAATTGTAAATCAAATGGTTTTAATAATGATTTATGAGCAGAAATAAACGTTGGTCTATAACTAGCAATTAATCGAAGAATTATTAGTAATTTTTTCCGTTTATTAATTTTTTCTTGATTTGTTAATTCATTCCCACTAAATCTTGTTTTGAGAAATTTTGTTAACAGATGATATGATTGTGGGTAATCAAAATTTATGATATTATTTGAATATATATCTTGAACCGTTTGGTATAAATGATGACTTATTAATGGTGATATATAGTCATTACTTTCATTTTGTTTAAATTGGTAAAATTGATTACTATTCCCCAACAGGATAAATGGTCTGGATTCATTTAATTGGTTGATATAGATATTAGATGGTGATATCGTGGTACTAGATGGTGTTGGACTGGATGGTTTGGAGTTAATTAATATATCTCCCAACATTAAATATTCCTGATTTAAATAATTTGAATTAAAATTACTTATTGATTCAGTTGAATCAGTATCTTTAACCTCTTTAATTTCATTTTCTTCACTTCGTTCTTCTTCTTCCTCTTCTTCTTCTTCTCCTTCTTCTGTTTTAACTTTGGCTCCTTCATTTTTTTTCAAATATTTGGCCTTCTTTCTTATAACATCTCGACATTCATGGCCTAAATTTCTCTTTATACAATTTTTACACGGTCTTTCATTAGAACATTGTAAATGCTTGGAATGGCAGAATACACATGCTCTTGAGGCCGGCTTTCTATTCTTCTTTTCCAATGCTGATAGCTTCTTCGTCATTTCACCAATCCGTTAACTTCAATTCTCTTTCCTCGTAGTGTGAGCACCGCAATGATTTGATATATATATTTGATAAAGTATGGGGTAAGTGGGGAGCCCGGGCGGTTTAGGAATCTCTCCAAGAGCAAGACTACCCCAGTCCGGTGACTTGCCCCGGCGGTTTCTCCTGGGAGAGTGGGTCGTGTACCTGGGCTAGAAAAGAAAATAAATAACAACAAAAAACTAAAAAAAAAAAGAAGAATTGATAGGTACCTGGGGGTGCGCCTACCGTGTCTCTTTTAAACCCGTTCTGTGGAATGACGAAATGGAAAATGTCGAGATGTCGAGATGTCGAGATGTCGAGATGTCGAAATATCGAGGTGTTGGTGAAGGCACTTTTTGCAACCGGAGCCTTGTACATCTTATCGAAGCTGGTGTTACGCGTTACGGCACGGAGGTGACTGAGTAGACTGAAGTGGCCCAGCTTGTGGGCTGAACCAGTCGTGATGGCGGGTGCGACATTCTGTCTGGACCTATATTATGTCGCACGATACTATTGTACTACGTAATGCCATACTGTATAATACTGAAACAGCTGTCTATTGTATTACTTGTGGATGTTCGTAGATGGACTAGTTGTAGATGGACTAGTTGTAGATGGACTAGTTGTAGATTAGTTGTAGGTGTATATTTGTACACGGTATAGTTGTGCTAATATAATTGACCAGTTACAGTGTACACCTGTACAGCTGTACCTCAACATTCAGGTGTACAACTGTACCTACAATCTCATCGAGTAGGCAGTACAGCACAAGTATCTTCGCTTTAGTATCGTGTAATCTTATTGTTATCCAGTGGGGATAACAAAGGGCAGTGTTACCGATGAGCCCAGCCAACCACCAATTACACGACCCTTTTGCAATTTCTTAATTAATTGTTTCTTTACAGGGCTAAGTGACTAGAAAAAGAAATGAGCAAAAAAGGCTGACTTTTATCATTGCTCGTAACAAATAAATATTTAGGAGGTTGTCTTCATTTGATCTACAACAAAGTATGAAATAAAATATCCCAATAACATACTACTAGGTAACATAACTTATTCGTACGATAAGTTTCTTCTTTCATCTTTGATTTCATCCGGTTCTGTTTTTCTTTTTTTTCAGTTTCATTTTATTTTATTTTTTTTTTTTTTTTTTGCTTGCCCATATACTAGTTGATGTATTTCTGTCATTAATTCTTTTAGTTCATTAATTTACTTTACTTCAGTTCATTAATTTACTTTACTTCATTTCATTCATTTGTCATTCATTCGTTCATTAAGCATGATACCAAGATTTTATAATAAAAAAATCAAGGTTGGGTTTTTAATATTAACATTTTCGTTAATTATATTCTATATACTAAATGTTAACATTATAAATAATGAAATAAGTCAAGAACTATTAGAATCTCATGCTTTATACCAAAGTAAACGGTCTCCTTTTAATCCGAGATATTCAACTAACGAAGTATTCAACTATATAAATAATGAAGAAACCCCGATTGCAAGTAAATTAGGTGACGGGATTGTTTTCCACTGGGATGACTGGGTAGACTTATCATCTGGAGATAAAATCTTGAATAAGTATAAAAAAAATAATCCAAATGGTGAATGTGATGAATTCTTGAAAAAATATGCTAGTGTTAATGGATATTACATGGAATCTTATAATAAAAAGATTTATCGAGGAATGTCAAATTTATATTGTTTAAAAGAAATACCATCGAAAATTATTGCGGTTAGTGATGATAATTTTGTTGAAATCCCCGTGATTAATAAATTAAGAATTGGTTTAAATAATGAAACCATCCATAAACAACCAACAAAACATGATTTAATTAATCAAATATCAAGATTTGATTCTAAACCAAACGAAAATTTTCAAATTTTCAAATTTAGGCATTTACAAAAACAAATTGACGTTAAAGCAGAAGACTTTGTCTTCAATCCAAATTTGGAAATATTCAAATTACAGAAGAAACTAAATGATGATTCAATTACCAATGATGAATTGAATTATCTTAAATTTTTAGAATACGCAGATTCAATTGTGGATTCTGCCGATCGTTTCTTTAAATACCCTTGGATTTATTCCGATGTGGTTAAGGGAAGATCTCATCACTTGGCTTATCCTTTTTTCAAAAGATTCATTGGCGATCGTGAACGTCAAAGTGTCATTCATCATATGGTTAGAGCTTGGTTTAAATTTGCTGAAGCAAATAATTTTGCTTCTTGGGTTAATTACGGCTCTCTTTTAGGTTGGGCTTATAATGGAGTGAATATGCCTTGGGATACCGATATTGATATTCAATTACCAATTGCCCATTTAGATCGTTTAGCAAGAGAATTTAATCAATCTTTAATTTTAGAAAATCCAAGATATGGTAATTCAAAATATTTATTGGAAGTTAGTCCAACTTATATAAGACAAGGTAATGGTCGAAATTTTATTGATGCTAGATTTATCGATATAAATAGTGGTCTTTATATTGATATCAGTGCTTTAAGTCATTCTAACTTTAATCCTCCAAAAGAATTTTATAATGATTTACCTTGGGATCAACAAGTAGACCATTCAAAAGCAATGTCGATTCATTGTAAAAATTGGAATTGGCATTCCCTAGAAGAAATCTTACCTATTCGTCATACTTGGTTTGAAGGTGCTTCAATTTATATCCCCCATAACGTTTCTAGAATTTTAACTAGAAAATACGGTAAATCTTCCTTCACTACAAAATCTCATTTTGCTAATCATAATTATCAAAAAGATATTAATATGTGGGTCCCCGATGAAATTTGTTCAAAGTCTCCCTCGTTAAATAATCGTTTCCAAAATTTAAACCAAACTAAATTAACTCTTGAAGGTGCTTGTAATAATCCTATTTTACAAGATGAATATCAAATCATTGCTGAATGTGCCCATCGCCATTTAAAAACTAATATTGACGTAGATCATTTCACCGATTATGATATCCTGAAATTAAATGATTTACCTTTATTTCGTAAAGATTCTTGGGATTACTTCAATGATTTAAATTTAGGCTTGGTTAATACCGATCGTTGGTATGTTCGTGATGATGTTTTATGATTAATCTTGTTCTCTGCATTTAAAATTAGTATAATATATACTCCCTCATAATTATTAATATATTCTTTTGTTCCCCTAATACTAAAGGCTTTAAAGTTGCAAAATTCTCTCCATGTTGCAATCTGTAATTCGTATTTACCAAACACTAATCAAGAAAAACTAATTAAATACTATTCAAAAACTAATACTAATCAGTGCTAATCAAACACTAATCAGATAGTTGATTAGTTCTTACTCTACACCGTTGATAAAACACTTCATCTTATCCATTGAGCATAATGTATACACTCATTCTTTTCAATCCATACACCAGAATTTAAGTTAGAAAGGCATTCTTCGTCACCGGTCGCTCACCGAAAAATCACCGTAAATTCACCGTTCGCTCATTCTATTCCTTATCAATACCTGCACTTTGTCTATCTTCTTCAAGCATCTTGTCTTAATGACTTTCTTTATACCATTCACAGTACTTGGAGTTCATATACGCCCATGTAGAAGACTTGCCTTTAAACAGATTGGCGGAAATCAACCTTATCAAAAGGCTATGGTAAGGGAAAGTACGGATGGTTTGGGATGTTGATGAAGCTAGACCATGAGCTTAGGCATCATGTAATGGAACCATATGGTACGTAATTAAACCCTTAAAACTTCCTAGAATGGATACGTGCCAATTAAATCAGTTATCGTTTGTTGGTGTTATCGATGGTTGGTGATAAACCTCCTCGCTAATTTCCGCGTCACAATTCCGTTTGGTTGATTAGGATCTCTGATTAAATAGTAGATAAGAATGATTTGCTTTTTTTCTTTTCTTTTATATTATAGTACTTGAGCACTCAAGTTTATAAACGAATTGATTTCCAATATTCAATTTGAAAATTAACTTTATTCAACTTGATACAAAATGCTGGTAGATAAAAATACGACGGATGAAAAATTGAACACCGTTATTTCGTTTACTGATACTGACATCGATAAACAAAATGCAGCTAATGTTATTACTTCAATTATATCTCCTTCTGGTAAGGAAGTGAAGGTCACTGGAGATGTTGATGAGGCAATGAAATATGCCATTAGAAACACTGAAGAACATATTGAATTAGATCCAAAAGCTTCAAGAAGACTTTTTTACAAATTAAATATTTGTCTTTTACCATTAATTTGTTTACTATATTGTTTCCAGTTTATGGATAAATTATCTAATTCTTATGCAAGTATCTTGGGTTTAAGAGATCCTAAGATTGGTTTAAATATGGTTGGTGATCAATATTCTTGGACTGGTTCCGCTTTTTATCTTGGTTACCTTTTTTTTGAATTTCCAACTTCTTTACTTTTACAAAGATTCCCAGTGATCACTACGACTTCTATATTTATTATTATATGGGGGTTTGTTTTGGCAATGGGTCTGGTTTGTGGTTCTCACGGTTCTCAATCTGGTTATGCTGGTTTCATTTTCATTCGTACTATTCAAGGTGGTCTTGAAAGTATTATTACTCCAGCTTTTACTTTATATACTGGGTTTTGGTATAAAAAAGACGAAGTTTTTTTGATTACTTCTTTATGGTTTGCTTCGAATGGGTTAGGTACTATTTTAGGTAGTGGTGCAGTTGCCCATAGTGTTTTTCAACATCGTGAAAGTTATGATCTAGCTCCATGGAAATTGGTCTTTATAATTACTGGGGTTTTAACTATTGGTTTGGGTATTGCAATGTTTTTCTACTTACCAAATACTCCTGCTCAAGCTTGGTTTTTAAATGACGAAGAAAAAAAAATGGTTGTTGAAAGACTTAGAGAAACTAATCAAGGTTTTGGTAATAAACATTTCAAAATTCATCAATTCAAAGAAGCTTTTCTTGATGTTAAAACTTGGTTATTTTTCATTTTTGCCTTTTGTAATAATATTCCAAATGGTGGTCTTACTAATTTTGGTTCGATTCTTTTAAATGAAGATTTAGATTATTCAACTGGTAAAGCTTTATTGATGCAAATGCCTCTGGGAGCTGTTGAAATTGTCGGGTGTGTTTTATTTGCTTATTGTTACAAATTTTATCAAAAAAGATTATTTTGGGCAACTTTGGGTACTGCAATTACCCTTGCATCCCAATGTATGTTGGCTTTCCTGAAAAATAATAAGGTTCAATTAGCTGGTTATACTCTTTACTCTCTTGGTCCAATCGGATTTATTTGTGTTTTGTCTTGTATTGGTTCAAACGTCTTGGGTACTACCAAAAAACAAACTACTAACGCTATTTATTTAATTTCTTACTGTGTTGGTAATTTAGTCGGTCCCCAAACTTTTAAAGCTAGTGAAAGTCCCGACTATCCATCAGCAAAATTAGCAATTGTTATTTGTGGTGCCATCAGTTTGGTCACCTTAATCGTTCTTTGGGTTTATCTTGAATGGGAAAATAAAAGAAGAGATAAAAACCAAACTGAATTACACATAGAAAATATCGAATTTGCTGATTTGACCGATAAAGAAAATCCATACTTTAGATACGTTATATAATATTATAAAAACTAATATATTTGATTTTGCAGTTAAAAGAATATAATTGCTTTTTGCAACTCTTAATTTCAAAATTAGTGGAATGGTTTGTGCAAGGTAGCTCTTGAAACTGGATAATTGCCAAACAAAGTTATTCATCTTGTCGGGCAAGACATGTAGGTGACTGAGACAAGCTGGGATATTACACAGTGCAAACACAAATGGACATTCACAATTTCTCTGGAATTCACAGCTGTAGTAATTAAAAAAGATTTGATTTCCTGATTAAGTAATTTTACTTACTGTGCAACCACGAAAAAAAAAAAAAAGATCCAATTTTTCGCAGTTTCGCAGTATATTGAACCTTCTTAATCTGGTGGACTTTAAAGAGCTGCTGCCCTTCATTTGAGCCAATAGCTCATGGGGATAGTCTTTCGGGCTTTTCCTAAACTTCAATTTATATTAATTAATATTATTTTCTATAACTATGTAAAAATATCGGTTCCCCACTCTTTTTCGTAAGGTCAAAATAGCCTCCATTGCTCATAAGCATTACCTTAAAAAGAGATTCGTAAACCAAACGTTTTGATTCCACTATTTCAGCTTCCCCAAAGCATTCCTCAACGGTGAGATCATTCTCGAGGAATTGCTGATTGGGGTTTGCTGGCTCATTTTTGTTGACTATAAATCAAATCAAAGGCTTTCGCTCTCTTTTTTCTATACCGCATTAGGAAATTTAAGACTGCAAATTATGCATCATCGAGACTTGAAAATTTTAGTACTAGTCGAGCTTGTAACTGATACACTGACTTCAAGATAAACAGATATGTCACAATCAGAACGAGGTCTGTGGTGGTCAAAGATGGTTTATAAATACAGAGATAAATCCCGGGAAACCGTTTTACCCCCTTAAATTTTTTTCTTGATTTTCATTCTTTTAACTTTTCATAATTTTAGTAATGAGATTCTTCCACGCTTTACTTTCATTCTTTTTCATATCATTCGTGGTATCCATACCTGTTGGTCTTCTAGAAAGAGAAGATGATGTCAGCATCGCTGATCTCTATAAATTATTCAACAGTTTAGATAAACGTGAAACAATTTCCAAAAGAGAAAATGTACTTCTTACTCAACTTTTCACTTCTTTAAATAAAAGTGGTCAAGGTGTTGCTTTAACTAAACAAGTCACTACTTCTTCTCTTACTCAAGGCTCTGCTATTCAAATTATTATTGACTATTTAAAAGGTGCTAATTTAACTACCATCTTAGAAGCTGCTGATAACTCGGGTTTGGCTCTCGATATTGTTTTGTTAACCTTGACTGATTATGATGTTTTACCAGGTATTGTGAAAGTCATTGAAGGTGTTTTTGAAAATTCTAATTCAACTTCTTCTTCAGGTGGTCTTGTTAGTTCTATAATTGGTGGAATCCTTGATACTTTGGGCTTAGGTTCTAGCTCTTCTTCCTCCAATTCGTCTTCTTCTTCGTCCGGTGGTGGTCTTCTCTCAAGCTTACTTGGTGATTTATTCGGTGGTGACAGCAGTTCTAATTCTACTAGTTCTTCTTCTTCTTCGTCTGGTGGTGGTCTTTTCTCAAGCTTACTTGGTGATTTATTCGGCGGTGACAGCAGTTCTAATTCTACTGGATCCTCTTCTAGCTCTTCTTCTGGTCTGTTATTAGATGACCTTCTTGGTGGCGGCTCATCTGCCAGCACTACTTCTGCCACTTCTACCTCTACTTCCACTGGTAGCTTCTTAGACAGACTTCTTGGTGGTCTTGGTGGTGGTGATTCTTCTTCTACTACTACTACAAGATCTAGATCCACATCCACTGGTCTGAGTTTATTTGACGACCTTTTGGGTGATATCGATGGAGGAGATTCTTCAACAACCACCTCAGTCACTTCTTCTGGCTCTACTGAAACTGATTCAGCTGACAACTATAGTGTTTTGCAACAAATTGTTGCTGATGCTTCTTCTACTGCAACGACCAGTGCTGCTAATACTGCTACTAATACTGCTACTAAAGCCGCTAGTACTGCTACAAATACTGTCTCTTCATCTACTTCAACCTCTTCTTCAGGTAGCCTTATTGATTCTTTATTAAGTGACTTGAAGAAGCGTGATTTAAACAAACGTGATGTTCTTGATACTATTATCACAGAAATCACCAGTGTTGCTGGCACTGACGAAACCGTTAATGATGTTTGTACTTCTTTAGAAAAATCTGGGTTGGGTGTTTCCGTTGTTAAACAACTTTTCACCGATGAAGATGAATACGATTTTGATATCAAACTTGTCAGTGATATTATCGACGAAAAAGTCATCACTCTTGACGATTTGTTAACAGCCCTCAAGCAATCACACTTAATCGCTCATATAATAAGTGATATTCTTGGGAATTTTTCCTACATTAAATTGGTAATAAGCTTCGTTATTGCAATTTTCACTGGAAAAGTTTTCTGATTTGACTGCAAAAAAAAAAAAAAATTATATACCTGTAAATTATACCAACTTAATAATAAATATACCGTTTGATTAAAAACACAAATACCGTAGAGCCTAAAATGATTCTGTATAACAGTAAACATCAAGAGGACCTGGTCCTTTTAAGAATCTGCTTCTTTGACATTCAAGTTTGACTTGATTTGAAAATTGATCAGGTCCACAACCCATAACCGCGAAAGATTTAAAATTTGAATCTTGATTGATTAATACTCTAGCTTCTTCAGAGATTAATTTAGCGATATCAGGACGAGATCCCCTAGTATATACGATTTCACTGCACATCAGACTACTAGAGAGACTTCTTTCTCTTATATCTCCTCCGGTCAGTTTTTCATCAGGTTTTTCAATATCCTCACATGATGATGTTGTTGTTGTTTCATAACTGGCTTGGGTAATAAAAATTTGAACTTGAAGCATCCCTTTTTTGATATATGGTTTTAATTCATCAAGCGCATGTTGAAACCAAAGTTCGTTTTCTGGTCTCTTGATTGTCCAAATAAGACAAATACGAGCTTTACTTGGACGGTTGAGGTAGTCTCTTTCCATTTCTCGTATCTCGATTTTCTTCAATAGATCATTACAAACTGGTAAGACAAACGACGCCCCTGAACCGGCAGCTAGAAACATTACTGAATCAAAAGTTATCAAGGGCTGATGATTTGCGCCAAATGGACCATAGAATTGAGCTTTGAGTTGAACGGCATTCGGCTCTTGACTAATCGAAATTTCACTTTCAGAATCCTGTGGAGATTGTGAAGTGATCAATTTATCCATCAACTTTTTGGTGAACCCTTTTTGCTTTCTGATAATTAACTTAATTTCTCCAGTTTGTGATAAACTCGAAATAGTAAATGGATGATATTGGAAGTATTTAACCTTGCTAACATTTAAATATATATGCTGACCAGCTTTCCAGGTCCCAACTTTAGGTATGAAGGAATAATACCATTTATCAGCATTCATCCTGGTGTTCTTTATTGGGATAGTAACCAATATAGTTTCATTATCTAAGATTTCAAAATCTGACACTCCTTTGGTGGGGGTTTTTCTTTTGTGAATTATGCCGATAATTCTTGATACTATTCTATCCAATACCACCATGTGGATTGCCAAAATTAAAGCTGCTTTACTACTTAAGCTGTGGAAAAGAGCAAATAAAAGCATTATAAGATTGAAAACACGGTGTTGTACCAAAAAAAAGTCGAAGGCCCATCTTCTGATAAACCTCATACTTGCCCATGTTAAAAATGTCATACAGCTGTAAGATATCATACCAAAGATTTGGGGTGGAATCAAAACCATTATCTTTAAGTCTAAATCTAACCAATACTTCAAACATAGGGACATATGAATTGTCACCAATAGCCATGTTGTTCTAGCAACCCACTTATGAAATAAAATTAACTTATCATGTTGAAGTCCTGATATTGCGCAGAATAGATCATTCTTCATAATACAGAATAATATGAATGGAATGTTACCAACGGCGATTCTACCCATTCTTTTACCAACGACATAGATTTTTGGATTATAGGTGATCTCTTCCGTTTGAGCATAACAGAATACTCCGTTGTACGCTGCATGGACCACATATAAGAATAGCAAACTTGGTTGAAACAAGAATCCTCTATTCTTGAAAGGAATTTTTATATTGAAAGATCTGTTAACATAAGACCAATATTTTAGTATTTTGAAAATAAAAGGGTTTTTCAAAGCATGAATATCCCTTCGGTATCTCACATACATGGGGATCCAGTGAAATAGTATTCCATGGAATACCAATAATGCTACATTACACACTAACGTCAACCATTGATATTTGGTGTTCAAAGATTTCTCCACATGATATTGTAAATAGTATGGAACAGGCATTTTGCTTAGAATTATTTAGGACCTCGATTGATACTCGACAAACGAACAGCTTTCCTCTTGAAATTTATCGAAATATATAGAAACAGGAAATCTGGTGATCTTAAACTAGTAGGGAAAAGACTAAGAAAAAAGGAAGAGAGAAGAGAGCATATACCTCATAATTATAAGAACCAATGGTGATGAGTTAAACTCCAAAGGCTGATTTTTTACAAGAAATAGGAATGAGAATATAACTTCTTCGGAATAAGAAATTTTCATCCATTTTTTACCTTGGAAACTTGCAGTCATCTCTTGTTACAAAGGCAATTCCACTGGTGGTTTTGACATTGAAAGCCTTTTTGATTTTCATTGGCTAGCATCCAAATTCTTAAGAGTAATTGATCTGATTGGAAAGGACTTATCGGTATTATTTGTATTTGCTAGTTGGAAATCTTATCTTTTTCATCAACTGCAACATTATTGTTGCGTAACCCCGTCATGTAATATTCTGTGGGTGTCCTGTTTGTGTTGGTAATAACGAGGTTGGTAATAACGAGATTAAATTCTTGTCTGGCTCAACTCAGTAAGGATCAATTATAGCATCGGGGCGACTTGGTGCCGTTCCATACTACTCGAATTGCTCTTGTGCATTCAATGCAACTATTTCTATTCATGCAAGAGCTGCATTAAATAGAAAGAAGTGAATTTACAATTTTGTTATTTGGAAGTTGAATTAGTATGGACATATCGGGTGATTTGTGAATTAATTCACAATTAGTTTGAAGAAGACAATTGTTTTATAGAACCTGGTTCAAGAAATTGAAATTGTTTATTGAATAAAAATGCCCAAAGTTCATTAATTTCAAAAAAAAGTCGAATATTACTATAGTTTATTTACACCATGAAGTTGTCCAACATCCTTATCATTTGCTTTTTGTATCAGACAGTGGCTGCTGGTAATTGGGATACTTATCCTCAAGTCCCAAAAACTGCCAGTATCAATGGGTTTGCTGACCCCATAGAAAGCAAGCTTCCTTCTTGTGCCAAAGACTGTGTCAAGTTTGATACTGACAATACACCATGTCCTTACTGGGATACTGGGTGTTTGTGTGTGATGCCTCAATGGTCTGGTGAAGTTGCTGAATGTTTTGCTTCTCTGTGTTCAGGTTCTGATTTTAGAAGTGCTACTAGCTTGGCTTATTCTTTATGCTCAAGCTGTGGAGCAGACGTCTGGTTAATGCCTGAATCGGTTTCAACTGTGATGAGTAAAGCAGCTGGTGTTAAGCATGCACAAGCTTCGACCACTGGTGATTCTTCATCGGTAGCTTCTTCAAGAGCTACTGACTCTACGTCTAACTTGAAAAACTCAACTACTACTAGTAGTAGTGCCCATGGTGATACCAGTACTACTTCTAATGCAGATTCTACTGGCTCCAGCTCATCTAATGGTGCCCATAGAGTTTTAGGGCTCAATTTTATCATCAGCTTGCTCCCACTTCTCTCTATGTTTTAAATTTTCGATGACATAACTTCTAATAATAAACTCACAATGAAACTTACCCGTTTTCTCTACATCGGATATCTTCAATGCCGGTAATCGGGGATCGGGAAAGTACAATCACTTGTTTTATTTCCAAATTCTCTATGACATGCATGTAAGTATTTTTGTCCCTATATATTTACAATAAACATTCTACTCGTATATGACTGTAAAACAATAATATTACATTTAATCCAGGTTTGCAGATGATGTTACATTGGATGCACCTGTTCCAGAAGAGCCAATGAAAGCCATCGATTGAGAAGTAAAATTCAAAATTTCGAAACTCGTATAATTTTTAGTGGCATCGCATTGTCTTTTTTTCTCCTAGGCTTTTTTTTTTTTTTTTTTTGCCTGTTTTTTTTTTTTTTTTTGCGGCATTATCCCAAATTGGAACTTCTGTGCAGCCAAAAATACTTTTGCTTGACTTTTGACTTTTTTGCTTTCACTTTATTTCGTTTTTGGACTGCCTAATCTTATAAGATCTTATCAGATAAAGAGCTAGACATGAAGGCAGCCGACCTTCGTGGTTCGCCTCGTTAGTGAAATAAGCTTTTCGATGAATGCTTATTCCGTATGTTACAATTATGCATGCTGACGGGAGCTTCTTAGGGAATGGATAGTCGTTTGTAGAAATATCAAGACAGCCATTAGCGGTCCTTTCCGAAAGCAGCTTCCGATATAAGAAAAAAGCCAAGGGAAAAAGCCTGCTGATGGAATCGATAGGATTTATGATTATGTTGCTGCAACACTATTTTGTTCAATCAAATGACAATTCAATTCTGTTATTTGAACCTTCATTTCCGAGTTTGTGACTGTAAAGGGGATATCGGTTTAATGTCTTGATTCGTTTTCCACTTTGTTTGGATTAATTTGCCTTGATACCTAAGTAGACTTGAAAAATAACATGAATAGACCGACCATTGGATTAGAGTAAGCTGTGTCCCTATTTTGGCAATTGAGCTTCCTTAACTACCAGTATTGAGATTTGTAGCTAAGCATTTTTGGAATCGACCGATTTTTGTAATACAATTTGACAACAGGTATCTTTCAATTAGAAAAAGCATTTATAAGTAGCTTGTTCCTTCAGTAATTATCTATTTCATCTAATCTATTAAAACAATATATTAACTAATCCACTCGCTACTCAACATGTTTAAATTCACTCTTTCTGCTTTTCTTGTTGCTTCCGTTGCCAAAGCTGTTAACTACGAAACCTATCCCTCAGTTGCCCATACCGCTTCTTTCGATGGGTTTGCTGATCCAATCTATGATAAGGTCCCATCCTGTGCTCAAAAATGTTTGAGAGATACTGTTTCTGATGCTGAAGATACCGTTTGTCCTTACTGGGACACCGGTTGTTTATGTGTTATGGAATCTTTCAATGATGCTCAAGTTTCTTGTCTTGTTGATGCTTGTTCCGGTACCGATATCAACTCTTTCACCAGTTTAGCTACTTCACTTTGTTCTTCGGCTGGTGTTGGGTCTCCATACTGGTACATTGCTTCTTCTGATTCATCACTTTTAGCCTCTGCTGCAGCAAAGACTACTGCTGACTCGGAATCTTCTGCTACTTCGAGTGCCGCTTCTGCTGCTGCTTCTGCAGAAGCCACTCAAGCCGTTTCTTCCACCGAAGCCGAAGCCGCCTCTTCTGCTCCTCCTGTTACCTCTTCTTCTGTTGCTGAAACTTCTGCTCCAGCTGATAATGGCTCTTCTGCTGAAGCTCCAGCTGAGTCATCTGCAGTTGAATCTGATAGTCTTGTTGAATCTTTATCTTCTAATGAAGATGAGAATTCCTCTTCCAGCTCAGCTGAATCAACCTCTTCTGAAAGTTCTCCTGCTGTTGAACAAGCTAACATGGCACCTAGCAAAGCACCAATCTCAATTTTAATTACCCTTGCTGTTTCCTTCTTAGGTGCCGTTACCTTGCTTTGAGTAAGGTTCTGATTTAATTTTCAATTCTTAATAAGTAATTTGTTTTTTTTTCAATTTCTTTACAATATGTTTTGATTTTTCGGTATAGTCTTTGTTTTTCTATTTCAATATTTTTTTTTTAGAAATTTGTATCTTGACAATAATTTCCAAGTGTCTCGGTTTTTAAAGTTATACTTTTGTAGTATCAAGTCATTTACAGCGTATGCGATGGGTGAGTGCATCTTCTTCCAATGAGTTGTATTTGCAGTGAAAAAATTTATGGTTGTAAAGGTATTTTTTTTGTAACAGTTTTTCTCAAATTTTGCAACTTTTTGAATTTTGCATCAAGATTCTCAGCTGAGTCTTGACAATAGCCCAATTCACCATTTTACAGCCAATAAAAGTTACGAATTTATTTGGTATAAAGTAGAGTCTATAATCTATTTCTAGAGTTTACAATAAATATCTATAATCAGAGAATAAGTTATCCAGCACGAGAAGTACGAGAATTCCAAGCATTGATTAAATCCTTATAAAAGTCAATTTGTTTTTGGTTATACCGTATTAATTTACCATTTGAATCAGCCAGCTCACCGTTAGAAGACAAATTATAAATATTTGCGCAATGGAAGTAACCATTACATCCAAGAGCTTCATTTTTGATGAAAGTTGAAGTATATATTGGGTTCATTTTTGGTTTTGAAAATTTCTCAACTGGTTTTGGAATGATTGCAGCTTCAATTACCAAAGGTTTTTTATAATGATTACGCAATTGAGAAGGATTTTTATAAGTTTGCCGTAAAACTTCTTGACTATCGAAATCTTTTTTCCATGATCTTTTTTTACAATTTTTCAATCCACCATTTAACCAAAGTAATTCACCATTTTTTTTGAAATGAGCTAATTGAATTGAACAAACAGAAGCATTATGATTAACTAGATCCTCATTTAAAACACCAACTGCACCAGCATCAACTTCATCAAAGAAATACTTATCATTTCCAGAAAGTAATTGACCCAACCACCATAATTCTTTATCACCATAAACTGGTTTAGCAGTTTTGGGCCAAAATTGTAAATGAACAGAAGCCAATAAACCAATAAAATGAGTTTTACGGTTCATAACAATAAGTCCACTTTCCATTAAATGTTTCGATTTTTCTTCAAAAAAATTAGTTTGAGTTAAATTATCGGGACTAACTTTTAAAATATTAAAGGCATTCGTTTCTAAGGTCGTTGGTAAGAAATTTCTGTACTCAATCATATTATTTGGTTGCATTCGATCCGCTAATTCACGATCTTTGAAAAAATAAGCTCCAGTATTTTCATAACTTTCAAATTCAAAAAATCCTTCGGGTTTAATAAAAGGAACTGCATCACTATCCAATAAAATCATTTCTTCAAAAGAATTAAAAATTCCAGCTAACCATTTATTTGAAAAACTCTTAAACCTTTTATTGTATTTTGGATCCACCAAATTTGATATGTCAACAAATGAAATACTTTGTTGATTTTCATTAAAACTAAATGTTTTATTAAATAATAAATTATTTGTTGCAGCTCTTTGTAATTTAATTTTATGAGTTTTGGTAACATCATTACCATGAACAAATTCAATTTTTAAATCATTACCTAAAAATCTTAAAGATTTAATTAAATTTTCAGCATCTTGTATATTAAATTCACCAATGCTAATTACTATTCCCTTACCTTTAATATTTTTTTGATAAGTTTCCCAATAACTTTGATTATTTTCAATTTTAATATGATTTAAAATAGTATCATCAAGATTACCATCAGAGTATTCAAACTTAGGGAAACTTCTTTTGAAAAATGGGAATAGTTTGTCATCAATAGTTTTAAAATTAGTAAAATCATTCGATTTACCATTTAAAAAACATGCATTATATATTCTTAAATGAGATAAGGTATTTTGAATTTGTAATTCCGAATTTTTAGTTATATCAAACCCCCAATATTTATCAAAACTAGCTAGTAGATTAAAATAATCTATACAGTTTTTATCAAATACTCCGGGATTCACTATAGAATCTCGATTACTTATCATTAAGAATGATTGTTTCAATAGAAGAATATCATTATACCTAGAAAGAGCTAAATAACCCAACGTTATTAATTGACTCAACATAACCAAAAACACGAGATTAGTTATGTTCCTCTTAGTCATCTTCCTTCTCATGGTTAATATAACCAACTGAACTGAAGGTAATCCTTCATAGTATTGAGATATCTTATACCTAAACCTCATGTCACAGTCTGGCTCATCGAATATAGCATAACTCAGATTCGCTGTGACGTATCTACGGATATATATATATATGTCAATAAACTACCCTTCGACAATACCGGGTTCATTTATTATTTTAATTGACTTCGCCCAATTTCTCTAATGGAGTAGTAAAGCTAATTCTATTATAAGCACCTTACAGCTAAGCACACATAACTTAAGCACGAACCCACCATTCTCGAAAAACCCACCCTTCTCGCTCACCCGGTAGGCTCTGGCAAGCAGCAGTGGAACTTCCCTCTCAGAACTTGGGGTCCAACCCGGAAAGTAGTTGGTGTAGTCAATCAATTTTAGAGCTAAATATAAACGTGGACCAGCGATGCGCCATTTTTTCGCGGATTAGAAAATAACCGTTTCCATTACTTTGACAGCTTTTTATATGTATTAATAGTACATTTATTAATAGGTGGGGGCTTGCACTATCAGCTGTGTATTTCTGAGGGCCAGAGGAGTTGAAGAAACACTACAAGGAGCACAACCACAAGGTAAAAAGGCAAGCAATTAACAAAACATAAGGGAGAAGGGTAAGAGAATCGTGAATAGAATAAATAAGCAACGAAAACAATAAAGAAAGGTTAGAGGCAAGGGTAAGATTAGCTTAGTTTAAATTCGTGAATGATAAAATTTCAAATATATAAATAGAAAGAGGGGGTTAGTATCATGAGAACCGTGAGTTAACTTTTTATAATGCAACGTCATTTAAATCGTCAGCAACCTTATCAGCATCAGCATCAGCATCAGCATCAGTTTCTTTAGTTTCTTTGGCTTCATTCTTTGGCTCATTCTTTGGCTCATTCTTTGGCTCATTCTTTGGCTCATTCTTTGGTTCATCCTTTGGCTCAGCTTGTTCAGCTTTTGGTGCAGCTTGTTCAGCTTTAGGTGCAGCTTGTTCAGCCTGTTCAGCTTTTGGTTCAGCCTGTTCAGCTTTTGGTTCAGCTTTTGGTTCAGCCTTTGCTTCATCTTTAGTCACCTTTGTAGCAGCATCTTTTACTTGATTTTTATTCTGTTCATCTTTCTTTTCATCTCCAATTAAAGTTTCTTTAGGTAATGCAACTTTACTTGTACTTTCTAAATTAATTAAAGGATTTGACTTATTTAAATTAGAACTAGAGTTATTTTTATGAATATTTGAAGACGAGCCAGGTAAATGACCATTAATTGGTTTTTTCAAATTTGGAGGTAATCTTTGTGGAGTGAAAGCAGTTTGGAAAGTCTCAATATTTGAAATACCATATTTTCTTAAAGCTCTTCTTTTCCAAACATCCAAGTAATTTAATTTACCTCTTAATTTAGCACCAAATTCTTTACCTGAACGATCTAAAAATGATAATTCACCTTCACCTTCGTCTTCATCCCCAATCATATAATCATCATCTCTAGAACTATCTAAGAAACCATTATCAACTCTTGATTCTGATTGATCAATTTGAAAATTACCAGCTTCTAAATCATTTACAAATCCAAAGATAAATTCTTGGAAACTTGATGCAATAACTAATTTAGTATCATAATCTCTACCAAATAATATAATTTGACCCCATTGACCTGCAGGACCGGGTGCTAAATCTAAAGCAAATTGATTACCACAAGAATCTTTAATCAAAGGAACCCAACCTCTATGAACATAATAAGGTTGAATTGAATTTGGTGGAATTGATTTTTGGTTAGTTATAAAATTATTATTAATTTTAGGAGAAGTTTTATCATTTGTAGTATCAATATCTGATTGAGAATCATTTTTTTGTAAAATTTGTTGTTTTTTTTGATGTTGTAAAATGTATTGTTGTTTTTCAATTCTTTGACTTACTTTAGCCCAAATTGAATATTCTTCAATAATACTTTCAATATCTAATAAAGTTAATCCCATAATTAAACCGGTGGGTTTACCTCCTCTAAATTGTCCATCATGGATCTTATAAAATTGTCTAAATTCAACTGGTAATGAACCCATTGCTAAATCATTTTCAAATTCATTCAAGTCAGCACTAGTAACTCCATAATTTAAATTATCTTCTAATTCAGGATACTCTTCTTCTAACCAATTTTCAATTCTATTCCATAATGATTCAATTGATGGTAATGGGGGTTGTCCATTTGAAAAATTTTGTAATTGAACGTCAGATGAATTACGTGAATTCTTTAAATTAGTACTAGACGATCTTAATCCTGGTCTATAACCAATTGGTCCATTATTTAGTTGACTAGAACTGTTATTATTAGGTTGTCCTTCGATTAATGAATGACTAGATGAATTAGCAGTAGCTAAACGATTTAACTCATGTAACCTTGAACCAGAATCAAACCCTCCTGACCCCCCAACCACATTACTGGTTGAGCCATTAATAGAATTCTTATATGGGGATCCATATGAAGCATAATGATCTTCAGTGGTTATAGAATGCACAAATGCTTTGAAATTATCAAGTAATCCCATCTTATCCTCTATTTCTTCTTTGCTTCCGAGATTTTCTCAAACTCTTATACTTCAAGCAACTATTTGAACAACTAATCCAAAACTTAAAAATAAATCTTTTGGAATCCAATTTTATGACCTTAGCGCAAACACCAAATCAGCAATCAATATCGGTACCTCGATTCAAGTGATTAAACTCAACTTTGTAAAAAGACGTGTTATTATACAACTTTGAATCCTTAAAAAAGTATTAATTTTAAAACCTTAGCGATGAATTTGTTAAAATGTTTATATTTTTGTTCGATTTCAAAGTGCGCGGGAAAAGGCACAAGTTTATTGTGCAATAAATAGCGTTTTTCTTTCTTTTTTTTTGTTCTCACTGAAACTGAAAGCGTGTTAAGACGTTCTACTTACTTCGAAGAGGCTTTCCACCTGCCTTTGTTGGACTTTCTTATGTAGGATAGGATTATTTCCGTGAAGAATTGTAATATGAAGTTTAATGTAGATATTTTTTTTCTATAAAAAAAAAAGAAATTTGAAATTAAAAACAAAAAAAAAAGACAAAAAAAAAAAAAAAATAATTGCGATCACGTGACGGGACTAAGTCTCAATTTGGTTCTGTTAATCAGCTACTGGTCATACTACTGCTGGGATACTACCACAATCTCGTAATTGGCCTGTTCCAATGGGTCGTCTAATATACGTGCAATACCTTTCTAAAACAAATGGGAATCGTATAACTTGTTTGTTAGGGCACATTGGACGTGCGGTCACGTGCACGACCCCTCAAAAAAGCTCATAGACCAGTGGCTGCAACTTACAAAGAGATACTCTGACTATTAATAAATAAATTCTATAAACTTATAAGTTGTGACAAACGCGATTAATGGCCGTTGGAGATTCCGTTAATGGTTGGGGCTTGTCTTGACTTCAAAAAAGAGGCTAATGACTTACCAAAATAACTTTCTAATAACTCGGGATGGTTAAAATCCAAGTCGGAAATGATTTGGGATTTCTTAATCAACTCGTAGTTTAGTTCATCGGAAACTTTTGAGTCTTGATTATATAAGGGGCTTTGCAATACTTGATTCCTTAACCAGTTTGCAATGGTTGGGATTTTACCACTTGCTCTGTAACTGATTAATTTTAAGTACTGTTGCAAAGTCAATAAATCACCAGCTAATTCATTCAGATTACAATGGTTATTATCCTTTAGAGTATCCGGGATCAAATCGGTGGCGATCAACTTGATGATCATCTTGATCAAACCAGGGAATATGTTATTACCATTGATTATTTCATTAACGGTTAATTTTGATTCATTTTCATCCGAATTACCGACATCCGGAGTTTCTTCTTCAACTTCAATATTCAGAGGATCTTCAAAATATCCATTAAGATAAACCTTATCGTTGATTAATTCATCATTGCCTTGGTTAATGAATCTGTCAAACCAAGTAAGATCATAACCAATGAAATCAGAGTTTTTCAAATTCCATAATTTAGGATTTTTAAACCAAAATTTATCCTTTAAAACCGAATCAACTTTATGAGCAATCTTCATGTTATTATCAATTTTACTAATTGGAATATAGTAATTTGGGTTATACTTCAATATAGCTTTTGAAACCAAAGTTATAAAATTTGAATATGCTGCATTTTCAAAATCAGTTAATTGAATTTCCATTGGTCTAAATTCAACTCTCCATCCAGGTTTTTCGCTTAAATTTTCTCCATCTGGATATAATGCTGGTGGTTTAAATCTCAAAGTTTGCCAATTGGTACTTTGAATATTTTCAAAATGATCATTTGATAATTCATTATCTTGATTTATTCTTTCATTGAATATGACTAATGGATCTCGAATGAATAAATGAGCAAAATGTTTTGCTAATATTGGATCAAATAATTTTGATTCAATTAATCGATTATAAATTTTTTCATTGATAGGCGAATAAATATCATTATAAATTTCATTAAAATATGATTTTTTATCATTAAATTTATAATGTTCATCACTTAAATAATTATCAATTGATTCATATCTTGATTTGGGAATTTTTTGTATTGGTTTAGTCAGTTTATTAATTTTTAAATTGGTATCACCGAATTCATTGATGATTCGATCTCCATTAATTCCTTTACCACCTCCCAAATTATTCATATGATCCTTAACTTCTTCTTCAACGTCTAATCCACCAAAAAAATCATATCCTGGATATGGCTCTTCATCTCGTTCAATAAATGTACGATCATCAACTGCTCCACTAATAACATTCCATCTAACATCTTGATCTACTAAGAAACCTTTGAAAATTGGGGCTGCTGCAGATAATGATAACATGATGGGGGTTAATGGAGCCAAACTATCATATAAATATCTTGCTTGACTAATATCTTTGGCTTGAACCGTAATTTGTAAACATGATGAACCCATACCAAATCCCATTGAGTCCATATAAACAAAACCCGGTTTTGATGCACCAATCCAAGGTTCCAAATCACTATTAAAATAATCACGATTTTTAGGAATTGAATCATCTAATAATTTCGTATTTACGTCAGGATAAATGGGTAAGTTAATGGCAACTTTATGACCTCTTCTTTTTCTAATATTTGCGGTTAAAGTTGGAAATCTAGCGTGTCTATTAATAATTTCATCTGGTAAAAACAATGACTGAGATGCTGGACCAATTGGTTTTGCATTTGGTGAAGTAAAGATTTCACATCCCATTCTTGGAAAGGAAGTTAAAGTGAGTGGTTTAATATTACTTGGTAATTCAGATTCACTAATTTTTCTTCTTTTGATCATATTTTTTTCAACATAAATATAATCACATATAAAATCTCCATTATAAGGTTTTAAAGGCGTTGCTTCAATCATGAATCTACCATATTCTGGATGGAAAGAAACATCATTTTCAATAGCTTTATTATAAGATTCTGGTTTTTCTGGATCATTTAAATCATCTAATATGTAATCTTTATCAATAGATAACCTAGCAGTTTTAGAATCATCATTAATATCCACCAACATATATTCAACTTCATCCCCCCAGTAAAATTTATCATTTAATCTTGTTTTGGAGTGTTGTTTGAAAATGTTTATAAGTTGAGTAATCCCATTATCTCTAACATGTTCGTTATATTGCTTAGCTTCATGCCAGTCCAATGGAGTACCTAAAGACAAAAGTCCCATGGTTAAGAAATGAAAAGAAGTAAAAATTTAATAAGAAGCGAATGAAACGAATGAAATTCAATCGATAATTCCCAATTCTAACAGCTTCCGAAATGTCCAACAGCCTCCAAAGTGAACCTATTCAACTGATACCAACTAAAATCAAAGAAATGAAGTAAATGAAGTAAAGAAGTGAAAACTAAAAAAATACTGGAAAGCAAAAAATATCTAATTAAGCTAATGGGAATTTTCAAAAAAGTAGTATCGCCTAATTATTAGCACTCTTATCAAGCTAAAACACCTTCTAATTCAATCCAAATTCAATTATAACTCTAGTTTTTGTGAAAAACCTCTTCTTCTTCTAATTTTTTTCCTACTTCTTCCTTTTTTGTGCTTTACCTCTTCGCAAGCCAATTCCGCAGCCTGATAAACCTATTGAAAGTAGCACTAGCTATCGGAAAAGAAAAATAAGTAGAATTAATGTCTTAGCCAAAAGAGCATCCAACTATATATATCTAATCAACTACAACTACACTTACGATATCCAATCAAATCAATACGAAATCAATACAAAATCAACTGATAAAATGTAATTAATAAGCACTAATTTTTCTCAACCATTTTTGACTTTGTTTCTCTTTGTTCCTTTTACTAGTGTTTGGCAGAGTTATATACGTGAAAAAAAAACAAACTTTTGTTAGTCGCTTGTAGTATTCCAACATAACCTCACGAATCAACCCCTTTCAGGAGTTATATCCATGTTGCAACCACCAGTTGTTGTGGAGCTCTTCGGTAGATCTAATAATTGATAAATGATTGTAATTTGCTAAATGCACGTGACGGGAAGACCGCTAACTCAAGAGGATACTTATTCCTAATCGGGATAAAAATTATCGCCCGGATTATTACAAAGCCCAACCCGTACCCCAACCAAATTCTGGTTGCAACTACATTGGTGATATAAAGAAACTATTATACAATACAAAAAAAACAAACTAAATATCTATCTAATGACAACTAAAGGAAGTGAAGAGTGATTAGTACAAGGTGGAAGAGTTTTTAACAATACATCCAGCATCATTTTCTTTCTTATCAACTAATTCACCAATGACAACGGCATCTTCACCTTCTTGTTTTAAGTTACTAAGAACTTGATCGACGTTTTGTTTTTCAACAATAAGGACCATTCCGATACCAAGGTTGAAGGTCTTGAGCAAATCTTCGATTGGAACATTACCTTCTTTACCAAACCATTTAAAGATATCTGGAACAGACCATTGATTCATATCAACAACTGCTTGTAAATTTTTCGGCAAAGCTCTTGGAATGTTTTCAACTAAACCACCACCAGTGATATGAGCCAACCCGAGTAATAAATCTTGGTTGATTGATTTTAATAATTGTTTAACATAAATTCTAGTTGGTACTAATAATTCTTCACCAATGGTTTTACCATTATTAGTCCATGGAGCAATTGATTTATAATTATAATTTTCAGAAGTTTCAATGATATGACGAACCAAGGAGAAACCATTGGAATGAACCCCGTCAGATTTCAAACCAATTAAGACGTTACCTGATTTCATATTATTGATTTGTGGTAAAATTTTATTCTTATTAACTGCACCAACTGAAGTACCATTGGTATCATAATGGCCAACGTCATACATACCTGGCATTTCACTGGTTTCCCCACCAACTAAAGCACATCCAGCTTGAATACATCCATCAGCAACACCGTTAACGAATTTTGCTGCAACTTCAATATCTAATTTACCGGTTGCGAAATAATCCAAGAAAATTAATGGTTCAGCACCTTGAACAACTAAATCATTAACATTCATTGCGACTAAATCAATACCAACAGTATCATGAATGTTCATAATTTGAGCAATTCTTAATTTAGTACCAACCCCATCAGTGGCAGCAACTAATAAAGTTTCATCAGTTTTATAACCGGCTTTTGATAAATCAAATAATCCACCAAATCCACCAATATCTGAATCAGCGCCAGTTCTAGCAGTTGATTTAACTTTAGCTTTAATTTGTTCGACTAATAAATTACCATTATCAACTGATACACCAGCTTCTGCATAAGTAGTACCTTGTTTATTAACAGCTTTATCAGCATCTCTGAATGCTCTATGTGCAATATCTTTACGATTATATTTATCTTTAAATTCAATATGCTCAACACCTTTATATGCTTGATCAACAGCTTGTCTTAAAGTTTCACCAGTGGCAGTTGATGCAATGACTCTACCACCTGATGTAACAACTTTACCATCTTTATAATCAGTACCAGCATGGAATACATAGGTATCTTTTGGTAAAGGCTCTTTGATGGTGATTTCGTCTCCTTTGTTATATTTATCTGGATAGCCACCAGCTGCTAAAACAACAGTAGTAGCAAAAGTATTTGGCTTGGTTTTGATAGTAACAGAATCTAATCTATGTTCAGCAGCAGCTAACATAACTTCTGCTAAATCGGTATCTTCTGTTAATAATGGTAAAACTGATTGAGTTTCTGGATCACCAAATCTAACATTATATTCTAATACTTTTGGTTCTTTTGATGGAGTTAACATAATACCAGTAAACAAAATCCCAGTCATTGGGAATCCGTCTTTTCTCATACCTTCAATAGTTGGTTTAATAATTTGTTCATCAATTTTTCTTAAGACTTCTGGAGTTGCAATTGGAGCAGGTGCATAAGTACCCATACCACCAGTATTTAAACCTTTATCGCCATCACCAATTCTTTTATGGTCTTGAGCAGCAGGTAAATTGTAAAAAGAATAACCATCACTAATAGTTAAAATTGAAAGCTCATCACCTTCCAAATATTCTTCAATAACGATTTCATCACCGGCAGTACCAAAAGATCTATCAACCATAATTTCATTTAAACCCGCCAATGCTTCTTCTTTAGTTTCTGGAATTAAAACACCCTTACCACCGGCAATACCATCGGCTTTCAAAACTATTTTATAATCAACGGTTTCCACATGTTTTTTAGCTTCTTCATACGAAGTGAAATTTTGGAATCTTGCAGTTGGAATATTATGTTTATCCATAAAAATCTTAGAATGAGCTTTCGAACCTTCTAATAAAGCAGCTTTAGCACTTGGACCAAATACTGGAATACCAACTTTAGTGAAAACTGAAGTTATACCATCAACCAAAGGTTGTTCAGGACCAGGAACAACCAAATCAATTTTTTTGTCAACAGCAAATTTTTGTAAAGCATCAAAATGTTTAGGAGATCCTGATAACTCAGGAACATTAATAACTTTATTAGTAATTGCAGTACCACCATTACCTGGAGCAACGTAGATAGCTTTGACGTTTGAAGATTGTGCCAATCTCCAAGAAATAGCATGTTCTCTACCACCGTTACCGACAATAAGCACGTTGAGGTTAGACATTTTTAAATTTCTAGAGGATGTAAAGTAATAAGAGACTCGACAATTAAAAGACGTCTACTAGAAAAGAAGTAGACATGAATAAAGATTTATAAATTAACTCTTCCCATCGCACCAGAGCATTTTCCAAATTTTTTTTTTGTTTTGTTAGCGATTCAGTGAGAATCAATTAAAAATTGACTCTGAAATTTCGATACAAAGTATGGGGTTATGTATTACTAGATTACTATAAGCATTATACTATGAGTAGTATACTGTGAGTATTGTATAATAAGGATTATATAATAAGGATTATATTACAGACACTGGCGTGGATACAGAAATTAATGGGATTGTAGAATAGAATTCTTGTATAGCTCTATTTACACATATGTACAAGATTAAATGAGTTTAAATGGAAACATCACCCAGACCAACTATACCTTGAAATTTATAATCTTTGTCACTTGGTAATTTTACATCACCACCATCCTGACTAATTGGAGAGTATAAATAATAAGACATTAAAGCATTAACCACGGCTCTATTTTTAGCTTCTCTTAAAGAAGCACCAACACCTTCACCTAATTTTTCAGCACCGCAAAAGGCCCCAGCAACAAATATAGCATGATTAGTTAATCTACCAGTTTCAGCAATTAATCTAATTTCGACTGGATCTTCAAAATTTAATTTTTCACATAATCTAACTAATTCTCTAGTTGGTTTACTAAATTGGAACATTTGTTCAATTGGTAATTTTCTTGATAAAATATGATCTTGGATGAATTTTTTAGTGGTTTCTTCATTGGTATGAGTGTATAAACCACCAATGATAGCTCTTACTGAACTGGCATATGATTCAGCTTCTTTTGAAATAAAAGTATTATCGTTTAAAGATTTAATTTCATTTGAACTCACTTCAGTAACACCATCTTCTTTGAATTCTTCTTTTGATTCATCAGATTGATATCTTATTCTACCATATTTTAAAAATTCTGGTTCTTTTGATAAAAATTTTTCTAATTTTGAACTTTGATCAATTTCTAAACCCCAACTCTTACCAATTTCAAATAATGTTTCGACTCCCATAAACGAGTCAACTGCAACATTATGAACTGGCATGGGTAATCTTGGATATTTGATAAGTAAATATTCGGCAATATAATATGATAATAATGTTTTACCTAAGGTATTTAATCCAAAATTATTAGCTAACCCATCAAATTTATGCAAATTTAATGCTTGTGACAAAGTTGATAAGGAATAACTTGATGGTAAATTCAATCTGGCGTGTAATGCAACTAATGGTGGGGATTGTTGTGCAGTCAGTTCGGGTAATCTATGGGTGAATATAGTATTTCTATAACTATCGTAATTGGTGATTGATTCGTATTCGGTTTTCAAACTGGTATCCGGTTGCGCAACATGGTAGCATGCAACTTGTGCTTGCAATATGCGTCCTGCTCGCAAGAGTCCGGCCCTGGCCTTACTTCTAGTTATCACACTCAACATCTTATTCAAACCGTATAACTCTGGTTAATGGTCTTTCGATGAAAGCTTGAAAATTTTCTATTTTTTTTTTTTTTTCACCTTCGCTGTGATGATTATATAAGCGCTAAAACCTCCGTACATCGTCAAAGTAGGCATCCTAAAGAGCTAATTGAACAAACGATGACATTGGCATTGCATTACATTGACATGATATTGACCTGTCACAGCCGAGTCAGTAGAATGACATTGAGCTACTGGGTGTGTAAAGCTGAAACTACTAGGAATAAAATTTATAAATTAAGCTGCTGGGTGTAAAATTGGTAACATCAGTTGGAAATATGTGACTGCAGCCATGGTTGATCAATTGTTACTATGCCAGGACTAATGGTACAACCAGTGGACAGCTAAGGAGGGAGCTGGCGGCAGTGAAGCAGTTTAATTTGTTCCACTGGAATGTCTGCCGTCAGCATGATCAAGACTCACCACCAAGGACCAAAGCAGATAAACAACTTAACAGAAAGGCAAACAACTTAACAGAAAGGCAAACAACTTAACAGAAAGGCAAACAACTAAACGAAAGACAACTAAACGAAAGACAACTAAACGAAAGACAACTAAACGAAAGACAACTAAACAGAAAGAGGTTAACAGTTAACTGTTCATAGTTGCAGCAATTGCTGGGAAAGAGACCGGGGTCGTGCACCATGCCCAAATCCGTGGTTAACCAACCAAAGGACAAAGAAATTTACTTATTAAAAACTACAACTAGAGCTTTTGAAGAGTTGGTATAACTAAACCACAGATAAGTAACAAAAGATGGCAGCACACGGTCCTCCGTTAAACATCTGGGCTATTGGGGCCATGTCCTCTGTTTTGATCATTTACGTTGGTCTTAAAGCACCTTTAAAATATAAATGGGCTAAAGAGAGAAGACTTAGTCCAAAAGCTGATTTAGCTTGGAGAAATGCTGCTGATAAATGGCTTGTTAATAATCAATAAGTTATTTGCATTTAATTTTATTTATTTATACTTTAATGTACATTTATTAAGTCTATATTCTATAAAAATTGTATTAACCATTTTTAAATGAATTCATTTCGATATTTTCATTTGGTAATGAATTATTGATTGTTTCAATTTTTTGTAATTTAACCCAATCACTTTCTAATTTTAAAAAACACCATAACCATCTTCTAAAAATTTCTAGTATTTCAACAATTGTATAACCAAAAGAATATACATCATTACCAAATAAAAACTGACCCAAATGATTGAATACGGTTAAATTTTGCTGATCTTTTATAATGAATATTTTGAAAACCCAGAGAAACCTCAAGACGAAATCTGTCATTATGATTGAGTGGTAGCCAATCAAATTCTTATAAACTAGTTGGTTCCAAGGTCTAAGAGGGATGAAGGTGGTTTCTGATTTGAAAATTAGTTCAAATAATTGAAACCCCCAATCCATTCGAACATCCCAGATAAATGAATAAGTAGAGTTGACGATAGAAGCAAAATACCAACAAGTATTCAACCACTTCAAGCTTTCTAATAATTGCGTTTGAGAAATATCTTGAGAATTTTCAGGATTTAACTTCAGTAACCTTAACTTGATTAATAAATTTATCAAAATTGGTACTAATCCACTGAAATATTTTAAAAAATTAAATAAATGTTGTTTCTGTTTAGTCAATTTGTATTCAAACCAACACTGCTTCATTCTTATTAATCCTGGAATTGCCAATACGATAAATTCAATCTTAGAATTATATACTTCATTACTAAAAGTACTCCATACGAATAAACTCAAATCATTTAACACTTTGGAATAAGACGTTAAGCTATCTGATATTAAAATATCGTTTGTTCTCATGGTTTGGGAGTTAATTCCTCCCATCAATATTCTCTTAACCGTCGTATACATCCGGTATTGCCCAAAAGTTTCCTTCTTTCTTGAATACCAAAACAATCGCTGGAAACCGTACCCAATTGTAATATACGGAAGCATTACATGGATCGGGTATAAAATAACATTTTGATCCTTTTTCAAGCCAATTAAAACATAAATCAAATATGATATTAAATTTATTGTTGCTAATTTTTTCAAAGATGCTTTAATACCTCGAATTAACACAAGGTTCTCCTTAACATCCGCTGGATTTGCAGTGGAGTATTCTCCAGTGGCACTGGCTTGAATCAGTCCATCCAAGTGGGAATAGTTGTGATTGGAATATGATAAATTTAATAATGATAAAATGTTCAATTTTTGATTTTCATAACAATATCTGACTAGTAAATACCATAGGAAAACCCCTAATTGTAATGCAAAGATAACTTTATATGGAAGTGGGACCAAGTTCCCAAACACAATCCCCGATTCTGTCGCTTCATCCATCTCTAATTCATTCAAGACAAGAAGAACAACTGGTACTTACAATAATGGTAATGGTCTTGAATCTCGCTGTTTGCTTCTACTTCCGGGGGTTACTAGCTCTTCCCCCAACTTAGCCGCAGTCACGTGCCCAAGCCCAGATCGCGCCCGGATGTCCTCCACTACAGCCTTGCAATCTTCAGTCTGAACATTGAAGTCTTGCATTACAAGTCATTAGGTCTTGCATTACAAGTCTTAACGTTAAACCTGTTCAGAAGTCAAGGTTTAGTGGTTTACGAAAATTACAATTGGTGATTCTTGCAAGGCTTCAGACACAACCTGTTCATCGTGGAACAGATCATGATTTAGGTATGTTGTAATCAGAAGTATTCATGATTAGCATGGAAGACATCATTAGCCCAAAGAATCATCAATTGGTCTTTTCACCTATTAAATACAACACTTAGGAGAATCAAATCTTTTTATTCAAAATAAATACATTTATATAAAAAAAATCAAAAAAAAAAAAAAAAAATACGTCAAGAAGCAAAACTTCACGTTCTATAAGTAATTGTTAATAAAATGTTCTCAAACATGTTATACATGATCTTCGGTATAATCCACTAATGAGCAGTTGAGTGAGTTACCTTCAGAATTTTCAGTGTGTTTGGCATAAAATCGAATCGGTCATAGTCCTGAAAAGGAGCCTCCGTTTGGGGCGACATCGTGTCATCACGGTAACTCATCCGTCAACTGACTCACCAGGAGTCTTAGCTAACATACTTGTATGGTTGATAAAGAAGAGTAGAATAGTAGAAAGAAAACTCGAGTGCTTGTCTTTTTAAAGTGAGGAAAACTTTTTTTTTTCAGTTTGTTTGTCGATGCATTTGTTACCCGGATTTTCCAACAGAGGGCTCTTTACTGCAAAAGTCTACAAAGTATAGTGTAGAAGTATTAAGGATACGCTATATTAAAGGCATGGTGTATCAAAGATGTGGTATATTGAAGATACATTGTATTAAAGATGTGGTATATTAAAGATACGGTATGGTAAGAATACGCTATGTTAAAGATATGATATATACGAGATATATATGTCAGATATGTTACAGGATAAGATAGATGTTAGCTTTTATCTCTTTTACTACTTTTAAGCTTATTAGCCTTGATCTTACGATTATTGTCTCTTCTTTCAGCTTTGGTCAAGTATCTGAACTTCTTCTTCTTCTTGATTTTGTCCTTGAGCGAAGGTTTGGCAACACCACAAGTCACTGCGTATTTTTTGGCTTTGTCTATTGAATCTTTCAAGACGTCTTCGGAATCCTTCAAACGCACATTATTGGCCAAGGCAATTGCTTCGAGATTGGTATCTTGGATCTTCTTGATGTGTGGGTTGTCAAGCGATTCAACCGTGACGGTTGTTTCATCGTCAATAATGGCATCTCCCTGTGGAAAATCATTGGAATCGTCCCTTTTGTATATTTCTGTGTGATGAAGAATACCCTTTTGGGGTCTTCTCTTTTCCTTCTTTTCCTTCTCCCCATCGTCATCTTCTTCTCCGTCTTCTTCTCCGTCTTCTGCTTCATCCTCACTAGAAGAGTTGGACTTTGAATCAAACCCATCCCATTTGTCTTCTTCCTCATCGCTACTGTCCAAATGGGTGATTCTTTCCATGGTATCCTTGAATCCCTTCAATTGGTTTTCTAGGTCCTTCTTCCTCTCATCTCGTATTTCCTTTCTTTCCTGGACTTTGGCAAGCCTCTCCTGTTCTTTTATATATTCTTGGGCCTTCTTTTGTCTCTGCAATTTTCTTTTATGGAAACCAGTTAAATATTCTTGACGGGATTCTTTATCAAATACAACCTCATCAACACCAAACTTTTTGGTCTGCTGTTGATGGTACTTCTTCCCACCAGTTAAGATCTCTCTATTTCGTCTTATGCTTGACATCTTGGGTAATATGTACTATACTGCTAAGGTAGAAGATTAAGAGGGTACATTTTTTTTTTTTTTTTTGAAAAAAAAGCGTAGGAAAAAAAAATACCGATGACTTGAAGTATCAACTACGTCTGTTTCAAGGATTACTTTACAGAACTGAACGCTTTTAAGCTGCTCTAAAGCTGTTATCATGGAAAATATAGCAAACGTCAAGCTCTTTATAGAGTCCCTCGATGGGTCCATAGACCAATTAAAAAATGAATTAAACCCGTTATTGAATAGACCACTAGATGAATTAATAGGAGTGAATACCCATAATAATATAGAAGCCATAAGTTTTTATAATAATTATCTTTATACCTTAATATCGGTAATTTTCTCGTACTTGAAAGTAATTGGAATTAAGGTCGAGGAACACCCAATAATGAAAGAACTTACTAGAATAAAGTCGTATATGAAAAGACTAAAAGATTTAGAAACTAAGTTAAAGAATGCCGAATCCAAAGATGAAAAGAATGCTGAAAGAGCAAGACAGTACATAGTTAACACTCTTGGCTCAAATGTTAATGGCGGGGGTGCTGCCCAACCTGAGAGTTTAAGCAAACCAGCCATAAGTAAGGACAATTTTAAAGGAAAGCATACTAAATTCGAAGATAAAAAGCAAACTTCAGATGATGAAGAACAATCAAAACCATCTAAGAAACCATCACAAGCAGAAGCCAATTTAAAGAAAAAACAGAAGAAGTCTCGTAATATCAAACCTTCATCTTCTGGTCGTATTTCAAAACCAAAACATAAAAAAGCTTCTAAATAGTTGTTTATAGAGTGATAATAATAAAAAAACATGCATGTAAAAACCTATATTGAAAGTACTATGTATGAAGAAATGAAAGAAGTATGTTTTGTATGACTTGGTTATATAAAAATTAAATAAAAATTAAGAAACGAAAAGAAAAACATTTCATATGCATCGTGAAATCTTAAAGGTCCATCGATTGATGAATCAAGAAGATAATTTAAATAATGTGATTGAAACACTTAAGAAAACTAGTATATTAGTAAAATTCTTCAAACACATGTTCATGCTTTAATGTTTCTTCAACAATAAAGTAAATTTCCATTAATAAATGAGGGAATTTATTATTGAAATATTTATAAAACCCATTTGGTAAAGGACTCATTTGTTCTTGCAATTTAGGAGGCATATCATTAAAATGATGATATTTATTTCTCAAAGCTCTCAATAAATCCATTAGTTTTTCAGTATTATATTTTCTATATTTACCTAAATTATTCATGAATTCATCATCAAACTTAGCATGCCAATCACCTTGGTGAACTCGTTCTGCAACAGATTCTAATTTTAATAATAAATCACTTGGAGGATCTCTTCTTTCAATTTCAAATCTATCACTAACTTTTAAGAGAAATTCAAGTTTCTTATTCATCCCCCAGAAATATGGATGTTTCATTAATTGGAAAGTATTTGGTCTCAACTTTGGGTTATGGCTTATCATGACCGAAATCAAATGAGAAGCTTCAACATAATCAGTTGGGCAACAAAATTTCAATAATGATAAGTCATATTCCCCCTTAATAATGTTACCTTCTCTTAAGTAGCGATCACCAAATGGGTGATTACCATTAGTTAATATGTAAAAAAATACACATCCTAAAGAGAAAATATCAATTGCTTTAGTCAACCGTTTTCCATTTCCAGTTGAAGGAGTATTACCATTGGTTATGATGGAATGGCGCGAAGAAGAACCAACCGAAGATATAGTCTCAGGCGATATTTCTAATAAGTCATGATGTAATAATAATTCTGGGGCTCTCCAACCAGAGGTACCAGAGGCTGCATGCTGAGTTGTGGCCCTGAAGGAGGATTGATCAGCATCCAATTTTTTACATAAACCAAAATCAGAAATCAATAAACGGATAGAACTTGTTTGAGCTGAAGCATCCTGGTTTTTATTATTTGAAGGTTTTTTCATAGTATCAGCAACCAAGATATTTTGAGGTTTCAAGTCACGATGAACAATTTTCAAAGAATGTAAATAATGTAATCCACTCACTAATTGGTGTAAAACATTATTGATATTATATTCATTCAATCTAAGGTTTTGTGGATAAAGTTTTGATTTCTCTGTTATGTCTTCTAGCGAGCATAAACATAATTCTAAGGCAATATATAAAAATTTTTCAGACTCACTTGATTGAGAGCAGAAATATCTAATGACGTTTGGATGGTCATCACTTTCTTGAAGTAATCTCACTTCATGATTGGCAATATCGTAAAAATCAAGAAGCATACGTTTTACTGCAACCGGTCTATTTTCGAAGGTTCCTTCATAAACAACGGTACCATGAGATCCATAACCCAAAACCTTGTCAGAAATCACTAAATTATTTTCTATTTGGAGTTTCTTCAAAGGAAGCTTTTGAGTGGAAGGCTGTTTTTGAATAGTCTTGATAAGTGATTTGGTTGATATAACTTCCTCTTTATCCTGTTGTTCAACTGATTCAACATCATCTCCATTAACGATGCCATCATCAGTTGGATTATTTTCATTGCTTCCTAAATCACCATTGGTATCATCAGGACTTTTATTTTTCTTTTTACCTTTACCTCCACGCTTTCCTCCACGGCTACCTCTCTTACGCTTCTTTTTCGTAACTGCTTGTTCTTGTTCATTATCATTGTCATTGTCGTTGTCTGCGTCACCGGGATCAGTATTTTCTGAAGTGACAATACCGAGAGGGTTTAATTCCTCCGGTGATTGATTTCCAGTTGTTATTTCAACTTTCTCCTCGCTGACTGAAGGTTTTGAATTTTCTTGCTCGAGCGAATCATCAGGACTAACTATGGTGACTTTTTTAACTTGTTTTGAAGACGAAAGCTGGTCAGATGTTGAGTTTGATGTCGTTACAGTACCGTTAGAAGAGGATCTAGAGTGATTGGTAGACTGTTCATTAGCTGTAAGTGAAGGGTCCAATAAATCTTGATCGGTTCCATCCGAAATTGATGAACTACGAGTAGTAGTGTTATTTGAGTCGGCATCTCTTATTTCTATCGATGCAGGTAAATGATCTTTCTCCAGTAAATTATACTTATTAATTTCCAAATCCAAATTCTCTGTTTTATCATTACCTGAATGAGGAGAGTTGGAAAATGTTTTTTCACTTTGAGGAATTGGGGTATTTGGACTTGAGGAACTCACATCAATAAACTTTTGAAATTTTTTAGTTAATTTTCCTAATTTACCGAAGACCATTAGAAGAACCAAGAGAATTAAAATGACAATTAGATCTTCACATATTCTTTTGATTAAAGATAATGATTCTATGGTTGTTGTTGTTGCATTATCATCCTTCTGAGATAAGTCTTTTTGAGATTCTCTTGATCTATCAAACACTAATACATCTTGATTATTCGAATTAACTAAAGTAGAGACGTCCCTACCATAAGGTGATTCATCTTTTCTATCACGGAAAACAAACCCATTCATGACATCAGGAACGGAATTTTCATTATGGGAATCATTATTGTCAACTGGAGGTTCACTTGTTCTACCGTCACTAATTTGTTTGATTGGATTAGCTTTATTATCGAAATTTGAAACTGGTTGATACATCGTATCAGCAGTCAAGTGGTTTGTTTGATGAATACCATTAATTAAATGATCAACCAAGGGAGTATTGGAAACCTTAAAGTTTGATAAAAATTCAACATCGACTTCCGAAGGAATTGAATGACTCAATTTGTATAAAGACATTTGATAAGGAGAAATTGGGGCCGACTTAATCAAGGTAGGATAATTAACGAAACTCATTGCGAACCATTCATTACCATTTGAAGTTTTATTCAAAAAACATAAATCATTGTTATTTGTATCTTCACTAACTTGTAACTCGTTTAAAACTTTCAAAGGATGAGGTAAAATAACATGATCGTTATAATTTTTATTTTCGAAAATATCGAAAACATTCACAGCCAAGGAAGGTAACTTACTAATCCAAACTGGTGTACCTAAATTTTTATTTATGGCTAATAATGATTTATCGTGAAAAGGTGTGAAGTATAATTTATCCAAACTTTGTTGATTTTGCATGATTAAATCATTATCGATGTTATTTGGCCCCCATTGAGCATAAGTTACATTCCAAACAACATTAGTATGCTCTTTTGAAAAAATGGATAATTCATAGATGGTTTTACCAATCATTATTGTATCTTCACTTTCAGTATGAAATCGAATTTTTGATTTATCATTAGAATGAGTATTCGGAACGGGACATTTTTCGTCATTAGTACCAAAGGACGAGATTATTTCACCAGTATGTATGTTGATAGTAAATAGAGAAGTTTTCCTACTCCCAGTATAAACTTTATCATCACCACTGAGAGAGAAAGGAGATTCAAGAACCAAATTTTTGATTGAAGTTGGTAATTTATTCAAGCCGAATTTTGGGGTGAAATAATATAAAGACCCATCTTGATATGGTTCAACAAACCACAAGATGTTTGATTGAGTGTTATTATAGGTTTCATTTGAGGCGTTGGTGACGTTAGTACTTATTTTCACCAAGGGATCGTCAATAGGTAAGGACCAAAGTAATCCTCCGCTATTTCTTTCAACTCCGTGTAGATTACCATCGATATCACTAATCAACAATAGATCGGTGAGTTTCCAGTCTTGTATTGATCGTAAATCTAAAGGAATAATATTACGATCTCTTTGATAATTTTGATGATGCTGATTTTGGTGTTGGTATTCTTTTTGCATTAATTCATTATTGGTCAGGTAAACTTTTTCTAGTCGGGGCGACGCCCATACCAGAAGGATCAAGAATATACTGGTTAAACAGGATATAAGTGAAAGCTTCATCTTTGATTCATCAACTGGTGCCCTTTTTTCAGAAGAAGTTGAAAATCCTTTTTTTTTCTTCCGAGCTAGTCAAATGCGGGAATGGATCAGGGATTTTTTTTTTTTCGTCCCTTTAAATCAAAATGACTGTAGAGTTGAAATGAAGACTAGTTAATAAATATCGAAGCAATGGCCAGTGAGGAAGCTTAACGAGAATATAAGGCAAGCGGTCTTCGAAAACTGGACCAAAGAAACAAACAAAATAAAAGGGGTCGGAAATAAATAAATAGAAAATGGATACAAAAAAAAGAATTGCAATAACAAGAAAAACCAACAAAAAACAAGATAAAACAAATAAAAAGAAGTAAAGAAAGAAAGAAAAAGAAGAAAGAAAGAAGATCTTTTCAAGTGATCGGGTCAGGCACTTAAAACTGTATAATCATATAAGTACGTTGGGTGAGAAGTAGTAGGAAATGAAAGATCAAAGAAACAAAAACCACCAAAGAAAAACTAGCAAGGACTCTTGGATCTTGATGAGATGATTACTGATTAGCTTTGCTACTTTAAGAAGCTTTTGCTTTTGTTCTAGAAGCTATACAAATTATTGTGAAGGCAAATGTCTTGAGACGAGCGTCTAATCGACTAAAAACAAAGACTAAAAAAAGCTAAATTTATTGGGATATGTGATCAAGGGAAGATGGAGAGCGGGAAGACGCTTTGATTCTGTAGGCTCAACGATGGAATTGTGGTAAAAGACCCTCTATAATGAAATAAAAGAGAAAGTGGTCGAAGGATTGAATCAAAATGATGGATTTCTGTAGAATTTTTCATGTTTCACCACTTTTTTTGGTGTAATTTTTCTTTTTTTTTGTTTTGTATGGAGTTTTTTTGCGCACTAAAATAAAGACTAACAAACTACTGAAAAGGTGAAAATTAACTAGTGAAGCAATTGCAAATACCCTACAAAACAGACATTAAGGCTTTGGTGTTGGCGATACGAGGTGTACGACGGGCAGAGGTGCAGACGAAACTAGAGAATCAATGGGCGAAGGCGTGGAGACTTGTAGAGTGTGTATTATACATACTACCTTGGTAGTAATTATTGCAAAGTATATAAATAATGGATTAGATAGCAATAGTATATAAATTAGTTAGTGAAAGCTTTGTCGTAATCGGTGAAGACAAATCTATATCTAACATCACCTTGATCACATCTATTCAAAGCTTCATTGACAGCTTTTTCACTGATTGGAATTTCTTCCACCCAAGGTTTAATACCTTTATCAGCAGCCAATTGTAACATTTCAAGGGCTTCAGCTTTAGAACCTAATAAAGAAGAACCAAAAGAACCGGCATTTTTCAAGAAACTGAAAGGAGTAACTTCAAAAGTATCCTTAACTGGAGGTAAACCAACGGAAACAAATCTACCATCAACTTTCAAAACACTTAAATAATCGTTTAAATTCAAACCGTCAATACCAGAAGCACAATTCAAGATAAAATCAAAATTGTCTTGATATTTAGTGGTCCAATCTTTTTCAACCCCAGTGGCAATGAATTCATGGCCACCAAGTTGGAAGGCTTCATCCTTTTTAGCGTTACTTCTGGAAAAAACGGTAACTTTAGCACCTAAAGCACTAGCAAATTGAACAGCAAGATGACCCAATCCACCAAGACCAATGATACCGACAACCGGTTCCTTTTTACCAATTTTTTTCAAGTTTCTAACAATTGGAGAATAAACAGTTAAACCAGCACACATTAAAGGAGCAGCACTAACCGAATCCAACCCATCAGGAATTGGGAAAACAAATTGTTCGTTTGCAATGGAATGAGATGCATAACCACCTTGAGTAACGTAATTATCAGCAAAATGGTCGATTGAATTATAAGTTGAAACTGATTTATGACAATATTGTTCATTTTCTTCTTGACATCTGGTACATGATCTACAAGAAGAAGCACATGCACCAATACCAACACGATCACCAACTTTAACTTGAGTTACTTCATCACCAACAGCAATAACAGTACCAATGATTTCATGTCCAACAACCAAGTCATCTCTTTTCAATGGAGACCAATTGGCTTTCAAAGTATGGATATCAGTACCACATAACCCATTACAAATGTTCTTCAAAACAACATCATGAGGTAAAACCTTCTTTGGAGTATATTCAACAAATTTTGGTTCACTCCAGTGCTCTTTATCGTGAACACCAAAACCTTGAAATTTAGCAGGAATGTCAACGGTCATCTTCAAATATAAAATTACTTACCACTATCCCAATTGAAAAATTATCAGAGTATGGAAATCATTCTATTTATATTAGTAATGGCAAGTCCGAACAAAACGAAAAATTTCACCGCTCTCGTCGGAACAGTTCACAAATCATATCTTTGTGAACGCATGTCAAAATTGACCTTAAGTATGATGCAATGGGCCTTGGTTGCTCACAAGGCTTCCCGGTTACTTATCAATTCCGTAAGTTTTGATTATCTCGACCAGTGTCCTGGGGGTATCATTACTGCTTCCGGTGGCTCGGACCGCAGCTGGAGGGCACTTCAATGCCGGTCCAGAACAAACCGCTTACAAATGAAGGAAAACCGTTACATGTCACCAGCGAGCTGCTTCGGAGTGGCCCCGAGTATATAAAGCTTCTTCTGTTTGCTGGTGGTTGCAAACGGCTGGATTCAGCAACTACTGACTTCTGCCTTATGCTGCCTTCTACCACCTTGTAGTACCTTAAAACACCTTATACGTACCTGTTACACTAGCTGGATAACTACCTATATAGCAGACTACTTCCTCCCCCCAGTGCACCCACTTTAACGCAAACCAATGTCTTACCGTAGACCAACACCCAGTAGCTTCTTAGAGGCTATACCCAAAAACGGCTATTGGTCTAGTAGTAAGTATGTCCTGTTATACCACCCACCCGTACACCACGTTTACCGGAGCCGTTCTACGTCAGATGCTTAATGGGCCTGCGCTAGCACCTACGGGGCTCTCGTATTGCTAAGGTGTGTGGTGTTGATGCGAAGAAGTTGGCGATACAAGGAATATGCTGTGCTAGTGAGATGTACAAGTTTTATAGTAGGGTGTAGTGATGTATGGTGTGTTCATGGGTATTCGAGGTGCATTCATGTTCGTGGTGCATTCATGTTCGTGGTGTATTCATGGGTCTTCATGGGTCTTCATGGTGTATTCATGTATGATGTGCTGTGCATTGACGTGGTGGTCAGTCTGACGGCTTGTCACAACAACACTTAGGAAAGCCTGTAGTTATCTTATGTTAACCTAATTGTAGTTTTCGTTCTTGTTTTTTGTTTTTTTTTGTGGTATCAATTTTTTCCTCTGTTTTTTTTTTTTTTTCATCTTTAACTACTTCTTTTTAAAGATCAATTCTTGCATTTCTTCATCAAAGTATAAAGAATGGTGTTGTATAAACGTAAGCAAGTTACGTTTCTGAAACCTCCTCCAGTACCGCAGGACTTGAACCAAGAAGTCTTTTACATCCCAGAAACAAAAGAATGGTTTATCAACTATGAAGATTATCTAAATCGACTCGACTATTATCGCAGACGTAAATTTGTCTGTGAAATAACCGGAAACTCTTGCTTGACATTTTATGAAGCATCCCAAAGTGAAATTAAAGAAATCAAGGGGGTTGAGAAAAATTTTCCTGAAGCTTTAAGAGAACATATCTTAAGATTCTTACAATTTAATAGAATTACTAGACTAGATCAATTGGTTGATAAAGTTTATTCTGTATTTAAGAATGACTACTTCCCTGGTGAAACTATCTTTATTAGGGGTCCAAATTTTACAAATTCATCACCTCCTTCTTCTTATGAACCTTCGTCTCCTCCTCCCATTGATTCTTCCGAAGATTTACCAACATCATCTACGTCTTTAAGACTGAAGGGGGTGATTCGTGAAAAAGTTCAATATAGTAATCCTTCCGATGGTTTAACCACGAGATATTTGGTGGCTCGTTTACAAGATGGTCAACAAGCAATTGTAACAAAAGATAATATCTCAAGAGATCGTAATCATTTCACCAAATGGTTAATTAAAACTTTCATTAAGTTGACCATGTCAAGATCTCATAAAGTTGGTGCTCCTTGGGTCGTAAAAGATAAATTTGCCAAAAAATATAGGATTCCTCAAGAATATCCTGATGACTTAAAACATTTCGAAAGTTCTACTCCTAATGGTGAAATTATTTATGATGATAATTCAAAACCTAAAAAGACAACTATCCCAACGTCAAAACTTATTGATACTAATGATTCAAAAGATAAATCAAAAAAATCAAATAAACAACCTCCAAATTCTAAAAATTTAAAAAAGAAAGCTGCATTAAATAATTTAATTGATAATGAAAACCAAAGATTTAAACCAATTGCTCCAAGTGTTAAATCTCAAAGTCCAAATCAATCTATCTCTCCCTTACCTCCAATTCAAACGAAAAGAGAAGACCCAAGGAAAAAATTCCCCTTACATCATTTACCAGAAGCAGTTCAAAATGAACTTCATCATGCAGAATTAATGGCAGAACATTCAAATCTTTCTTCCTTATCAGTTACAATTTCTTCATTTCAACCAACAAAGAAAAATATCGTCGATGATTTAGAATTAGAATTCGATTTACAAAATTCAAAACCTTTACCTTCTAAAATTAAACTTCCTGAAAATGCTAAAATTTGGAATAATCATTTAATTGAAGACTTCAAGGAAAAATTAAATTCATCACAGGAAAATCAAGATTCTGAAGAATCTAAAGATGAAATAAATTCAAAAATTGAGTTTATTAATTCAGAAATAATTCGTTTATCAAATCCTAATTTACCCGCTCTTCAAGAAGCTTTAGAATCTTGGACTTTTTTAAATATCTATCATTCAGTTTTGAAATTAGATACTTTTACCTTTGATGATTTTATATATGCCATGGGTTGGAATCATGACCAATTTGATGAAATTGGTCGTTGTGAATTATTAGATGAAATTTGGTGTTCTGTATTAGGTGCTATAGTTTCTAATAAATTACCAACAGGAAAAGATAAACTTGATGACGATGAAATCTTTGGTTTGTTGATTGATTTGCCCGCAGAAGATTCTTTTATAAATCCTCCAATTTCGGATAAAAGCGAAGATCCTACTCAAGATAATGATTCAAATAATAATGATCGTGGTTCAGAAAGTGAAAATGAAGATAAAACTTTGAAAAGTGACGATGATGTTGATTCGGGTAATGAATCAAATTCAGATAATGAATCAAAACCGAAATCGAAAAAGAAGAATGTTTCGAATAAAAATCAAAAAAATAATGAATCTGATAATGATGCAGATGAAAATGAAGAAGAAGACGATGAAGAGGAAGATCAAGATGTTGAAATGGTAAATTCTGATTCGGATGATGATAAGGATAGAGATGATGAACGTGAACATAATGCTTATATTGTCATGAATCACCGTGGTACTCCATGGCACGAAAGGTTACGTAGAAGAAATTTTAAAGATGGTAATTGGCAATGTATTGCTTTAGGAGTATTATCGTTGGTTGAATACGTTCCTCATTATAAACCAATAATTGATAAAATTTATAAAAATTTGGCACCAAAAGATGAATCTCCAACCCCAACAAATGTATTAAATAATTTTTATTCATCACTTGATATTGAGTATAAATTAAAATTTTTAAACATTTTAACTAGTTTGTTGGCTTCAGGAGATCATGTTCGAGATTACATTGATGATTGCTTAGATATGTCAACCAGTTTAAGAAGAAACAGATTAGATAATATCAGAGATTACAAGACTAATTTAGATTCAGCTCAAAAATATCATCAACAAATTCATGAAATGCTTTCAAAAGATATTCTTGCCAATGGCTTACCCAATATCTCTAATGATGAAAGTTATACTCCTTATGACCCAAAAAAGAAACCAAGACTTAATTTCAATGCTTTTGAAATGATTCATGAAGAAAAATCATTAGCAGACAGAGATTCATCTTTCAAAGAACTTTGGGAAAATAGAAAAAATTGTTTAATTCAAATTCAAGAATTAAAGAAATCAAAACGAGAAATAGAACTGAAATTAACTGAAATTGATTGTCAAAGAGTCAAGTTATTGGGTAAGGATCGTTTATTCAATAGATATTGGTGGTTTGAAAATAATGGTTTGCCTAATTTACATGCTAGTTCAAATGGTGAAGAAAATGAAGATGAAGACAGTGACAAACCAAAGAAAATTTTGGATGAAGACGATGACGATGATAGTGATGAAGTTTTAGAAGAAACTTATTTAATGGGAAGACTTTGGATTCAAGGTCCAAGTGAAAAAGATCTTCAAATAAACCTCAATACTTCGCATGAGGAAGCTTCCAGGTTTGATGAAGAAATCCAAAGACTAAGACAAGAACATGATCAAGAAGAAGTTGACATAGAAGAACAAACCACTATTGCAGAAAATTATAATGATGATGGCGAGTTAATCATTGATGAAAGTAAATTTGTTGATTTGAAAGATGGGAAACCTCCATTGAAAAAAATGAATTTCAGCAAGTTTTCTAATTCATACAAAGAGGCCGCCAAGAAGTTATATTATCTTGAATATAAAGACGATTCAATTGTTGATTCATCCAAATCTGATATTAAAGAAGAACCCAGGATCAAATTTGAAGGTCAATTTATTCAGGATAATTCACCTAATACCATCATTGGGAATTTAGGATTATTAAACCATACATTACCGGTAACGGCATTGCCTATAATGCAAAGAAAACTAATTGAAGAGCAAGATGATCCAACATTTAATGGTAAATACTGGAGATATTATGACAGACCCGAGCAATTGAATAAACTCGTTCAATGGTTAAATCCATGGGGTAAAAGGGAGTCACAATTACGTAAAGAGCTTGCCGCCGTTAAAGATGCTATAGTATTTAGTATGGAAGCTAGGAGGAAAGCGCTTTGGATTGATAGAACCCCTGAAGCTGAAGTAAAACTCGAAGAACAATTGAGTCAACTTAGTACTCGACTTGAACATTTGGAAAACCAAGGAGAAGAAGAAGAAGAAGTAGAGGAATATAGTGAAGATGATAATGTGACTAGAAAACGCAATTTAAGAAGCAAACCGGGACAGCGTAAACGTCAAAAGACCATAAGTATTGAGGAGACGCTAACCGGTGGGAGCATAGAAGAATTGAAAGAGCTACAAGGAAAATTACAAGAGGAATTAAAGGAAAAGAAAGAAGAACGAGAATTATCACGAGTTCTTGAATGGGTTAACTCTAGTGCCATTGATCAATTTGACAAGTCATTATACGAAGGAGGAGATCGTAAATTGAAGGGGAAACCAAAGAAGAATAAAAAATAAGAACATTTGTATTATATAGATTAAGTAATAATCAATATCGACTTTTTTTATTAGAAGAATGTGAAGGGTTAAAACTTCTCTTTGATCTAGTCTTTTCAGCCAAGTTTTTCAATAGCTGTTCTTTTTCAGCTTGATTTTGCAAAGCTTGTTCTTTTAGTAATTCATTTCTTAATTTAATTTCATCTCTTGCTTGTTTATCAGCATTTTCCAAAGCAGAAGATAATTCACCGAATTTTTCCAAGTTGAAATCAGGAGAAGCTTCCGAAGGGTCCATACCACCATTAGCTGCCATTACACGTTTATTCAAGTCTATGGTATAGCCCAAGTTATTTTTCCAATTTGAAATTGCTGAAGGAATATTCCATTTTGCCCGATCTTCCTTTGTTAATTTAGGTAAATTAGAGTCATTTTTCAATATTGGAGGAGGAGGAGAAGGGTCTTTATGTCTATTTTTTCTCAATTTAAATTTAGGAGGTAGCATTGGATCTTCTTTATAATTTTTAATTTGGATTACTCTTGAGTCCGAAGAAGACGATGGGTTATAATTTACAAAAGATGTCTTGTCGTTATCAGCATTAGGGTCATTACCGTTAAGTTTTTGGATTAGGTTATCGATGGTGGCTTTAGTGTCTTGCACTGTGGACTCATCGTAGGTACGAGGGAAGTGGTGCTTCAAGTTTGGATATTTCACTTTTAGGGGGATTGTATCTTGATAAGATGACTGTATGGCCGTCTCGCGTTTGGATACCGTATTGATTTGGTTGGGTACGAGGACTTGTTTGGACGACGAAGTTTTCAAGGTGATTCGTAGGCTGTCATCGTACGTAGTATGCTTTGGTTTCGGAAGTAACGAGCTAAACATGGTTACAGTGATCGTCACAGATGAGCTTTATGTATTAAAAGCAAAATATCATAGAGAAGAGAAGTAGAAAAAAAATATGTATAAATATATGTACGGGTGTGGCTCCGGTTGATATGTACGGGTGTGATAAATTTAGAAGATACCAAATTTTTGACAAGTGGAAAAGACCCAACCAAAGAAAGGATTGGGTTTGGTGACTCTGATTTCGTTTTCATCGACGATGGAGTCGAACTGGAGTTCTTCCTTAGTGAGCATTTTTGATTGGGCTAGTCTTTGGAACAGGACAAAGAGGAAATGGGCAAATCTCTGTTCCCAAGTTAAATGGAGGGTTTGTTTTTCAACCCACGATTCATGGGAAGTAGTCAATCTAGTCAATTCGGTAGCCAACTCATCGTCACTGGAATTGCTCAAGGAGGTTTGGCCGTTCATGTGGTCAACCATTAGATCGGGATGATCGGTAACCACCCCGAATTCCCTCAAATTGGAGATCCGACCCAAGGCCAACAAGTAGTCAAATTGTTGGAAATTATTGATAGTCCAAGAATAAAGCGACAAGTCTTGATGTTTCAACAAAGGCACGAAAACCGTCAAGAATTGAATTGACCAGGTCAGGAGATAAAGTAGCGAGACCCCACTGACTTTAAACAAAACCAAATTAGAATCGGGATCCTTATTTTGTTCATCTAAATAAGCATTATAACGTAAGTAATGTAAAGAATCTCTCCAGCTAAAACTGATATGGATGATTTCAAACTGCTTGAACCCAAGAGGGTTCTTAATATTACTGAAGAGTTTTTGAAAATCGTCATCTTGGTTCAAATATTTGATAAAACTCAAATCCCAAATCCCAAATTGGATACGATGCAACCACCAACCCAAATCGTTATGTACATGTAATAAATCTTTGATTAGATATTTGATTAATTTCGTTGGATTAAACCTCTTGATATCCAACATTAATTTATGACTATTGGAATCATGCTGTTTAACATAGTCATAAAACCACGACAACACATCTCTAAAAGTCAATAGTTTCTCCCCCAGCTCAATGGTTTGCAAATTCTTCAAAGTATCATAATAGTTCGTTTCTAATATATTGTAATCGGTTGGGTTACCCTCAGCATCGCAAAAAATCCGTTTAGTGGAAACATCATGAGATATTATCACAACTTGATCTTTGGTCAACCAAACATCAGTTTCAATTGAAGTTGCCCCCAGCCCAAAACACTTTTCAAACCCATGGAGAGTGTTTTCAGTGTACTTGGCCTTGAACCCTCGGTGGCCCACAATCACCGCTTCCGACTCGTAATCACTCACTAATGACATGCTGCAAATTTAAATTTATGCGTTCTAAAAAAAAACAAATTATTCGTTTATGTTCTAAAAGATCACTTTGATCAAATCTATTTCTAATATATTAAACAAATTCAAACGGTAGTGGTATCATTTGAAGGAACTTTTATTTGAAAAAAAAAAATCGCAACCAAACACGTTGTCTGCAACCATGTGGTTGATGTTCTATATATATATGTCATTTCACCTTCTTTTCTTTTTCTGCTAGTCTGGCTATCCGGCCACTAATCGAGTAATGGCCATCCTACGGGGGTACGGTTGCAAGGCCCTTTGGGTAAGTCTAGTTCGACCAGTCCTTGCTACCAGGAATTGACAGCTGCTCATCGAAGCTTTTCCTGGTTTGGGGGAGGGGTTTTTTTTGTTTTGTTAGCGGATTTTCCCTGTTTTATTTGTTTTTTTTTTTTCAGGAAATTTCGGTAGTTTCCCGTTGGTACGGGCGTGCCCAGGCCCCTGCTAGCGGGACGGTGACGTAGGCTGCCGGTGCCGCACCTACGGTATTAGCAGTACTATGGCTAACCTATGAAACACCATGAAACTGTGAAGCTGGAGCTGTTGAAGTGACTGTTAAAGTGAAGCTGAAGCTGTGGACGTGAAGCTGAATATGGGGGAGGTGGAGGATTGGCTGAATCCATGAAGATGAGGGGAGATGGCTGCAATTATTGCGAAACCGCGGTACGGGTTTGTAAGTGCATGTAATTGTAATCTAAATATATATGTAGGGTATGTAGGGTATGTAGGGTATATAAGGTATGTAGGGTATGTAGGGTATATAAGGTATATAAGGTATGTAGGGTAGGGTTAGAACTTGCTGGCCTTGGGCTGGTCGACTACTGCCTTGATCAATTGGTATGCAATGCTCTCCGGAGTAGGCAAGGTGATGCCGTCGGGGTTTGCGTCGGTGCCCGGATCATCGTAGATCAACTTTTTAACAAAGTCGGTGTCAAACCACTGGGCATCTGCCAATTCTCGATCGTGGCCCAAGTAGATCTGTTCGTTGATGCCATTGAAGTCCACCGTGGCAATGCATCCGATCATTAGGTTTGCCGGGAACGGCCATGGTTGGGTCATGAATATCTTGATGTCCAGACAAACCACCCCAGTTTCTTCCCAGATTTCTCTTTTGGTGGCCACTTCTACCGTCTCGCTGGGTTCGAGAAATCCGGCGGTGCATGCATAGATATTGGTCGGGGCATACCTCTTCAGTTTGGATAACAAGATCTTGGACTTGTCCTGGTTGGTGATTGCAGTAATCACAACCGCATCGGTACGCGGGAAGGAGACATTGGAGACTCGCTTGTTCTTAACGGGACAATCGTATTTGGTCTTGGTTTCTCCTTCTTCTTTATAGGTTTCATGTTTGTCGTTGGTACAATGTAATTTTCCTCCGGCGTGAATAGGTATAACTTTACTTCCACACCCTGGACAAAATCGATTTCTTCCTAACCAGTCTAAAAACATCTTACCGTGCGAGTATAACGTAGCTTCAACATCATTGAATCCAAAATAGTGTTTTCTTGATAAACTGAAAAATAAATCGCTCTTATCAACTGACTGACTATTTTCTTCCACGAAAAATGTCTTGATCATTTCAACCAATTTGGGTGATTGAGTCAAATCAACGGCAAAATATGGTATTCCTTGATATCTTCCCTGATGATCTAAATAATGTTCATTGATTTCGTGATCCTCATCTTCTTTTTCAATATCTGCTGCTTTAACTTTGGATAAATTCAATCCAACACTTTCATCTTTCAATCCTAAAAATAATAAGGTTGGTTTCTCATCATCTCTCAATCCACTGCTTTGTTCCTTATTATCATTCTTCCAAGTTTCAATAACTTGATTCCATTCTTCATGATTTTTCAATCCCACTTTAAATCCATCTCCTTCCCCCGATTCTAATTGTTCATTCCCGTTCGTTAATACCACTAACTTATTTTCCCCAACTTTATGAACTAATGGATTGGTATCATGGAAAAATACAAACCTCGTCAGTGGATGACTCACCGCATTGCTAATAAAATCACTATCTTCTCTTAAAAATGATACTCTATTAATTACTTCAGTTCCAAAATACATGCGATTTTGTTGTTGGCTGAAATCACCAAATCTATCGTGTGACATCTTATAATATATTTTCTTCTTTTCTTCACCAATGGTCGATTTAAACCTAGCAAGCTGTTTACTAATTGGACCTTTAATGAATCTGGTTATATTCATCAGACTCTAAAAGCACAGCACTAACAAATATTTGCCTTTTCTCGTTCAACAACTGAAAGAGCAAAAGAAAAAAAAAAAAAAAAAAAAAAAAAAAAAAAAAAAAAAAAAAAAAAAAAAAAAAAAAAAAAAAAAAAAAAAGACTACATTCTTGCACTACTAAAAATTCTATATTACAATATACTACATCTATGTACAAGTTGATGCCTAAAAAACAGTTAGTATCTTGTGAAAACAAGCATTGGTACCTTCTTCAAGAATGATCAGATATAATTTTAAATTGAGACACTTTCCTCAGTTGTTTATCGGAAGTCAAGCGTTCTAAATATCCAAATCGTTCATCATAAAATTCTTGTATAAGGTAAAGTTTCGTTAATACATACTTTTTGATTCGTAGTCAAATGATTCGTTTAGTCGTCATCTGTTGATTGTTAGTATTGTTTATAGCATTGAAGGGTCATATAATTCAATCAGCTATCTAAAGAACTTTCCTCAAAGATATTAGGAAGTCTAACGTCTAAATAATTCTTTGTTTGATCATCATTAATGAATTATATGGATATTTTTAAAACATACCTCTATTTATGCAATAACCATATTATTCTTAATGGCTCTTGGTAATCCCTTGATCCATGTTTTCTTACCATCGATTATAATGAAAACTCTCCCACTTTGTCTCATTCTACCTGTTCTTCCAATTCTATGAACCAAATCTAATGAACTGTTTGGAATCTCCATTAAAATAATATTCTTGACTCCATTGAAATTGATTCCTCTAGCCATTAAATCAGTAGTTACCAAGACTTTGATTTTACTCCCGTCAAGATCTTCTTCAATTAATTGAGCCGGCTCAATAAATGGTTTGATCTGCGCTAATCTATCTTCTGGTGAATTTTCTCCAGTGACTCCAATAATATCTTCGGGTCTATGACCATATTTATCAGTAAGTGTTTCAACTAACGCATGAACACTTTTCTTTTGATTAACAAAGATCACTATACGTTTAACGTATCCCGCTTCTGATCCATCATTATGAATGGCATATAACGCCTGGGCAAGACACCTGGTTTTGGATCCATTAAATGGAGCTAAGTTAGAATCCAATACTTTAACAACAATTTGTTTAGGGATCTTATGTAAACTTGGAGTAATAATTGGTACAAAAAATGCTAATTGACCAAATAAGCCTTTAATGGTCTTATCAAAATCTTGCGGTATAGTTGCTGAGCAAAAAATTAAATCACGACAAACTTTGAATCTACCCAATACATCAAGGGTATCTTGACTCCAAGATTGATCCATTAAAGTATCTGCTTCATCAACAACACAGTAATTGACCAGCTTAAATGCTCGACTTAAGGATACATCAGCATTTGGATTCTTTAAGGTATTGATCTTGGCAGGAGTTGTAACCAATACATCAATACGACCTCGTTTATCTAAACGAGATTTTAATTTGTTTTGAGGATCACCAGAACCCCATTTAAATATATTAAGATTTAAATGATCTTTATTTTCATGTAATTCAAAAAATTCTGAATTGTTTCGGGTAAACGTTGCTGAGATTTCACTCGACACATCATACTTCATTTTATTAGCACTGTCGAGAGTTTCATAAACTTGTTCCACTAATTCATGAGTTGGTAGTAATATAACCGATCTAATTATTGGACTATTCTTCGTCTTGGAGTAAACTCGAGGTGACTCGTTGAACAAACTCAAATCGTCCTCCTTTAACTTACTCAACACACTAGCTAAATAAGCCCATGTTTTACCGGAACCAGTTTCAGCAGCAATGGTGAAAATTTTTAATTTTTTATTATTATTCTCCTTCATTAACTCACTAAAAATATCACCTCCACTAGTGCTAGGCTTAGGCTTGTTATGCTTCATGGGTACTTGATCCCTTGGCCTACTGATTTTTTTAATACTAGCAATTTGCACGGGAGATGGTTTAATCTCAAGCTCGTCCTTATTCTTAATATAAGTATTCTTGAAATTGTAAGATTTCTTGATCTCCTTGATCATCGATACCCGAACAGTTGGGAAAATCTTAAGCTCATCAAAGGACTCAACACTCTTGATTTGCTCTTTCGAACTATTGACCATTTCTTCAGATGGCTTTTTCAAATTGGAAAAAGCCCCCAACCCAAACGTCTTTGATTCTCGTTCTTTGGCATCCGTTCTTCTCCGACTCTTCATGCCACCGGCCTTAGAGCTCTTATACCTGACATGACCAACAAATGGCCTTGTATACCAGCAAGCACCTTTACCCAATCCTATACCAATGCGTACTAGGGTATTCATTAGATTGGTGATCTATTGATAGATGAAAAGAGAAAAAAGAAAAGAAAAGAAAAAGTTAAACTAGCTGGTAGAAAAGCTGAGAGGAATGTCCAGCCTATTTATACTTCTCAAACACTCGGTTCCCAATAAACAAAGACAAAATAAGAGGATTCTGAAAATTTTCCATACTTTATTAGTTTGTGTAGTAATAAATTTTCAGTGAGAGAGATGCCTCTGCTTTTGAGTTGGATAGTGGGTCGTGTGGGTGTGGACAAAAAAAAAACTGAAAAATTTCGAATGAAGCGAGGCCTTTTGGTGGAAACAACCAATTGAAATCAAACGACATACCAGGACATAGGATTGTTGAAGCTATTATTTGGGTTGAAGGACAGTCAGAATGTTGAGAAGAGTAGCCGTTCAATCACAATCCCCTATGGCGGCCAGTGCCAGGGTTGTGTCAATCAATAGATCAATTTCGAACAGTACGAGATTATATTTCAAGAACCAGAAGAAGGGATCTAATGCTAAACCAGCAGAACCAAAGAAAAAGGCCGGAGGGATGACTCATTTGCCTTTCAGGGATGCGGTTCGCTCATTAAATTTCCAAAAATTGGCTGTTGATCTTGGAAATACTGAAGTAGCCAAGTTATCATTAGCCAGTCCAGTATCACAAGTTTTCAAGTATGAAACGCAAGCTGAAAATGCTCTTAATAGCCTTAAGGCATTTAAAAGATATCAACACCATGAAATATTTAGTAATCCAGTTTCTTTAGTCAGTGAAAATACCGTTAACATTCGTGAAAAGTTTATAACAAATTTGGATAAACCTTCAAAAGATAATAGACTTTGTTTATTGGGAGAAAGATTTTCAGGAAAATCAACATTAGTTGCTCAAGCCAATGCATTAGCGTTATCCAAATATAAAAACGATGCTGTTCTTCTATACATTCCTGACCCTGAAAACATTGTCAATGGTACCAGTGATTATATTTTTAATAAAAAATTAGATAAGTACCAACAAACAATGTTTACTAAAAGATGGATTATAAAACTACGTGAAGCCAATGCCGAAGTGTTTAAGAAGATGCCTTTATCAAGAGATGCTAAGTTTGTTACTAAAAAGACGGAATATAATTTAAAAAAGGATGTTGATACCGTTTATGATTATATATCAAAAGATTTTAATTTCGGTAAACCAGCTTCGTTAAACTCTTTCCAATTCTTCATTGAAGAATTAATACATCATTCATCAAACTTCCCTGTTTTGGTTTCAATTGATAATATTAATGCATTAACTAGTAGAAGTTTAACAAGATATTTCCATCCTAATTTCAATCCAATTCATTTGAACGAATTTGAAATGGGTCATTTTATCACTCAAGTTATCAGTGGGGAAATCAATTTTGCTAAAGGTGGTGTTTTATTAGCTGAAACTTCTGGTTCCGCTGAAACTAAAACTTTACCAGTTGGTTTGGGTTTAATTGAACACGATCCTTATTGGAAATCTAAAGTTTGTGATATCAGAATTGCTAATGCTTTCTTAGCTAATGGTGGAGTTAAAAATTATCAAGTTGCTGAATTCACTCAAGATGAAACTAGAAATTTATTGGAATTTTATGATAAAGCAGGTGCTTTACAAATTAGACCATATCCAACTAATGATAAACTTAAGAGTGCACAGGAAATCATTCAAGAAAGAACAGATATGAGAAACCATATTGCACCAAAAATTGATCGTGATGCTGAATTTGATAGAATTGTTCGTAATGCCTTCACTGTGTCTAGTGGTAGACCAGGATATATTGTTCAAGATGTCAAATTATCCTATTAGACCTCTTTCAGCGTTTTTTTTTATATTATGTTTATATACTACTTGAATCATTGTAAATAGAATACTCTTTTAAAATATTATACTTTTTATTCATTATCTATTGAATTTGTAAACTAAAAATACATAATCAGTTAATCTGAAAGACCTGAAAGAAATGGGAAATGAAAAAAGGTAGAGAGAAATAAAGTTTTGCTTTATGCTAATATTGAAATCATTTTAAAATTTTGATTCTAAGTAAATAAAGTATCTTCTTCTCTTAAATATTCACCAATATCACCTTGTCTAAATGCTACAATACCAGTTGGTTGTAAATTTTTGGCTTCATTGGTTGATTTAGCACTAACACCAAAACCTAATGGCACATCATGCATTGAATAAACGATCAACCCAGCATGTTCTGGTATATCATCAGACATTCTACCAACATGAGCTTTCAAAACATGATTCCCGTATAAAAATGGCATTTCACCATTAGTTTTAATCCATACTTTAAATTTGGCATATTGCGATAAATATGGCAATGCAGTAATATGTAATCTGAACTTCCCGGTCTTAGTAAACTTACCAAAACAAGTACCAACCGACATCAAGTTTTGTCTGGCAACAGAAGTAGCATATCTTGCTATCTGTTCAGAAACGTAATAAACTCGATCTTTTTGTAGTCTGAAAACATGAGGATTGGTAGGATTGTCAATAAGAAAACTGATATTTCTACCAACGTAGTTGGCCAACTTTTCAAAAACAACTTTAGTTTCTTCCTCAGTCAAAGATCTCATGGTGTATACTGTGTTTGATAGACTTCAATACCCTTTGGAGATTTTTTTTTCATAAATTTTCAGTCGAAATCATCTCTCATAAAAAGTATGCGCAGAGTGCGATGAGGACTGAAAATTGTTAAGGTGAAAAAAAAAGGTGAAAAATCAGTATAAGGACTTGAACAACAGAAAAAAAAAATTGCAAACTTTGGCAAACCAATTAGTTAAGAAAGAATGGGGTCACAGGAATTAGACAAGGCATCTAATGTTACTAACGATAAGGTTGAGGAAGCTACTTCAGCCAAGGCTTCTCGAGTTGCTGAGGACGATTTGCAAGACCAGCCCGAATCTAAAAGGTCCAAAAGGCAAAGAGATGATAAACCTACGTAGGTACGTTTCAAATTCAAGTCAATGATTCGTTATTGAATGGTTGATGATGTTCTGTGAGTGGTACTAACGATTATTTCATAGTGAATGGGGTCCAAGATTAGATGAGAATGGTAATCCAGTTCCCAAATCAGAAAGAAGACCAAAGAAAAAGGTTGCTTGTATGATTGGGTATTGCGGTACTGGATATAATGGGATGCAAATTCAAAATAATCCAGATGTTAAAACTATTGAAAATGATATTTTTCAAGCATTTATCAAGGCAGGTGCTGTTTCTCCAGAAAATTCTCTTGATTTGAAAAAAAATGGGTTCATGAGAGCTGCCAGAACTGATAAAGGTGTTCATGCTGCTGGTAATGTTATTTCGTGTAAGTTAATTATTGAAGATGAAGATATTTTGGAAAAAATCAATGCCAACTTACCAAGTCAAATTAGAGTTTGGGGTATTGAAAGAACAAACAAATCATTTGACTGTCGTAAAATGTGTTCTTCAAGAGTATATGAATATTTATTACCAACTTATTCATTATTACCAGCTAAGCCAAATAGTATTTTAGCCAAGTTTATTGCTGAAAATAAAAAGGCACATCCAGGAGTTAGCCGTGATGATGAAGAAGGTGATAAATGGTGGGAAGAAACTTTACAAACCATAATGAAGGAAGGAAATATTAGTCAAGAGGATATTTTCCTGATTCAAACAAAAGTCAATGATACTTCCAACCCGGCCAATTCAAATAATAACGAAGATGCAGAAGTTGAAAATGTTCAAATCAATCCAATAGTTAATGAAAATGGAGAATTAACAGAATTGGGTAAACAGATGAGGCTTATAAAAGATACTGAGAATAATTGTAGAAGATCATATCGTATTTCAAAAGAACGTCTTGATTTATTTAGACAAGCCATGAAACAATATGAAGGAACTAATAATTTCCATAATTTTACTTTAGGTAAACATTACAAAGATGACTCAGCTAAAAGATTTATGAAGGATACCAGTGTTTCTGAACCTTTTATTATTGAAGGTACTGAATGGGTTTCCATCAAAATTCATGGACAATCATTTATGTTACATCAAATTAGAAAAATGATTTCAATGGCATGTCTTATTGTTAGAACTGGATGTCCAATTCAACGTATTGTTGATTGCTTTGGTCCAAATAAAATTAATATTCCAAAAGCTCCTGCTTTAGGTTTATTATTAGAAAACCCAGTTTATGAAGGATATAATGGAATATTAGAAAAACATGGATATAAACCAATTGAATTTACTAAATACGAAACCGAAATGAATGAATTTAAAATGAAATTCATTTATGATAAAATCTATGGTGAAGAAACAAAAGAGAATACATTCCATGGATTTTTCAATTTTATTGATACCTTCAAAGGCAATGAAACTCAAAGTAATAAAGATAAACATATTTTTGATTTCTTAGGTGCTGTTTTTGAAAACGGCTTAGAGAAAAAAAATTAATTATTTACTTATACATAATAATCGAATAAAGTAGTATTAAAGTAATATACGATATAGAAAGCTTAGAAAAAGAAAATTGGAAAGTATAGTAGAAAAAGACAAGAACAGGTTTTAATCTAAACCAACGAGATTTAAAGCCATGACCAATTCTAGACGAGTCACTTTTGGACAAAAGTACTTCTGAAGGTTCTAACTTGTTCAATCCCTTGAATTGAGTTCAATCTCGGCAATTAGCTAATGGGAAAGCTATAAATGAAATGACGTGAGGTGAAATGCTGATATGAATATAGAAACTTAAAGCCAGGCTGGGTTAGCAGCAGTTTCATTTCCAGAAGGTTGCTTGGTACGACGAAAGCCTGGAGCATGGGGGACATTTTGGGCATTTGCACCGACTCTTTTGTATACTGCATCATTATAAACACCAGCTTCATCTTTATTTAATTGTTGGGGTATGTTAGCTTGTTGATGATTTGTGATTTGTTGATTTTGTTGAGGTGGTGTTTGGTTTTGGTTTAAACCGTAGTATATACCTTTATCTTCGTGTTGTCCGGGTGAATGTTGGCGTTGTTGTTGTGGTTGTTGTTGTTGCTGAGGTTGTGGTTGTTGTGGTTGTGGTTGTTGTTGTTGAGGCATCTGTTGTGGTTGTTGTTGTTGTTGCGGTTGTTGTTGTTGTGGTGGTTGTTGTTGGTCATGTGGTTGATCTTGTTGGTCTTGATTATTATTATCGGAAATTTTCAATTGTTGATCTCTTTGTCTTTCTTGTTGAAATTTATATAAGGTCCAGTCAAAAACATAATCATATCTATATTTTTCATTTCTGAATAAATCTCTGAAAAGTTTTCTTAAATAAGGATAATCGGGTTTATCATCAAATCTTAAATTTTTAACATAATTCATATAAGTTAAAAATTCTTTAGGTAAACCTTTAGTTAACATATCATTTGGGGTAGTCATTTTTTTCTCCATAATTCTATCATATTTTTGTCTTTTGGTAGCAGCCTTCAAACCTTGCCAAGGTAAAGAACCTCTACAGAAATAAATTAAAACATAACCCAAACTTTCCAAATCATCTCTTCTAGCTTGTTCAATACCTAAATGAGTATTAACCGATGCGTATCTAGCGGTACCGGTTAAATTTTTATTTTCTCTGTAAGGAATATGGAAATGAGTTCTTGGATCTCTATATTTTTTAGCTAAACCAAAATCAATTACATTAACTTGAGAACCTCTTCTACCAATACCCATTAAAAAATTATCTGGTTTAATGTCTCTATGAAGAAAACATCTAGCATGAATGTATTCGATTCGACAAATTAATTGATCGGCCAAAAGTAAAACTGTTTTATAGGTAAATTTTCGATTACAATAATTGAATAAATCTTCTAATGAAGGACCTAATAAATCAATAACCATAGCATTATAGTCGCATTCAGTACCATACCATCTAACAAAAGGTATACCCACACCCCCACTTAATGCTTTATATACTTTTGCTTCGTATTCTAATTGAGGATGTTTTGCTTTAGTATTTTCTAATTTAATAGCCACTTCTTCACCAGAAATGATATTGGTACCCAAGTAGATATCCCCAAAGGATCCTGACCCGATTTTACGGCCAATACGGTATTTCTTACCAACTCTTAAATCCATGGTTGATGGAAGTTATAAGAATAAAAAAATAAAAAAAAAGACTTGAAAAAGAATAAAAAAAAATGGACACACACACAGAACAAAGGGTGAATCAGACGAGGATTGATTTGCAAAAGAAGTCAACGAAAGATCCTGGTGATATAGATGGGAATTCAAGCTTGATGGATTAGATGAGTGTGTTAAAATGGAAAGCCCTGGAAGTTGTTGAAGGTATTTTTGACTTTAGTGTTGAGTTGAGGTGGAAAGAGAGAGAAAAAAAAAAAAAAAAAATTGAGAGAAGAAACAGAAAAAAGAAATCACACCCTACTTAACAAAGCAGAAATAAAAAAAAAATGTAATGAGAGATTGGAAAAAGGGAAAGTACACACACTTTTTCCCAGCTCAAATCAAACACCAATCCAAATCAGATTACAAGTTCACCTGGTGATAGAGCCGGGGGAATTATGGGTGAGTGATGGGAGAGATGTGAATTGAAGAGTGGTTTGTTCGGTTAGTTGATTAGGTCACCAGTTGCGGAAATCTAACTTGCTAGGTTTGCTGGCTCAGACAACCGAACGAAAAAAGGCAAAATAACAAGGCAAGCAAAAACAATCAGGCAAACGAAATTTAAACCACCCTTTGAATGGTGGAGGACACTGTAGTAAGATATTACAGTAGGAACTGGGTTGATTGTAGTACTTGTGGGAATCGGATGGATGAATGGGAGTGGGAGCGGAGTCCAGAGGATGTTTCCGTACACCACACACAATCGAGCGGCGGCTAAAAATGGTTTAAATTGTATCGATTGATCAATTATGATCCACTGTATCAATTGTATCAACTGTATCAATTGTATCAACTGTATCAATTGTATCAACTGTATCAATTGTATCGATTGATCAATTGTGATGATCAACTGTATCAACTATTTCAATTGTGATTCAACTGTAATATCAACTATGATTTATAAACTGTATCGATTGTATGATTTATCAACTGTATGATGTATGTATGATTTATTGAGTGTGAAATTTTGTAGTATACTTTTATGAAGTGTGGTATCCTATGAAGTGTACTTTATGAAGTGTATTATCAAGTGTACTTTATGAAGTGTATTATCAAGTGTACTTTATGAAGTGTATTATCAAGTGTACTTTATGAAGTGTATTATCAAGTATATTACTTTATGAAGTTCAGTACCTTATGAAGTGTACTTTTATCAAGTGTGTGTATTATCAAGTGTATTATCAAGTGTATTATCAAGTGTATTATCAAGTGTATTATCAAGTGTATTATCAAGTGTATTATCAAGTTTGCATGGGAAGTCCACAGAAGGCAGTTTTGGTGTACCGAGTTTTTTGCAATTTGGAACCCAATCTGAAACATTGCAGGTTGCGGCGGGCCCGTTTTACAGGTTGGAGAAGGGGGCACGGAGGTGGTTTTCTTGAGTGACCTTACGGCTGTAACAAAACACAAAGGTAAAAATAACACGGCTAAACGAAACAACTTTGAGTAAACAAAGTTAACGAAGCCAGCTTCGTCAATTACAAGTTAGCATAAACAAAATTGAATTAATATTAAAAATTAAAAAAAAAGTAGAAAGATTATTATAAAAATAACAGAGGTATTTAAAATAGAATATAATAAACTAGTGACAAAACAATTAAGACGAATTAAAGGGAAAGAATTAAGTTAAACAAATTAAAAAAAAAAAAAATCAATACGGTAAAGGCGATTATTTAGCGGCGGCTGGAGTAGAAGAGTTTGATTTTTTAAATTTGTTTAATAATTTTTTGAATAAATCGTTCTTCTTTGGAGCTTTATCGGTTTTATCAGAAGTGTCTTTAACCTCGTCTTTAGCTTCTTTGGCAGGTTCTTCGGCCTTAGCTTCTTCTTTGGCAGGTTCTTCAGTAGCAGCTTCGGTGTCCTTGGCTGGTTCTTCAGTAGCAGCTTCGGTTTCCTTGGCTGGTTCTTCAGTAGCAGCTGGTTCTTCAGCTTTAGCTTCTTCTTTAGCTGGTTCTTCAGCTTTAGCTTCTTCTTTAGCTGGTTCTTCGGTAGTAGCAGCAGCTTCTTCGGTGGCAGCTGGTTCTTCGGTTTTAGAATCTAATTTGTCTTCAGCATTTTTTCTAGCAGTTTCGATATCGGTTTCAGCAGCTTCTTCAGTGTCTTTAGCGGCCTCAGCAGTTTCTTCCTTTTTAGATTCAACTTCTTTTGGTGCTTCAGTAGCTAAGTTTTCTTTTGAATCAGAAGAAAAAATTCTAGAAGTTCTCTTTAATTTATCTTTAATACCCATTTTTATTTAACGTTGTTTTTTTAATATTACAAGAAAGAAATAAGAGAAAGCCGAAGGCAATTAAACCGGGAAATCAATTGATATTTATAGTAGAAAAATCGGTTAAACAACAAGTAAAAAAAAATAAAATGAAGAGACAAAACAAAAATCCACAGCACAAAACAGGGTACAATAAACAATACTGAGAAGGAAAGGCTAAAACAACAACATGATTTTTTTTTTTTTTTTATGTTTTTCTATGTTTTTTTATGTTTTTTTTTTTTTATTTTTATTTTAATTTGGTGTCTTTTTCCATTATATAACAATTGATCAAACACAAAAGAATACTCGATTGAATGCCAATAATTTCTCTTGTTATTAACAGCTTGACAACTAACAAAAGGCCCAAAGATTGGTTTGACACATAATTGTTTTTTTATTTTATTATTTTGGTATTAGACGATTCTCATTCGTGTTTTGTATTGCAGACTGGTTGTGGGTTCGCAGGCAATTGCGGGTTTATTTCTGTTTCATTGGCAGTGTTATCAGTTGTAAAGTGATTCACTTTAGGTAAAATTCCTCAAGGGCACACTATATCACATTACATTATAAAATGAATGACTGGTATCCCTTATTCTGTTATCGGGGTTCCTTTATCTTCATCCCTTGTCTTTGCGCTGTGCTGTGCTGCTGCTGCTGTTGTTATCCGGTTGTTGTTGTCCTGTTGTGCCGTTGTGCCGTTGTCCTTTTTTGTAGGTTATAAAAAATAACACCGGAGGTACGGGTGCACTCCTCCCTCCGGTAGGCGATCGTACGTTTTCTCAGCCGCACATTCCGAAGCAGTTTACACTAAATCTGATTGGCGTCGCGTGCACGTGACTCCCGCCCTACACTACACTACAATACTCGATTACCATTCTTGAATAGTCAATGATTAATAGTCGATGATTAATAGTCAACGATTAATAGTCAATGATTAATAGCCAATGATTAATAGTCAATGATTAATAGTCAATGATTAATAGTCAATGATTAATAGTCAATGAATAGTTAAATAGTCAAATATCAATGATCAACGATGAATAATGAATAATAACCAATATAAACCAGTATCTATGAACGGCTGAGGTCATAGATTCGTTGTGATGCCACAACTGAAATTCCTGATCCTCGGATATCCGCTGGATCGGGATCAATCTATCATTTACTGCTAAGATTCGGATATATACCTCCCCCAGGAGTTAAGTGTTGTTTCGGTGTATGGGTGTTATTCTCGGATTTTTTTTTTTTTTTTTTTTTTATGTACGGGTCCAGCTTATATTTGATTGACTGAAAATTTTTCAACCTTATACTACTTCCCCATAAGCAAAATGTCCGATAGTTTAGTGGCGGGATTGAGTTCCTCAAGTGTGTCGTCTCCATTGACATTGACCAATTCGTACTTGCCAACCAAGTATGAGTTAACGCTTGATATTGATTACCAAAAACCCAATTTTAAAGGATCTTTGGATATTGATTTAGAAAAATCAAATGATTCAGACAAATTCGAGTTGACCTTGCATTCAAACAAACTTGTTATTACCCGGGCTTCGGTAGATGGGATTTCCTTGAAGATTTCGTATAATAGAAGTCAGCAACAAGTTACCTTTAGTAGTGAAGAACCCATTGAAATGACGTTCAATAAAAAAATTCAATTAGAATATATGGGTCAAATTAACACTATTAAAACTTATCAGGATAAAACTTACGGTTTTTTCAAAACTAACTATAGTGATTCGATTACTGGGAACGCAAATAACTTTATTCTTGCCACTCATTGTCAACCAACTGGTTGTAGATTAATTTTCCCCTGTATTGATGAATTATATTGCAAATGTCCAATCAAATTGAATATCGTTACATTATCTAAATTCAAGGTCATTTCAAATGAAATATTAGATAAAGAAGAAATCATCTCTTTGAGTGATAAATCAAAATTCATCTTTAAAGAAACTCCAAAGATATCAACTTCAATTTTCGGTTTTGTTATTGGAGATTTAGACTTTATTGAATCCAATAATATTAAAGTTTTCACTACCAAAGGAGATTCCCATCTAGGTCAGTACACTTTGGACACTATTGCTAAATTATTACCAATAATGAATCAAGTATTTGGAATTGAATATCCCTTGTCAAAACTTGACTTTATCGGTTTACCGTTTTTAAGCGATATGGCAATGGAAAATTGGGGGATGGTGAATATTATATCCCAACAGTTATTGGTGGATCCGAACACTGCCAATCAAGATGTCAAACGTCAATTAAGACAATTGATTGCTCATGAAATGATTCATCAATGGATTGGGAATTGGATCACTTTCGATGATTGGAAATGGTTATGGTTAAATGAGTCATTTGCTACTTTCTTGGGAGATTATTTTCTCTATTTAGCTAATATCGATGAAGATGATTCAAAATATTTTGAATTAAATCAAATCGAATTCATTGAAAAATTAATGGATGATGATTGTTTTATTAATGAAAATGGTGATTCAATTAAAAACTTGAATAAATATATGAATGAATTAGATATCAATTTGAATAGTTCAACTAATTCAATCTTTGATAAAAACTCTTATGAAAAGGGAATGATCTTATTAAGAATGATTGCTAGTATTATTCAATACGATGATCCTACAAATAATAATCATTTAAATTATAATAAATTCATTCAAGAAATTGGGAAATTCATTACTCAAAATAAAGAAGGCGTCTTCAAACCTTTTGATTTATGGAATTCAATTAATGATTCAGTAAGTATTGACTTACCCTCTTTCATCCATTCTTGGATTAATTATGCTGGTTATCCGATTTTAAATGTTAAATCCGTGGATAAATCAGTCGAAATTGAACAACATCGTTTCATCTATGGATCATCCCCAACCATTTTGAATTTAGAAGATCAACCATTTCATTTACCATTATTCATCAAATACGAAAATGAAAAGAAAGAAATTAAAATCTTAAATGTTTTATTAACCGATCGTAAAACAACCATTGATATTCCCATTAATCAAATTCTTACTTTCAATCATAATAAATTAGGTTATTATAAAACAATCTATGATGACTCTTTCCATCCGGATTTATCTAAGTTAAATGATCAAGAAATCATTTCTTTAATTAACGATTATGGTAAAGTTTTAGGTCAATCCAATATCAGTAATCATCAAGAATTAATTAAATTAATCCAAATTTTGGAAAACCTATTACAACTTCCAATTTCATTCCCAGTTTGGAAAGTTTCCTTAAACTACTTGGAAATCATTAATCATATTTTCATTCATTTCACTGATTATACCAAATTTGAAAAATGGTTACTTGAATATATCGATAAAGTTTATGAAAAATTTGGTGATTGGGATCAAATCGTTGAAATGAATAAAACTGATTATAATTCAATCGAATTTGATGTCCGTAATCAAATTTTACAAATTGGTTATACTTCACCTAAATTTCAAAAATTTGCAATTAAAATTTATAAAAACTTCACCAATGGTAAAAAATTTATTCCAAAAGAATTATTACTGTCAGTTTTCAACTTAACAATTTGTTGTAGCGGTCAAAAAGAATATAAACAAATTTTAAGTTTAGTTAAAAATTCAAATGTTTCAAATCTAAAAGTCACTAATTCAAGTATTGAAAATTTACAAACAATTGCTATATCGTCGTTAAGTTTTACTTCGAATAAAGATTTATTAACTAAATCGATGAATTTTGTCATGACTAATATTGATTCTAAATTAATCGAATTATGTTTAGTTGGTTTTAAATATAAACATAATCAAAATGATAAATTACTTTTATGGAATTGGTATAAAGTCAATTATGATCAATTCATTTTGAAATCATTACGTAAAGGTAGTGATTGGGCAAAACAAATTGGTATTACCATGTCTAATATTTCTAAATTAGTCTTGGGTGAAATTATGCAATTTGATCAAGACGTGATTGAAAAATTTGTTAACGAAAAAACCTCTTCTTTACCAAATCACAACCTAAATGAAATCATGCAAGAAGTTAATATGGTAAATGAAGAAAAATACGAAATTGCTAAGCATTATGATCAATTAGTTAAATATTTAAATTAATTTTGTAAATAGAATAAAATGCTGTACATAATTTCACAATTGCAAATTGTAAACTGCAAATATACAAACTGCAAATCAATAAAGCCAAATCTGCGAATACGTCAAACCTGTAAGCCGCCGCCCCAACCTGCAATGCGCGGGGCTAACATGTAAACGCCACCTGCGGAACTTTGACTCCCAATCGGGCAACCACGAACCCCAATCTGGAAAGCTAATCACCATTGCAGGGTCTAGAACTTGACAATGCATCAAACAGCTACAACAGACATGTACGGGTGGAGATGAAATACCCCAAGTTTTTTTTTAAAGTATAAAGTTTAGCACGGAATTAGTAGCGGTCATTATTATCATTATATTAACAAAGAAACACGAAAGGGAAAGAAGAATTGAAGAGACGAAATGAATAAGCACATGAGCAAATATAGCGGATGAAGAGTTCGAGTCGACGGATTTGTAAAAAAAAATAAAGTAAAAAATTGCAAAATATTATATGAGCCATTCAATCTCATGTTTGGAACGTGAAACTTTCACAACATTCAAAATATTAGTGGCCATTTTATCAATTACATCCTCATTTTCCTTCAGATTAATGGAAGAGTTAAGTGAAGTGACTGAAGAGCTTGTATGTAGATGATTGGTTTCTTCAAAATGAGGCTCTTCCTTAATTGAAGAGCAAATAGATGATATACTTGGTAATTTAGCGGATTTTTTATTAGAAACTGGAGGAGGAGTCGAATTTTTAAAAGTGTTGGAGCCATATTTACAATCGGCGCAATCACAATTATCTTGTAGAATTACACTGTTATATTTATCATGATTTTTCGATTCATTGGGGAAATTGTAGTCTTTGACAAACAATTCAAATTCTTTATCAAGATGAGAATTAGACATTACATTGGGATATGCCTCTTTGAAATTGGGTAGAGAGTACGATCTTGAACGATATTGACTTTCTGGTAATGCTTCAAAAGGTAACGATTCAAAAGTTGAATTCTGATTAAATATTGGGGAATTGGCAGCACTCTTAGACTTCTGCTTATTAAAAATTGAATTTTTCAATTTATTCTTCAATCGATTCTTATTTGAACTATCAAACGATAGTGATTTACTTTTAGAAGTATCAAGCGATAGAGAATTAGATCTGTTCATGGGTGAAGTAAAAACAAATGAGGGCCTGAAATAACAAACACTTAGCTATATTACAAAATTGTGGGATGTTTCAACTTATATAGTTGCAACCAATAACACAATCT